ACGCACTATTGTATCTTCAAGCAAATATTCTTTATTTGGAGATGAACAGTGTATTTGTGTATTTTATATGCATTTCCCTGCACCTTGATGTTTGGCTTGGTGGTTGCGAAGTTCTTTTAATCGTCATTTTAACACAATCGTCATGACCAGTAACCTGCCATCTGATCTACACGAACGCAGTTCATTCCATTCTATACTTTTCATTATTTACGATAATCACAGTCTATATGTCTTAGGTCCCAGCCCAGCATGCACATGTTCATCGCTTTGGAAGGCAAGCAATGTATGTGCCACACGCATGAACGCTGAAAATGGCATCGACCAGAAGCGCTTTTCAGAAAATGTTTACAGATCTTTTGCTAAATTACTTAAGCACCAAGGAGCATATTCATGCCACAAGAGTAGTCACACGTGCTGACGCCTGCAACAGTAACTTTTCAAAAGAAAATCTAAAACAAATGGCACATTCCTTCAGGTCATATGAGCGTGTGGGGCATCTGTACCCACATTCCGAGCAATTTCCGCGGTGCTTTGGCAATTCACAAAAAATTTATTGCGTGACTCTTCGACCTGTTTTCACCAGCCACCTTCTAATAAAAAAAGAATCGATTTACCAGCGATATCACGAAACTAGTGAGGCGCGGCTTGAGCGTAGCGAGTTGCAAAAGTGGTTTTATGAAATTCCAATTGCTCCCGTTTTTTTTTTTACGTTCTTATAGTTATGCACATAGACCAAGGCCATACTTTGTGCAAATATATATAATTATCAACTTTAAACAGCACGAATGCCCAGATTTTTTTGCTGTTAGACGCGAGAAAGGCGGGCGCGAGTGTACCCGATTGCCGGCCGCACGCCTTGCTGCACAAAGTGACGTGACGCTTGGGCGGCGGGGAAAACTGGGGAAAAACTAGGGAGAATGATGTTTCGGTTAACTAGAGTGAATCTGGGAGAATGCGATAGCATTTCGGAATCAGGAAGCCATCCGCATTCAGATTATGCCCTTGAATTAGGTAGCTCGAAAAGTCGGAGTTCTCCTTTAAAGGGGTACCCGGCATTTTCTTCATTGTCCCCGATTTGCCTAAAACCTTGCTTAACACACCAACGAACATCGCTAAAATAGTAACCCAAATATTTGGCCAAAATAACTTTTTTTCGCGAAGTTACAGAATTTACAATTAGGGTCATCATCGTGTTTTTCAAAGTGAAAAGCTCTACTGGCAACATTGAAATAGTTACATCATGGGAAGGCAGGGGTTCATTCACTCTTTGGGCTGTAGACTTTGCTCTCAACTGACCACAAACAGTTTCATGGCGTTAAGAGAATGTTTTGGAAGGTTGCTCCAGCTCCCGCGCAGCACGAAACAAATGCTCGGCATAGTTCATTTCTAGACAGCCCACTCGAACCGCAAGCCTGCCATCCCGTGACGCAGGCACGTAGGCAGGGGGGGGGCCATGGGACCTGGGCCCCACCCCGAAATCTTCCATTTTGCTGGGACCTCCTCTCCCCCTCCCCCTCATACAGCACTTTGTCATAAACAGGCCCCCCCCCCCCCCCCCTCGAAACAAAATCCTGGTTATGTGCCTTCCATGATGTCACGGCAATGAAAAGCACAAGTATACCGTAAAATACCGCGCACATCCGCCCATTCCACATTAAGCGCCCATTACCAAATTTGTGAGATCTGAGGAAATACGTACAGTACATTTATATGTAAAATTGATGACCGGACAAGCGCCCATCCCCCATTTTTTTGCAATTATCTCCAAAGTTGGAGTAGGCGCTTGCCCAGTATTTTACGGTATTTGAATCTTGGTTTTGGCGTCATTTTCATTTGCCAATTTCATAATAAATATTTTGAGTTTCGTGATAGCAAATAGCATACCGGAAAGAGTAAAAGATGGCGATTTTGAAAATGTGGTTAGGTGGGGTTGCCCAAAAAATCGCTGGATTTTTTAAGCAGGTCTTTTTTCTGCGAACACGACAGTGGTAGGAACATTACTTGTGTCGAGCTAGGGAAGCCATATTGGGGGCTACCCCAGCTACGTCCACACTGGCTTTCATGGCAGTTATGTGCAATGCAGACAGCTTTCACTATTTCAACCGAGTGCCTAGGCAAACACAAAAGCAGCCACATAAGACAATCAGGAAAAGACGCCGAGTTGTTCAGGCTAAGGAGGAAGGACATAGTGCAGCGAGCTATCTAGTCCAGGCTATTCCTCTGAGAAATGCAGTCGGTGGAAATGTAGGTCAGTTATTCCCGCCATTAATTTAGGTAACTAATGCAAGCATTACACTATTTTGCATCTTTCTCTACTGCAACGCTAGTCATCCGCAGCAGAAACAATGCCCCAAGCTAAAAAGAAGTCTCGTTGCATTGTTAACACAGACATCAAGTCCATTAGGAAAGGCCAGCTGTGCCATCCACCTGTACATAAGCGAGCTGGAGTTCATCAAAGCACAACCGAGACTCTCTCGGAAGTACTTGGTTCCTTTTCAGTAGTTATTGAATGAAAACACAGTGCAGTGGTGATTACCATCAGCACAGCCTTGCCACTGCTGTCCCTCGGGTGGCACATGCACGACATGGCCTGCAAGCCACATATATCCCTAAAAGAAAGCTGCATAGGATGCACTTACCGTGGCTAGCGTCGCCACCCAGCGAGCTTGCACAAACCCTCTGCACGGCACGCAGAGCTGTTCAGAACAGAGCGGCACTGGCTAGCCAGTTAATGCGAAGGCTTGTAGTGTTTTGCTGCTGCCTTGGCAAAGCTGAAAGTCACCTCTTTCACGCCTTGTGGTGCCCATCAGCTTCAAAAGAAACGGTGTTGAATCGCGACCAGCTATAACCTGTCGCACAAGGGAGAAAAGGGTGTGAATGTGCAGACTCCTATCTGTTTGCTTTTGTCTAGCGCGTGAGTTTTGTTTGAGAAGAAAACAACAATGACACTTCTTTCACAGTAATATGCAAAACAAAAACGAGAACGGCTCGGTTATTAATAAGTTGTGTGCAGCAGAGGCACGGGTGCGAGTGCGTAGCTCCGCAGAATGTTCTTTTTGCACGGCTGCTCGTACAAAAAGGGCGCTTTTGTGCTCGGGCCTGTGCCTTTTCTGCACACAGCCTATGTTACAGAGTGTATAGCACGCCTTCGAGAGCACTCGCGTGCGGCGAGAAATCCATAATATACAGGGTACGATCGCAGGAAACCTCGCAGGGGTGCAGGAAGCTGCAAGTGCACGGTGCACCAGAATGTGAAACTAGAGGTGGTGATAGAATTTCAGTTTGAGAATATGACGTTACTTGGGTCAAAATACAGAAACGAAAAACGTAACTGCCTTACCGGCTGATGATAAGGGCCATCGGAGTACGACCAACTATTTGTTGTGATCGGGGCATTCGATTGGACGCGGGTTGGTAAAGATTTGAAAAACACGAAAGAATAAAACATGTAGGGACGAAGACAGACAGCGCAGTTCTTTGTTGACATGAAATGTAAGATCAAGCACATTATTCTGTCGGATCAAATGGTTTTGTTGAATTAGGTTTAGCTCGCAAGTCAGCCGTTCTTCGGCGGGCTTTCAGCTTTCTGCGATGGTTGTTTTAATCGTGAACGCAGGCTCAAACAATGTACGCAGCGGCGCCAAATAGATCTGAAACGAAGAAAGAGCTCGGACGCGTGGAACGAACACACATAGAGATCACATCACAGGAAAACTTAAACCACTCACCTTTCGTTCGACGACGGTTCGTCAGGCACGATGTTTCCGATGTTTCTCCGGTTTCTCCGAGCGTTGAGGCAAAAAACAGGCGGCTTTGGTTGAGGAGACCGCGTCTGTTTCCGTGCTCCTATTGGTCGTGACGTCACCAAATTTCATCCAATAAAGTGCGCGCCGAAGTTCTCTCTAGTCGCCGGTTGCCAGACGGTCTCCGAACTGGAAGCAGACGATGGCGAGCACGATCGCTTTTATTTGACGCCAGTATTGAAGTCTTTACAAGGTCGTTGCAGAAAAAACGGGTGATTGTACACATCAGCGCTGCTGTTCGAAGCGATGCAACGCGATCGAGCCCTTCGCTTGGCGGTGCAAAGGCAGCTACTGTTATAAAAGCCGACAAAAAACGTCGTCAGCACACGTAAAATATAGAGCTCGGCGAATCTACGCCGCCGGTTGCGATACTTTTATACGGCCATACGTTTGTTTTGCCCTTCGTAACGAACTCGTATGCACACGGGAAGTTCGGCCGCGCTCGGCGTTCAAGGTTTTGTCGGCCGAAGCGAGCCTCAGCCAACGTGCACCCCGATTTAGCTACGCAAACAAAACATTAATCGGTATCATGCTCTGCGTGAGTGTCCAACCGGCTTCCAAAGTCGCGGTCATACCCTGCCTTGCTCTATTGAGCGCGGACAGGACTATCGTCAATATTACCGAGTTTCCGTGCAACGGCGATCAAGACACGGCGTCAAATGAACGTTTACGTTGTTTATTAGCATATTCAAACCAAGCAAAATACGGTCCAATGCATTTTCTGAAGGAGCCTTACCTCAAAAAGAAATTCGGACGCGTTATTCGTCTTACCTTGAGCACTTTTCATTAACAAAAGCGAGCAAACTGCACACCCGCGACAGAACCAAGCAGCTTATCCCGCCATTTTGTTTGTTTTTGTTCTCTTTTAGCGCCGGAAATCGTCACCAGTCAGGAAATGACGTCATTTTAGCTCCTTTGACTCTACGTGCACCGTCTCCGGACTCGGTGCTTCGGAGCTTGACTCCGAAGCCCCGGAGTTACGTGCACCGGAAGTGACTTTTGGCCGTCCAGTGGAAGGAGTCAGTGACTCCTTGACTCCGGGGCCGCTACTGAACGCGCCCAATGTGTGATTCAGAAGGAATAACAAATATCCAAATCGTTGGACTTGGACTGCTACCACCACTACCGACCAATTACAATTTTTGAAGAAAACAACCTAGGGAGATTTCGGCGTCAAAACTAGGGACAGCCTTGCGTCGGCCGCCATTTTATTTCTATATATGGCCGCCATATTGTCCCCCGCCCAGTGGATCTGACCGTGGTGTGAAGTGTCGGGTGTGATTTTTTTTCTCGGCTTGGGGGAAGCAGCCTAGGCTTACAGAATTCCCCTCAAAGTGGCAGCGTACAGTTAACCCAGCGGGCCGATATGCAAGCAATAAAGTGTGTCGTCGTCGGCGACGGGTGAGTCCTCCGAGAAGAAGCGAGGCACCGTTCGGTGCCGCATAACCTGCCGTCCGGAAAGATGCCTGTTCCGTTCTGTGCATCCTCTCTGTTTTTGGGCGTAGAGGCACGTTTAAATGGGCCATTTAACCAATTACCATTACTGATTGACTCGAAACCGATTCGAACCGTCTTGATGCCGGCCTTCGCCCTCTTTAAACTCGCTCCGAAGTACGGAGAAACAGTCCGCATGTTCTCGCCGGAAAAACGCTCTTCGACCGCTATTTTTTCTTTACATATAAATCGGAACTGGAGCTTGTTGTCTCAGATGTGATCAGCCTAAAGGGTGGGAAAGACCTTATAGTAGAAGACTGAATTGTATTTCGTCGTTCTTTAGAGGTGTGTGTGCGCCCAAACTAAGAACTTTTTTTTCTATTTTTTTTTTTTTTATTTTTGATTCTATGGGCTGCCCACACACATACACATTTGGCGATATTCTGTGGGGCACCTCACGCCTACGAACATCTTTCTTGGTTTGTGTATATTTTTTGGTTCGGTTCCGGCGCTGTCGAAATACTGATTGGGAAATTTCGGTGACATTAGAAAGATCGCGAGCTTAGTTATTTATTTTTATTTTTGTTAATTTTTGTGTGAATGGAATGTGGTGGTCCTCTGGTGTGTGTGTGTGTGTGTCAACGTATCGGTTGCGATACAAGGAAATTCAAACAAGAATTTGCACGTGGAAAGGAGTGATTCGTTGTGTGGGTGATGCTTATCTGTTCCATATCGCAGCCGAAGATAGCGTGACTTCACTTCTTTTTCTGTTTTTGTTTACGGTTCGGATTATCTGGTTGGCGTGTCCGAGTTCGTTCGTAATGTATGTAAATTTTCATGGTGGTTCGTTGGGAATGAATAAAAAAGGGAAGGTCTTATGGCGAAGGCTTCGAGGGAAGTTGCACGAGGAATGAATCACGGAGGAAACTTTTTGCCACTCGGGAATTTGCAGCTCACTTCAAAGTGATACCTAATAGAATTCTAATAATACAACTTTGGTACTTTCCTTATTCTTGGTCTGTGACACTGGAAAAAATATTCTCACATAATTTTGGTAAACATTCAAATTCAATCTTTTGCCAAAGTTGGGCTAATGAATGAAACCTATTTCGACATCCTCTAGTGACATTTATTTCCAACATTCAAAAACACCTTTGATCCGTGCTTTTATGATGTGGCACAAGTTTGTAGCCAAAAATTGGACAGCGAGTCACTAGCACAAATACTCTCTTGACATAATCATGTGCTGTCGTTTGTCATCTGTAATCATGCACTAAACATTCATGTCAGACCAACTATGATCTGAATGTCGGTGTAATCATCAGGTGACTGGAAAGTGTGCCACATTTGAATGGAGAATGTTTTTTTGGTCCCGGGGTAATTCTGAAAAGAGGTGTAACGTCACTCTTGGCCTTTGGCTCTGTGACTTCTCGGTGTCGCGCAACAGAATTACTTTTCGTGACCTAACATTTTGCGACGCAGTGATGGCACATGGCCTTCTGACTCCCATGGACGGATTCTCTGGTCACAGAAACTTGGCATGAGCCCAAGCATGTTTTTAGAGTTTTTTTTTTCTCCTTTTTCAAATGCTTGTGACGTCCTCCCAATGGCAGACAACATGTATTGGTCGACTCACTTAGAGCAAAGCTTCACATATTGTTTTCGTACATCATACTTGCAGCAGTTATCATCAGCATTGGCCATCCATTCAGTTTTTTATTTCAGTTTTCTGCTCACAAGTTGTATTCCTCTGGGCCTAGGTTTCGTCTTGTTGGCGCATATTGAGCGTAGAGAAAGTTTGCGGCGGGATCACTCATTCACGACGTCAAGCTTTCGTGCTGCTTTCTGGAGGATTCGGGGTGGTGACTTCACCTTTTGTTCGCCGTCGATTTTGCATTTGTCGGTGACTGCGCATACGCCGATCCATCCTCCCTTACGCGTAATCCACGGAAACAGATCCACAAAGGTGCACTGCCTACTTAAACCACAAACTGTCGCAAACGAGAACGGCTAAATCGAATTAATTCGGTGACCCGCGCAAGCTTGAGTTCCACTCCCGTCACTAACGCAAACCTCGAGCGCAGTGTCGAGACTCCGTAGCCTTTTCGACGACATTTTGATTCCCGCTGTGCTTTCCGACTACAAAGCCATAGTCGCAGCTGCTCGTACATCATTCAGAAGACGCGGTGTTCACTGCAAATACGATGACGGAATTGTGTGCAGACAAGCCTAGAGAATGTTCGAAGCGTGTTCGCTTCATACGTATGTGTGCTTCGAACATACTGCAGACAGTTTTTGTACGACCAATGCTACACAAGCCTTGGACTGTGTTTCTAGTTCGCTTTTCGTGTCATGACCTTGGCTTAACAGGTCGAAGATATCTCAGAGTGGAAGATTAACCTGGGGCAGGACCTGGTCAAAGGAACTCTGCAAGAACAATTTAGAGCCAATCCCACGGGCATCGAAGCCAGCAAGAACCACCTGTTGCGAGCAATTCAGTGCCGACAAGAAAAGAAACCCCGCGCTTGCGGCGGCGGCACAGCACGTGGTTGGGTCCGTCAACCCAGTTGTCTCCGGGGGGGGCGGTGAAGAGGCTGCGCTAATCTCGGCTCGTGCCCTCCTTCCGGTTCGAAGAGGCCCCCAAGTGGGCCCTTTTCCCCCAAATATAACCCCAAGGACGCTGGATTGTGAGGCGGACTTCCCTCTCCCCCTCCTGCTTTGGTTCGATTCAAAGTAAACGGCCCTCAATTACATCTCCCTCCCTCCCCCAGTCCTCTGGGCGTTGTGGTTGCATCTGTCGTCTGCGTCTGTCGCCCAGTTCATTGTGGAAGAGGTTCGATTGTTAGGTGTCCTCCTTGCCTTTGGAGCAACGCCAAGTTTACGCTTGAGCTGCGTTTTCAAACTTCCTGTGGGGGGAGATGGGGGGGGGGGACTGCTGCTGGCTACAGAAAGAAGAGATTGTGTAGAATGGTTGCCACTGCATTGCTTTCGAAAGCAGATGGGATAAGGCAGACGACTGTCACTGACACAAGGACAAGTTTGCGTTGGTTGTGGGTACCTCACTATTCATCTCTGGCTTTTTACGTTTTATTTCATATTCATTTCGTAGTGTCTGTAGTTTGTTGCAGGCTAAGAAAAGTGGAACAAGTCCCTCCCACAGAGCTCTCTGATCGTTGTGGTCGGCAGTTTTCTCGTCTCCAGCGTTTTCCCTGCCAAAGTGTGATGAGTACACTGCAATTCTTTACCTGGAACAGACTACAGAAACTCTGAGGCTATAATAAACAGATAAATAAGTACCCTTTGGCACATACCGCTGTTTCGTGACAAATGACGTTACAATAGGTCTTTCTGGCTCGTGCAGAGTGGCTTATCCGGTTGTTCTTTTCGAGTGTTCTGGGCTTTTAAGCCAGTGATCTTTTCTGGGTAGCCAGTCACATCCTGGGGCTTCATTAACCCACTTCTTTTTAAGAGTACATCACCCTGTCATGGTACTAGTGCCCAGCTTTCGTGGGATCTTTTTTCGATTCTCTCGAGTTTTTTGGGGGGAACCCACACTTTGTCAAACCTTGCCTCTTACTAGCATGTCTGTCCACACTATAGTCGCTGTATGTTGCCAGAGTATCGCATTCAATAGCATCCGCTATTACTGTTCAATTTAAGCTTTGATCGGCCATTTTGACACCGAAACGTGTACAGTGGAAGGGGTTTCAGGGTTGCCGACCCCCGTCTCGCAAGCGTGCGTGCCGCGAATTACCGCCGAAGTTAAGACGCGTCCAGATTGGGACGCGCTACCTGAAATCACCGTTGAGACACGGTTGCATAAAAGCAATATTGTACCACAAAACCTTGGAAACTAAAATTTTATGAAAACATCACGCTCCTATCATTTTGTACTAATCTCCAATAAAATTTCCTACAAAAAAAGCTTTTTCCGCTTCTTTTTACGCAAGAGCATCCTTTCTAAAACCTCATGGTGACCGCAGTAAAAAAAAGTAAGATTGAGCCGCCATTTTGGCACCTCCCCCCTGGGGTTTCGGTACTCTGGGAACATTCAACTCCCAAAAGAAAACTTTTTTTTTTTTTTTTAGTGCTTACATCAAGCATTTTGTCACAAAAAAGAAGAAAATATTACACTAACCATGAAAAAAAAGAAAAAACTCAATATTTACGTTGTGAGGAACCTTTAGAGTTTCGGAACGATTTACAAACGTGCGTCTTTTTCAGCACGCCAACCCCGTAATAGAAACGCGTCTTGGAATCGCTCAAATGACGCTCGCAACATAAATATTGCACTTAAAAGTTGTTTTTGTGACACGTGCTCTATTCAAAGAAAATAACGTCTTGGGGAGTTCAGTGTCTCCTTAATGTGTCACGTGACTCGATGCAATGCTTTAGCGGCACGACACTTGTTGCGCACGGCTCACCGATTTGGGTTCCAATCAACTTTGAACCTAGCACAATCTTATCGTAATGTCTGCTTTTCAATTACGTATAGATTTCACATTGAAACTCGTTTTATTGGAGGTGGAGCAGGTAAACCCAGTGTATGCAAGCAAGTCAACCTCTCTCTCTCTGTGGGCAATTTTGGGGTCCGAATGCTCCATTTAATGGTGGCCGGATAGAACGAAAGCTTGGATTCGGACACTTAGAACAATCCAACGTCTCCACACAAATAATTTTGGTCAAATATATGAGGCACCCGCGCAGAAACATTCTGTAGTTGCAGCAGAACGTTTTGTTGGCCGAGGACTGTATTGCGGCACTGCTTGTTTTTCTCTCCCTTCTGCCTCATTGCGACCACGAGGGCAACAGAGCCTGTCAACTCGATGACAGGTGTCACTCTAGTCCAGGGAGTGACGGCAGTGATGAAACGAACCTGCAATGCTTTCTGGGGAAGCAAGAAAGAATGTGGATCAATAGCGGGAGAGAGAATGCATTTTGAACATTCATTGTTTTTTTTACGCTGAGGAAATCAGCAAAGTCTTAAGTTGGGCTAGCTGGTGATCGGTGAGCAAACAAACACCATTCAAAAGGACAGGAAGGATGGAACACAGGAAAGGACAGAACCGAAGGAAGGAACAGCGCGTGTTTGTCCTGTGTTGTTTCCTTTTGTCCTGCCCCTTCGAGCACTATTTTTCATCATGTTTCATTGAAATTGAATCCAATACTTTTTTCACAAGTTGACTCCGCTGTTGTCTATCTATGTTTCTCACGTGTTTTCCTGTTGATTTATTGTTCCCGAAATGCCGGGGGTAATTTGTTTTGCAGAGATCCAAATTAACATCTCTGGGAAAGCTAGCTTTTGTTCATATAGAAACTGAACAAAGATTAATTTAAGTATAGAACAGCGTGTAGACCTATGTGCCCTACGCCAACAAACCACAAGGTCTGCCAAAACAGTTTCCTCGGCGTCTTATCGAAAAGTAAAACGCAACTTCTAGGGCTTCACAAATCTCGTGTACCCTAGAATCTGACTCCGTGAACTTGTGGTGTGGGGTTTGTTTTGATTTGTAAGTGCCATTCTCATACCAAGGTCAAATCGAAATGTTTGTAACGTAAAGTTGCTTCAAGAGAGTAGCCCTTTAGCACTACTTGTCAGCTACAGGTTGTTGCCATCGGCTGGTAAAATCGTAGAACTTCTCGGAAAGTTTGGAAGATCCTGTCACCTCTTTCTAAGTGTGCGGTCAGTGACCGAAAGTGATTTACCGAGCGAAGAATCGAGAGGTTGTTCCAGTCGCATTGCGTGGCTAACGTGCTTGATTCCGCACCTCCCTTGCAGTGCCGTCGGTAAGACATGCCTCCTGATCAGCTACACAACCAACGCCTTTCCCGGCGAGTACATCCCCACTGTGTGAGTATGGCCTCAAAGAATGCTTCCACTGCACGTGCGCGCTCGGGCTGTGGGCCTCGGGTTTTAGAAGAGCACGGCGTTCTCTGTTATTTATTTATTTACAATATACTGAGGACCATTGCAGTCCGGAGCAGGATAGGACAATTACGAGGAAGAAATAAAATTTCACTGGTCTGCCACCGACGCGCAGACAGAAAACAGAAGAGGTTGTGTGGTCTGCCTCCGAAGAGAGTGCAGTCAGCTAGGTCTTCTTAAAAATGTATATATGTACAAGGGGTGCCCTAAAAAACATTTGGCAGGTTTTTTTTTTTTTTTTTTTTTTTGCCGAATGCTCGTTTTCTGCCCACTTGTAGAAATCGTAGTTCGAACCAGATGCCAAGGTTCCAGAACTAACTGTTGTCTAATTAGAAAGTAATTTTTCTTAAATTTTCAATGTGAAAACAGTGGCCTACGGAGCTTTTGAGTACATGGAGCTGGATGGCACCAGTTACCAAGAGCGGGTCCCATTTTCTCCTTTCAAATTTTCGGAAAATCACTTATGACAAGTGAATAAAATAACGGTTAGTTCTGAAACCTTGGTGTCCGGTTCGGACCGGTAGTGCTACATTTAGGCAGAGTACAGGCGTTGGTGATGCGTCGTCTATTTTTTGCAACGAGGAAAACCCCGTATATTTTTTGGGGGATATGCGGTGTATGCACGTGTAGAGAGGCCTGCGTGGAGAAGGTGAGCGCTTTCCGGAGGTCACGTCGCTCCCTCCGGTGTCCAGGTTCGACAACTACTCGGCCAACGTGATGGTGGACGGCAAGCCCATCAACTTGGGCCTCTGGGACACGGCCGGCCAAGAGGACTACGACCGGCTCAGGCCACTCTCGTATCCGCAGACGGTACGTCTCCCTTTCTCGCTCCGGTCGACTACGAGAAAGTCGCCTGCATCGATCCCTGGAGTGGAGAGCGATCTGGCTGACGTCGCCGAGACGCGGACGTCGGTCGGAATGCATGGCTTCTGTCGATACCACCTACAGAGTGTGTTTGAGTGCTCTTTGGTATAGAAATATTTTTACGCCCAATTAGCCCAAAAACTGAATTGCTGCGACGCTTCCACTCTTTTATGGCACAATGTGAAGGAAAAGCGTGCGAGCTTCTTTGGGGTAAATGCCCGGAACCAGATCCACCATGTCCGAGCGTGTACGGTGCCACGCGTGAGTAGCAGCATCAACCATATAGTTTTTGCTGTTTCCCTCCCTGTGCATAGAAAAAGAAAAACTGGCTTTTCCAGGCTTAATTTCTTTTTTTTTTTTATAAAACCTACATTTATGAAATGCGAGTATGATAAGTGCACCACCTAAAGGCACCTTTGAAAAAAGTTTCAATGCCCTTTTAATCGGTTTATTTAGACTAACTTTTGACGCCCGAATAGCACTTGGACACACCCCGTAGAATAGTGCCCGTGCACGACGTCATCTTTGGTGAATTCCCAACCCGCCCCGTGCGGCAAACGAGCTGAAGCTCGACGAGCGTCGTTGCAAGACGCGTCTGTCTTGGCGACGCAAGACATTGCGGAACGCACCGGCGGCGACACCGACGCAAGCTAGGTGGCGCTTAGAGGATCAGCTAGTGACGACGTTTTGGGGGAAAAGACGCGGGTGGTGCCTCCTAGGTGGTATACTGCTTCTATACTTTATTCGCCCCTAAGCCGACGGCACAGTAGAAACTGTGTGCTCGTTGGACTGGTCGTACGTCATATCTCTCGCCATGTGGTCACTTTTCACCCATACCCACGCACTGAGTGCCAAGACGGGTTACAAAAGGGAGGTGGTCGATTGGTTCGGCGAGCGCGTAACTTTCAACGCACCGTTGGCTCGAGGGCGAACAGAGTACAGAGACGAGTTTCCAAAGCGATCTTGCTCCGGTCGGCGCTGCGTCGCTTTAAAATGCCGGTTAGAGCCGAGCACCGCGCACTCTTCGCTCGTTCTGAGCTGCGACGGAAAGTTGTCTCTGAGCCCTGGATCTGCATTGATAGTTGAGGCTGCCTCTGCTTGCAGACCAGTTGTGTGCCAGGTTTGACAAAAGTGCCGAATTCTGCCATTTCGAGCAGAGATGCACTCTTTGAGTGAAAAACTCGTATTCTGGACCGCTACGTGGTACGTGGCTCGGCGTCCTGAACCGGCAGCCTTAATACGTGACGAGATGTCGCCCCCTCGAGCAACAAACGACTTCCTCGTCGAAGCGAGAATATGTGGCTGTTACGGCTGGTGGTAGCCATTTTGAGTAAGCGACGAAAGACGCTCTGAACATTAATTTCTAAAACCTAAATATCAATCTTTATTCAATCTTTATTCTAGCCATACGTAAAATCTGATTCGCATGTGTACTTTTGTTTACTTCGTCGCAGTACTTGAATTTGTGCGGGAGTTTCTATTTATAGTCAGTTACAGGTTAAGAAAAGTTTTCCAGAGAAAGGACGGCTGCGCAGGAGAAAGCCAACAGAATGCTGGAGGGGAGGGCAGGAAACCTCGCCCTTCCCTCAGCGTTCTGTCTGCTTCCTCCTCCCCAGCCTTCCTTTTCCTAAAACTTTTCTTAACCTGGAACTGACTATAGTAATGTTCTTTAAGTGACCGGCTCGGCATTCGTTCGGCAGTCGAGAGACTCATGGTGACGGGATGTTTGCTGCATTCTTTTCCAGGACGTCTTTCTCATCTGCTTCTCCCTGGTGAACCCGGCTTCCTTTGAGAACGTCAGAGCCAAGGTGAGTTGCGGTGATCTTTACTCAGATCTGTCCACAAACAGCGCACAAGAAAGCGAGATCGTTCGAACTAACCAAAATGGCCGTTACTCGGCAGGTGCAAGATACTCGTGAACAACGATTTTCAGTTACACTCACTCGCAGCTTAAAAAGCGCGGGGGTGTAATTACTGTGCATCTCGTTACCGCACCGCAGCCAGTGATAATAATCGGTGACTTTTGGTGCGCCTGCACACACTCTACTTTAAGTTTCGATCTACCCCTTACATTTCCCATCTTGGCCGTCGAATCCGTTTTTACCCGAGAGCAACATATTGTCGCTTGCTAATGCCCGTCGACGGCACATGGAAAGTTTTGTTTAGGGGACTTCCGTCTCGGTTTGTTTCTCGTCGTTCCAGAAAGGCCCACGTCGTTCGACCTCGCACCGCATGGCGAGCACCAAGAGCTCAAAATTGTTAATGAACCGATTTAGCGATAAACTAAATAAGAAAGTCCAGTTTCGATTAAAAAGAATATTGGTCGAGGCCGAACAGGGCGACCCCAGTGTGTGAAGGCCGGGGTGCCACTTTGTATACGGTACCGCGTTTCGGAAAGCACAACTCGAGGAAAATATCCTAAATCGGAGGCACATAGACAACGGTTAACTTCGAGCCCATAGATCGGTGCGTCTTTGATAAATAAATATACTTCTCTTCTCTTCTTTTCCTTTATTATTCCTTTGTTATTCTTTTTTTAAATACACAATCGTTGCTTGGACCCATAGCCGTGGAGGCTAGTCGCGGGTCCAACATTAGAAATAACCTTTACAATGCGGCAGGCAAACAAAACAAATGTACGCACACATCAAAGTATTCACAAAACGACATACATACTAATTGAAAAAAAATATATAGGGCATGATATTGAACTTATTCATTGGCTCGCAATTTAAGTAAATACTTCTTTAAGGATGGCAATATATTGTGTTTACATTTGATGTCGGTAGGGATATCATTCCATACCAGGGCACCGTTGAATTCAATAAGCCTTTCTCCATAAACATTTCGACAAGATGGCAAATTAAACAGATTATTTGTTGCAGCTCTCGTATTCCGTAATGGTAATTTAAATATCTGTAATGGGAGTGGGTCGTTCGTTTTTATTATTTTAAAGACTGTTTCAGCTATTTTTAAGTTGTATAGAGCACGCTCCAGACTTCATAGAGCACGCTACAGTTTTAACGCACAATTTGTTTCCTTGGTCGTTTTCTATGAGAAAATTGTCAGTCACGAAGGACCGTCGGAAACTAGCGTTACACAATCCAGTTTCCCCGCTATATTTTGCGGAAAAGTTGATGTCGCGTGACCTCTGCACCGTTCTAGCTTCCCCATTAAATTTAGCTGGGAAAGCACTGTAGGGGGTGGGGGAGGGAAGAGGAGGGGGCTGAGAGGGATAGACATTGAAGGGATGGAGGGGAAAGGGAGGAGAAAAAGAAGAAAAAATTGAAAAAGAAATACAAGAGTAATGAATAAAAATAAAATAAGTGTGCGTACAGGGACGTCGAGATAAATCCAGGGAATTCACCATATCCAGGTAAACATACCGAGGAAAACATAAAATGAATATCGATCGTTTTCTGTGCTTTGCTCGGTCTGCCGTCGCGTCTTCTTGGCTGACAGATTATCTGAACCTCTTAACAATGCTGTAAACTTGTTTCTTCTTTTACCCATATCGCACAATGATTTCCTTGCGTAACTTTTCGATGCGAGACAATTAAAATATTGCTGTCCTCCGGTCGTACTCTCTAATCATTTTCGAGCAAGTCGCAAATTGTTTATTGTGCGATGGTCCGCTGTCGGATCACGTGTACGCGGAAGCTCAATACAGTTGGTTAGTTTCCCTGTATTCATGAGAGACGAAATCTAGGAAAATTCCGGATTTATCTTGACGACCCTGTAGTTTGTGCAGGGCATATTCTGTGCTCCCCAGTCTTTTTCAGCATAATCAAGCTCGTGTAATTTTTTTTTTCGTGTGTGGCCAGAATTTTTGTTTAACATGCGGAAATAAAAGAACTTTGTATCCGAAGGGTTAAAGCCGGCAAACGGTGCGCGGCAGACGGGATTTGCTTCCGAGTGACCCTGACGTCTGCTCCGTTGCAGTGGTACCCCGAGGTGAGCCACCACTGCCCCAACACGCCCATCATTTTGGTGGGCACCAAGCTGGACCTGCGCGAAGACAAGGAGACGGTGGAGAAGCTGCGGGAACGCAAGCTGGCCCCCATCACCTACCCGCAGGTAGAGTCCCCGGAGGAAATTCATGCTTGGTGTTTCTTAGAAGTACCGCCAACCATCGTGTGGGAACCAGTGAGATACGCATCACAAGCGAGAGCTCCACCGCCATTCGCTTCCGAAACCGCCTATCGTCTGCACCTCGTGCGTTTACCATGTTAAAGAAAAAGAAATGTGGTCTCGTGATTTTTATTTGTTGATGTCGTGAATGTGTAGTACTATGTCATGCTATCGCCGGTTGCGATCCTGGCGATGTCGCAGAGTTAGGTGGATATGGCAGACGACCGGTTTACTGTAGGTCGCTGTCCTGCTCGATAGTCCAGGAAAGCTTCCAGGAGTTGGGACGTTCCGACGACATTCGTGTATTCTTGTGCTTTTCTCCCAGAACTGCTCTCAACCGCCACGATCGCGACATCCAACAGCATTAAGCGCGATCCAAACCAACGCTTCTTTTTGCGCCTGTAGGTCGTGCGGCCGCGGATGTGACGCATTTCGTGGCGTTTTTGCTGTTTCCGGGCGCGCTTTCTGAGTCAGAACCGTGCGCTTTGGTTTGGACGGGCAAAACTTCGGGCGCCCGCAGGCACGAGCGCACAAGCAAAGTGCAACTGCGACAGACTGGCCGGCCAGACGGCGAGAGAAAGAGAGAGAGAGAGATCGCGTTGTCATGTTGGAAGAGAATAAAAGGGGGGGAGGAGAGGGCAGCCAGACGGCGAGAAACGCGGAGACGGAACTAGCTTGCCCTCCACCGATTGGCCGGGACACAGGAGCGCCCTACTACGTCGCCGCGCGTTTTTGTGCGCGTTGAGAAGAAGTTGAAATCAACCAACTTTCTTGTGCGCGCCCGGAAGGAGCGAAGAAGCGGCGCGACGTCACGAAAATACGTCACATCCGCAGCCGCACAACCTACAGGCGCAAAAAGAAGCGTTGGTTTGGATCGCGCTTTACACTCCGGCTTTTGCGACGTCATTTTTTGCCACTTCGAAGCCACTTTGGGTGCATGGGTGGAATAGAACGCTAAACACACTAGTCGAAGACACAGTCCACGCACCATACATCGCGATCGTGCAGTGGTGCATATGGCGCCATTTGCAAACATGAAGGCATCAAGGGACTTTACCCACAGGGCCTGGCCATGGCCAAGGAGATCGGCTCGGTCAAGTACCTCGAGTGCTCGGCCCTCACCCAGAAGGGCCTCAAGAACGTCTTCGACGAGGCCATCCGGGCTGTGCTTTGCCCGCAGCCCAAGCCCAAGAAGAAGAGGCCCTGCTGCCTGCTCTGAGGGGCCACCGCATCAGCTGCTCCCGGCGGCAGACGACGGCAGTCGTCTGCCAATGACTGTTTTTTGTAGACGGCGGTTGCTTGCGCGTTATGAGAGACTGTCAGTTGTTGATAGCAGACGACGGTCGCTTGCACATTACAAGAGACTGTCGGTTGTTGATTGCAGACAACCATTGTTTTCTGATTGCAGACAACTGCCGTCTGCACTTGAAGAGACAACTGTCGTCTGCGCAGGGGCAGACAACTGTCGTCTGCGCAGGGGCAGACAACTGTCGTCTGCGCGGGGGCAGACAACTGTCGTTTGTCGATTGCAGACTACTGTCGTTTGTGGGTGAGCAGACAACCGTCATTTGTTGATCTCTGGACGAGGGTCGCCGATACGCTCGCAGATGGTGATTGCTTCGAGATTTGCAGGCGACCATCGCTTCTACATTAGCAGACGACGTTGGCTTCTTTCTCGGAAACTGGAGAATGAAAAAAAATGGTTGTCTGTGGCGACCTGCAAATAGCTGTTGCTCATAAGTTTTTGGACAGTTCGTGGATTTGTGGACGGTTGTCTGCAATTTTGCGAGTGATGGTTATTTCCAGATAGGCAAATGAAGGTTGTTTGCCAGCTTGCAGGCAGTTGTCACTTGTGAATTTGTGGGCTGTTCTCACTTCTCACTCGTAAGTCTTCAAACGACTGTCGTCTTTGTGCTTTCGGAGGTGCATCCGCATGGATTTGTAGACAACAGTTGCCTACAACCGAACTGGCATTGGGCACTCGTTGATTGCAGACATCAGTTGTGCGCAATCTGAAATAAGTTGCAGGCTTTTATTGTCACCACCTTGTGGTCATTTCTAGATGGGAGTGCAGTTGCAGACGACAGTAGCCTGCAGTCTGACCTGCTGCAGGGGACTGCTGCCTGCAAGGAAGAGTAGGTTGCAGACAGCAGTTCTTTGCAAGTTACGTCTGCTGCCGCAACCGTTGCTTCTTCGTAGATTGCAATTAAAATCTTGTGTGTGGTCCGCTGCTCATTGCGGTGGCAGAGAGTCACCAACAAGCCATCACTCGCACATTGAAAAGGCTTGTAGGCGATGCTCGGTTACCGTTTACTGCGGATGGTTTAAGAACGACTGGCGTATGAAGTAGTTTCCGGATCGGCCATTTGCAGACGACAGCAGTTGGTCACCACTTCTACTGTTCTGTGCTCGTCTGAAGTTCTCCAAATCTTTTCTCTTTGTTCAGCCGTTTTTTGTTTTTTTTTGGTGGGGGGGGGGGGGGGCAGTTTTGAGTTAGGTTTTTATTTTTTTCTTTTTCATATGTCTGCATACATTTCTCTAGTGTATGATAATGAATAGATTTTATATGATACACAGTAAAAGCTGTTTTGCCGTTGTTTTTTTCGGGGGAGAGGGGGAGGGGCGAGTAGCAGTTGACTTTTAAACTTGTTTGGGTGAGATTTCAATCCTTCACAGCTTTGCAGAAACCCTCGTGGAGGCGTTATTTTATTCCTAAAGACAGAGATTTCTCAAGAGCAGACAATTCTCTCTCCTATGGCTTTTCAAAGGTAATTTTTTTTATGGGGAACCTGAACAGGTGGGGGTTCAGAACAAACAAAAAGCAGGATTCGAAAAACTACCCTCTACAATCTATGATTTTAGATCTCTCAAGAAACTTCTCTTGTGTCAGCGTTGCAGACGTCCATCCGAGGTGGCAGACGGCATTTTGTGGCTTCCGTCTGCCGCTTGGGTCTTTTGAGTTGCGAGTGGGGAAAACCACTACCTTTTGTCTACATATCGCCATTCACTGGTTTTGTAACAATCGCAGGAGTAACACAACTCCGTAAACTGAGATGCACTCGATCGACATGTACATAGATAGAACCTGTAGAATGTTTTAAAGCATTGTTTTTGTTCGTCTGCTCGTTTTTTTCCTGTTTTGTTTTATTAACGCTGCTGGTGTTTGGTCTCAGAAGTGGAGAATTCTTGGTTGTCGCATGCTACCATTTTTTGTTCCAATCCTTCATGGTTTTTTTTTTTTAGTAGCTGTATAATTCTACCTTAGACCAACCAAAAAGCAACCCTACTGGGAGGAAGGCTTACCACGTTTTCAGTTGCTGCCGATTTCGATGTGGCATCAGCCGAGTATCCTCTCGCAATTGTTTGGCTTGTATAACGTGCATTCTTCTTTTTTTTTTCGTGTCGACTATAGAGTTTGCAAGATTGAAAACAGTAAGGCCAAACCGCGTTTCTTTTTTAACACACTTCGAATACAAAACCGAAATCTTGTACAAACGACGGGAAAATCGTAACGGAGAGGTCTTTGTCAAATGTTAATCTATTGTTCAGTTGCGGTAACGAATTATACGGCTGTTTCTCAAATATCAAACTGCCCAGAGTCTCCTGCGTCCTTTCTCTGAACTATGTTCGTAGTTCACTCCATCTGTCGACGGTTTCATGCTGCAGTTTGCATGGAGAGTGTCCACCAATATGGCAGAAAGAGAGACAGCATTGCACCAAGTCTGTGGCTCTGAGGTTTGCCATAGCCTCTGCGTTCAGCCCCCGCATTAAAAGGATACTAAACTTTACTAAGTCTTTTTTTTTTTTTTTTTTTTAAAGCCTGAACAGGACGTTTATGTCCCAAATAAAGTTTGCAACGTGCTTCTGTTTAACGCTTCTATTTCGGGGTCAACGTTCAAAATGGAAACGCACATTGGAAACTTGAAATGAGTCTTCCAACGTAAATAAATGCAAAATAATTTTTTTTTTAGTCCATTTGGTGACGTACGTGAATTTAAGAAAAAAAAATGTAGGGCCCTTCCACTTCACGTCTAGATACAACTGGCCAGCCGGTTGCCGTTGTCGCTCATAGATGGCGGTAGCTGTCTGGAGTTTTGTGTCAACATTTGTTTGTCCACGGACACTATACTGGGGAACCTTTAACACCTCCGCTGTAAAAAGGTTTTGGAGAGTTCAGCGTTTCTTTGACTGGCATAATGTTCTAGCTTGCCCTTCGCGTAAATGAGAAAAATGCTAGACGGAAGCAGGTTCATTTTGTAGTTCCGAGACCCATCTTGGGGCATCTGCGCACTCCAGTTTCCCCCAATTTCCCAGGGTAGCTCGACCGGAGTACTGCAGGGACCAAAATCTCGGCGCAGAGACGTCCTTTGCAGAGCCGTATATGTACACAGTTGGGTCGTTCATCGGTAAGAATAGGGCCAAGCCCTAGCCACAAATACTTCCCTAGTGGAAGCAATGAGCTTAACAAATGCCCTCCAATCGCATTGTCTAAGTAGGGATGTATTACATTTCAGCACGCCAGAGTTGAAATTTGCGACTCTTCGTAACTGAAAGGGCAACGCATGCGAAGTCGTCGTCACGGCGACATTCACAACGCACTACTCCTTAGATTGCAGTCGCAGCCACGACTGCTGCCACCGTGGAGTGGATGATAAGAACTGCGGATTCGACTCCGTGGGAGTTTTGACCCAAACCCCGAATGCACACCCCAGGTTCGCAGTTTTGCCTCGTTTTTCGGGAAATATTTCTCATCAATGTCACCTTTCCTTACTCAGCACATTGAAACTCCTCGTTTCCACCAATCTCTTACAATTGTACACTCTCCGGCAATATGAAAGACCCACTGGGAGCGCGTGGCCGAGGCGGTGGCTGGCGGGGGCGCTGCGAGCCCTCCGGGCAATTCCATTCTGCTTCGAGGGGAGGACGCTCACTCGGGCTCAGATAAAGCGAAACGCGCTTATCAGTTTGTGCCAAGTGCCGAATGAGCGTCCTCCCCTCGAAGCAGAATGGAACTGCCCGGAGCGCTCGCAGCGCCCCCACCAGCCACCGCCTCGGCCACGCGCTCCCAGTGGGTCTTTCATATCGCCGGAGACTGTACATTCATGTACTTTCAGCCCCTTCCATAAACTATATATATTTTTCCGCTAAATTTAGCGGGGAAACTGGATTGGTGTCTACACCACAAGACGTGAAATTCCTTGCTGAATCCGGCAGGCAACTGAATTGGTGCATAAGTCACGAGACGTCAATTTCCCACTAAATTTAGCATGGAAACCAAATGGTTGTGTCAACAAGTTTGGGTCACACAACATAGATTTTTCCGCTAAATCTACAGGGGAAACTGGAGTGGTGTTTAGGTCACAAGACGTGAATTTTCCCGCTAAATTTGGCGGGCAATTTAATTGGTGTACAAGACATCAATTTCCTGCTATATTTAGCGGGAAAACTGAATTCAGGGTTTGGCCACAAGATCCGAATTTCCCCACTAAATTTTGCGGGGAAACTGAGTCGACGTATATGTCGCGCGTCATCCATTTCACCCAAGGTGTATAGGTTGTGTCGCGCAACGAAATTTTCTCAACTAAATTTAACGGATAATGCACGAACAGACGGACAAACAGACATTATTTTCGGATTGGCGCTTTAGAAAAAATTAATCAACCGACATTGGCAGTTGCCATTTCTTGGGCAAGAAACGCGATTGGACCAGGGTCCTCGCCGAACGCCGATGTAGCACTCTTTCGATACGAGCAGAGTTAATGCCAAACACAGTCTGATCTCGTGTCCAATACGTGCTTAGAGTGTGCACCCAAACCAACAACGGACTTGGACGATTGACACAGCAGTCACTAGATGGCGCACACTTTTGGAAAGAGCCTATTGGAGCTCGGCGCCGCCATATTGCAGCTGCCCCTCGCACAAGGAGCGGATGGACTTGCTTGCCTCGTAAACTGAATGTGCGCAGAATGCGGAGCGAGTGAGACAAACGGTTCTGTGTTGTGACCCTGTGCTGGTACACGAGTCGTGGGTGCCTCTGACTGTGTGCTCTTTTTATTGGATCGACAATCTCCTAAGCCCCGCTCGGAGCATTCTGTGTGGTCCTTGGCGGCCAAGTCGTCTCTCGGTGCCGTCGCTTAGTGGTACTTGAAACGACGTTCATGCTCTGAAATGGCGGGAAAACAAACTGTCAGGGCCACCTTCCAAACTTCTTTGTTCCACCTAGTACCGCCGTAGCCACATAGTCTGTCCACAGCAGCTACACCCGGGCAGGCTTGCTAGAAACGGCGTCTTGGCTAAGACTCTGTGAGAGAAAGCACTACCAAAGTTAGTGCATGAGCAAAGTGGTACGTGAATTTGAGTTTCAAGTGCTCGCACACCCCAGGCTTGGCAGGCTTTCTTTCGCACAGTCTTAGCCAGAACGCTGTTTCTAGCAGGCTGACCCAAATGCCATTGTAAAACAACATACAAAAAAACTTGCATTATTGAGTTATTGTTTGAAGATGGCAATTCGAGAAGCATGGAAAGTTAGTGGCATGCAAAGAATGTTGCAGGCCCATTCGTGCAATTTCTCTGTGTTGATAATGCTCCATGCTAACCTTCAACAAGTAAAGAGGTTGCGGCAGAACATAGAAAAGTCAATTTTAGAATAAAATCCAAGCTGGTATGTTGCTATCTTCACTATAGTGGAACTTTAAAGGCCCATATAAGTATACAGGCACACTTTGAGCTTGCCTCACAGTACCGATACCTTTGTATCTTCACTATGCAGTTGAACTTCCGCATACTTTTCTCGTGTCTCTCCAAACCTCGGTGGCGGTCGCTCGGTACAATGTGGTCGGATGCTCACATGTGGTGAGGTAACTTAATGCTCGTCTTCCCCTCAAGAACCGCAGTAAAAAGAGCTTGGTGCCCCATGAAGCGTTACTACTTTCCCATGGGATGAATCAAAATGCACGAGAGTTTTGTGAAAACATAAGCATCTCAAATGAAATAATAATTTCCGGCTTGAGCGGCGTCACCGCCGGCATAACCGTAATGCGTCGATGTAACGCTTTCTCGTGATGCATCGGCGTAACCGTAACGCTTTCTCGTGACGCATCGCCAACAGTGTAACCGTAACGCGTCGGTGTAAAGCATTCTCGTGACGCGTCGCCGTAACGCATTAGAGTAACGCTTTTCCGCGTCGCCGTCAGCGTAGTTCTAACGCGTCAGCGCTGCCATAGCCGTAACGCTTTTTCGTGACGCGTAGGCATCCCCGTAGTTTTAACGCATTGGTGTAATGCTTTTTCATGACTTGTTGCCATTGGCGTAGTCGTAACGCAAGGGCGTAACGCTTTTTTGTGGCGACGCTGCCGTAACATATCAGTGCGACATGTCGCCGTCAGTGTAGTTGCGCGGTGCATTATGGGAAGCGTCACATAATGCACCGCAGTGACGCACGCGTGGCATTACGGGACGTTTCCCATAATGCACCCCGCAGGAGAGAGGAAGAGGGAGGAAGAAAGAGCAGGAGGAGGGAGGAGGAGGCAAGGAGCAGGGGAGGAGTGGAAGAGGAGGGAGGAAAGGCATACTGTACCCTCCCCTCCTCCTATCCACGAGGTGCGCTCTAATTCGGCATTACAGTGAGTTGTAAACGTTTCATTTTTTACCTAACAACCAACTCTCGTAAGAACTACATAGTGCAACATAGAAATGATGTGCGAAGCTCGCTTTTTGCTCGAGGCAACGAGCAAATGTCAAATTTGTAAAACGGTATAAAAACTGGTCATGTTCATGCTAACCACGTGGCGCAGCGTGTGAGCGGGCACGCTTCAACGACGACGTTTACGTCTTTCTTGCATCGGCAATGGCCACAGGAGGGGTTCTGCCAATGCTTCTAAGCTTGGTGACGCGAGCTATCGCTTGTTACGAAGGGTACGGCCATTTATAACCATTCATCCAGCCGAAGTCCACTCACTCAGCTTGTTGTAGTTGATCCAGTAGAACAAGGCACTCCAGGCTACGCAGAACTGGGCCGCCCCGACTATGCCCGCCCTCCTGGGGAGCACATACTTCTGCTGCCAGCGCCAGTACACTGCGAGAAAAGACGGCACACGACGCACCGACACCCTCTTTACGCTCTACGGAGCGAGGTCTAGCGTATGATGCTTAGAGCGCGTCTCCCTTCCGACTCGCGCGTTTATCGCGTCATTGTAAATGGCCTCTCGAGTTCGACCCAACGACGTCCCAGAAACGTCGCGCCGCTACCTGCCGAGGCTCTGGTTGCGGCAGACGCCCGTCGTGCTGCAAAGTGTCTCCGCAGCCAGGGGGTCGACGGAAGCCAGAGCAGCCACGAGCTGTGGCTGCTCTGGCTTCGCCGCCGGCATTTGTACAACCAACTGCCAGCATGACACTCCAGCTTTTGTGACGTCATTTGTCGCCAGTTCTGGACCGTTTTGGATGCTGGGAAAGATGGTAAGCACACCGGTCAAAGATGTGTTCTAGGCAGCATAGTCGGGTCTAAGAGTAGAGTCGATTGCTGGGCTAGTTGGTTTTGGAATTTGGAATACATTTTAGCGCTCAAAAAACAGGGACAAAGAGGCGAGAAACAGACAGCACAGTGCGCTTGCACTGTGCTGTCTGTTTCTAAGAGGACTACATCCACTCTGCAGACGGTATTGGGACAGATCAAATGGCCGACAGACCCCGCTATTCGCCAGTTTCCACGTGCGATATGCGATCGTTCAAATCTAGGAAGTTTACGCAAGATGAGACAACGAGAGAAGAGCCACGGGAATCAGGACCACTTCTAGATGAGGCAAGTTTCCCCGCGGTCCCGGGGTCGGTCACCGTGACACGATTTGCTGGTTTTGGTCCAGATCGAATCGGATGACCGAGAACCAATCGGAGATGCCATACTTTCGCGCAACCTTGCCTGGTGGTAACGGAGACTTAAGAATGGATCCGACATTGTACCGGTTAGCCATAGACTCTTCCCACAGGTTAGTGGTTGTGGGAGGAGGCAGAATCATTTATTAGCACCAAGATACCATTTTCAAGGTATAAAAACATGCTACTGCGGGATAATTATGCATAAATATTGAGAGAGAACCGCATTTTCAATTACGGTGACGACAAAACACGGCGGATTGCTACTACAATGTCGAGACATTAGGCAAAGTTGCTCGTGTGAGGCCAAGTAGAGCGGTGGCTCAACCGACATACTTTTTAAAATATTATCACCCTATATAGAAACAATAAGGCAAAACAATTTTTGACAGAAACCTGCCTCACTGGGTAAACACTAAAGGTTAGGAAAAGAAAAGGTACTTCAGGTCGCCCTTTGAAGACCGAGTGAGCTGGTTAAAGAACGTTGGGACGGACTCTCAGGCGGCTCGGTCAAATTTAGTCTTTTCTAACCATGTGCCAGGGGATTGAAGACGCGAGCAGGATGCGGCATATGCCGAGCATTGACATTGGGGTCCCAAGAAAAAGAATGAGAAAAAGAGTGAAGAAAGAAGGCAGACGACAGGTTAGGCGAGTTCGTTTTGCCGCGACAAGTTGAAGCATAGCCTCCTTCGTTTTAGAAAGCCTGTCAAATTGCAAAAGAATGTGGCCGCCGTAAAGGGGAAAGGAGGTCAGAGAAGAAGCTGCACGCAGGGGCTCTCTTGGGAAGCGTTAAACAACGCCCTAGCGATAAAATCCGAAACACAAACGTGCTTTTTTTCTTTTAGAGCGCAGCTCTTAGGTGCCCGTTTCCGGCTTGAGCAGCGTCAGCGTCGCCGTCGGCGTAACCGCGCGGTGCATTATGGGTAAATTTTTAACGTGAAAGCATTAACTGTCCCGTGGAGCAAAGCCGGTGTCGTCTGTAGCCGTTTTCTGTAGCAGCGAAAACGGCACCTGAATTCCCGTTGGCCAAAAGCACAGCAATGCAGACGCTTTGTCACGGAAGCCGGGGAGGGGCTCAAGGTCAAAGCGGACGCGACTCAGAAATAAAACGCAAAGAAAAGCACAGCAACGCAAGTGCGTCGTCACGGAAGCTGTGGAGCTGGCAGGGCGCCACACTTTCGCAGTGGGGGAACATGATGTTACCGCCGGAGAACCGTGTGGAGAAGGAAGACGTGGTGCACTGCGTGTAGGAATGCTTCTGCATTCCTACACGTAAACAGTTTTAAGCGTCTTTTTGTATCTAAAGCAAATAATTGTCAAGCAAGAAAGACTGCAGCGGGCTGAAAACGAGCAATCAGCGATGCTCTTCTGAGCAAATCTTGAGCTTTCTGTCTTCCACTTCGTTTGTTGGTTGTCTTTTTTTTTTCAGGAAAGGAGAACATTTTGCCTCGACCCCACTCCAATCTTGCACCTCTCCCGTTTCTCCACAGGCCGATATCCTCCTTTCTTTTTTCTCTCAGTTGCGGTTTGTTGTTGTTTCGCAGACAGGCCACCGCGCATATTGTTGGCACTGGCTGAAAAGTTACCCAGAAGCGGCTCTGCGCTACCGTATGGGTAATTGTTCGGCGCTGCTCCTTGCCTTTTTACGGCGGCCACACGCTCAACGGCTTTGGCATGAAATTGACAGGCTTTCTAGAATAAAGGAGGCTATGGTTGAAGTTGTTCTAGTAGTTGTCAACTTAATTTATTTCTATACATTGCACAATGCCGGTGTTTTTCTACAAAGTAAGCTAGAAAAGAGCTAGGTCCAGAACTTACAGGTGATGCTTTGCGGCTCCTTTGTCTATACCAAAGCATCGCCAGCAATACGAGCTTGTAGGGATTACCCAGTGGTACCGCTGATGCCCACGTCTATGCCCCACCATTTTGAAGCAGCAGGAACTCGTGAGGACTTTTTCTCAAGATTATTATATTTAACTCTATGCAATGTGCGAAAAGGATGCAAAATAATTCTGGTTCTCTTTTTATGTACGAGATAAAAAAACATTGGTTGAGAGCAGCCATGGGGGCATGTCCAGAGTGGCTCCATGGCCGACTTACCTCGGCTGAACAGACCGGCTACGGATTGGGGCGACTTCTTCCTCCTCGCCAGCCAAGACCCGATCTCTGTAAGCTTCAACTCAGAGAATGGAGTGTCCGCTGTTAGAGAGAAACAGACATAGAAGACTATACGGTACGCGAAATAAGGAACGAAAACAGAAGAGGACGGGTTTTCCTACTAAGCACAGTAACCAAGGATGCCAAAGCAAACGCCTAGTTTGCCTTTAGATGGGAAAACTTGTCTATTACAAAGTCGCATGTTAGACAAGGGCAAGATAGTGGCATCAGATTGAGACCAATTACGACTTTTGAAATTTCCTTCAGTGTCCTACGAAAAACCAGTTTAGCTTTCCTGTTAGAATAACTTTTCCTATGCCTAACAAAGTTGTGCACGGCAACTAAGCACGCTTGAACTACCGGTGCAGAAACCTGAGGAATTGATGCAATGAGTATTTTAGCCTAGCTCCGAAAGTTTAGATCATACACTTGCTTGATAAGCACCCGTGGGGGGGAAAATGTATTGAAAACAATTGCACGCTTCACAAATGGCTAAAAGCTAGACTTACTTAAATCACAATTATTTCGTATTAGTTCACGTATCTACGTTTTCATACGTTTTCATAATGTGCACTTTTGGTGCGATCTTCACCAACCCATGGCAGAATCTGAAAGCAGCCTGTAGCAGTTACTTATTCAACCTATCGCACGTAGACATTTTGTGTGGTTACCATTAAACACACGGGTCCTGGGTCCGCTATAAGGTTAATGTTTTAACGATTTATCGATTCATTTAGCACGAAATTTGAAGGTGACGACAAGCTCGTTAAGCCTACGGAAAATCTGCGAAAAACGCGTGGTTTCCTAGGGGTTTGGCGCTGGGATTTGGAAGGTTGGGCGTCCAAGCATTGCGGACGAGCTTACGCTTGCCGTAGTAGCGCGCCGGGTCGTAGGGCCCGTGAACTTTGGGATTATATTCGGCCGGGTAGTCTCCGATCGCCATGTCGTGTCCGGACTTCTCCTGAAGGTTATTCCAGTTATTCTCCGGCGAACGAAGAAGCTAAAAAGTACCGGAATCACGTGACTTATTTTGGCTCGTCTGCTTCAAGAACATTTTGTTGGAGTTTAACGGCGCTAGTAACAGATTTATATACACTAAAATAATACTTTAGTACCATAAATAGCATCCTCGATCATCCGCACCGGTGCGCACCGGGGCACCGAGGTGCGCCCCTTCATCTTCGATCAAGTGCACCGGTGCGCACCGGACGTCCTCGATCAACGAAGCGCACCCTCCCGGTGCGGCTTTTCGTTGCCCCAACGTGCACCGAGAAAATCGGCGGTGCGCCGGGGTGCAGTCCCATCAGGCATTGCGGCCGGAAGCGGGAATCGAGAAGATGGCGGGAGTAGCAGACGCGCAGACTATCGAGATGGCGATCTTGCAAAAACGAACACGCCTCGCAGCTGCAATAGATGATTTCCTCTGGTCTTCTGACGGCGAGACGACGAGCTTCTCACCATCGCCGCGATTACTGGCGATTGCTGCGGTGGCAAGGAGCGCCCGAAAAGCACGAACTTCGTGGAAAGCGGCGCGAGACGTTTCGATGACAGCGAGGTACGGTATTATCTGGCGTTTCGTTTTCTTGAACTAATAGTGATGGCCAACATATACATGTGGAATTGTCACCCGCTTCGTGAACCCATCGACAATCACGTCCACGATGTTTATTTCTGTGGGACCGTCAAATCCGCGAGTAAAAAAATAAAAGAAATTGACAGCAGACGGGCATCGTGCGCTGACCTACGCAAAATAAACGAACAAAACGCGAAGTGACGCAAGGTGGAGCTCGCCGCGGTGCACCGGCGCGGCGCAGTTTGTCCTCGATGTTGCACCGACATCGCGCTGCACGACCGGGGAGCGCTGTGCACTGTGCTGGTTTCAGGGCGATTCCGGTGCGAGTTGATCGAAGATGCTAAAAGTAATGAACTGTTCACAATTATTATTTATATAAAAATAAAGCGACTAAAACGTTTTTAATTGCGTTTTGTTACTTTGAAATGGTTATCGCCTTAAAACTTTTCTCAAGAACCTGTATTTTAACAAAATTTTAAACGCAATAAATTAAAACTGTTTTCAAATAAATTAGCACCAAATTCAACCGATCACGTGACTGCATGAAGGCAGGGAAGGCAGCCAGAAAACATCACGGTCACGACATCAGTTCAAGCTAGAGCACTATATAGCTCCTTCGGAGCAGAGTAGCGCAATCTAGAACGCCGCCTCTCGGCGACTAGCGGCGAACGCCCAGAGGTTCCAACTGTGGTCAGAAATGCATGGAGAACGTGAGAAAATCGTTGTTTCTTCAGTACTGTGGGGTTCTACGGAATGGCAATTATTTTTGACATAATAATGGAACATTTTAGAATAATTTGCGCTAAGTTTTGTGCCCCGCAAGCCCCGCAAGGACGTGACTTTTTTTAAAAAATTGCCTGAGCGGCATCATGCAGCAGACGACACGGCGACGTCATACCATTCACGTGACCCGCTCCGGCCAACCCGAAAGGCCCATCTCCGTTGCGAGCAAAAATCGTCTGCTTCAAACGCCATTGCCTTGGAAATTGCCTTCTCAAAATTTGCACATGCATCCGATATTATTAAAACTTTGAGAAATGGTTTAGTGCTTTACTAACTTCACGACAGACTAGTTTTGAAAAGTGTGAACTCGCCGTTCATTTTTTAATCAGCCGTGTTGTGTCGATCTCCATGTATTCTCCCATAGGGCAGGCCGCCTCCTGGAACCCTGAGTACCACGTGACTCGCGCCGAGCCCAACGAGGTAGAGGGGCTTAGAGTGATAAACCGGAAGTTCGGAAGTGGCACCCCCCCGGTTGTCGCCATATTTTACGCAAATGTGACCACTCGTCACGTGACCTCCCAAGAACCGTGACGTCACAGGTAAGATGGCAGCGCCCAGAGCTGGTGGATGCGAGTTTGTTCGGTGCGCGGTAGCCGTGATGTGCAGCTGCTTTCCGACGACTTCGGGCTTCTTCGTGCTCGCTGACGCAGGTATAATGTGAAAATATGAAGGAATGAGACTTTATACCGTTTTTGCGCAAGATCGCTCTGGATCATCTGGATATTAACGCCTGTGAGACAGCATCAGCTCTGCATCGACGTACCGGTGCTCGGATTCCCGGATGTGTCCGAGGATCGATAGAACTTTGAGTGCTTTTAACATGAAATTTTCGCATTCTCTTAGCTTTGTTTGAACGTTGAAATATCTGAGAATCTACGCGAAATGTATACGTCGCGTTAGGGCCTAAGGAAAGTTGTTTCAGCCCTCCGTCACCGAACAACCATAGCAACTTTTAGCGAGGAAGCTCCTGCGATTTTAACCTTTTGTGCTAATCCACGATTCTACATTCGATCGCTTTTCTTCCTTTTTTGTGTGTGTGTGAGTGCGAAGTGCACCCTTATTTTCAGCTACGAGGTTGGCGTTTTATTGAGTATGGGGAAGAATAAATCGTTGCAGGCACCTGCTTCAAAGCTATTCGACTTGCTATAAGAACAACTGTTTTGGTGCATGCATAGATTAACTGCGCATTTTTTTTCTGTTTTGTAGGATTTATTGCAGCTATACTCTTTTCCATCAAGAGCGCATTGTATTAGTCGGTCAATTATTTAATTGTTCTAATTACCTGGATAAGATGATTCATATTTGTGTTCATCCCTTGCCTGGAGAGCAGTCTTGTTGAAAAATGTTGACTACCATTCCTTTCGGTCTCTTCAATAGACTCTTTTTAAAAGTGTGGGCTGTCTATACTTCGCATCACCGTAACTTGGAAAAGGCCAACTGCCACAGCCCCCTCGAACCAATCAGAGACACGGAGCGAAGGTGTGTGACAAATCTGTGCAGACGACCACTCTGGTGATATGCTGTCATGTGCCTCTCTCCAATGTGTGTATTGACTCACCAAGACTGTAGCCTTTGCCGTCTGCCAAATTCTGATAAAACAAATTACAGTAGCTACTACTGTAATTACCCCAGACTTTCATACTTTGGGTATTTGTTCGACAAAAATGTTATGTCCGCCATCCCTGTGAATTCGGCTCAGCACCTATTGGACTCGAATGCTGCATTAGCGTTCGACGTGAACTGGGGCCCATTCGTGTGCTTAACGCCGAAAAAAATGGTGACGGTTGTGTTGCTTGATAAGGTTCTGCAAAGGGTCTATTGTGTCATACATATAGGAAGTGTCATGCTATATAACAATGCATCAACACATACTATTAAACTATATGCTCAGAGGTGTGTTTGTTTTTCCAATTAACAAGTTACAGCAGTGTGCTTTAATGCTATTATCATGTGTGTAGTTTTAAGTATCCTCTCTGCAATGCCTACGAAGGCCCCTGGAAGGAATAAATTAATAAATAACATTTTCACATCACTGGAGTTGGTTTTCGGATGCACCACATGTTCAGGAAAGGTTGAACGAGTGCAGCCCCTTGCAAGAAGTCTGCCAGTCTGGTATGACCCCTTAATTAATATTGAAGGGTCAGAGAAGCGAGTGTCCTCGTAAGGTCCAGAGCGTGCAGTGGACACAATTCTCGGTGTGTAGACTCTCAAGGCATGAAGGCAAGCGGAAATATGTTTATCTGGTTAGTGTATCAAATATGTTTATTTCCACTTGATTACATAATTATTGATTCTTAGTAAATGGTTCCATAACGAGTTCTTTCTGCGACAGTCTCGTGTCAGGCGTTCAGTCATAGTACTGTGGACCTTGTTGTCGGATGACGCTCCTGGCACGTCGGTGTTCAGTTTGGTCGAGTGGCAACTTTGACCGACTGATGTTGTCTTGTAATCATACGTCATGTGCGGCCACTGACGTCTCATGCACTGAAGCTGCAGGGCTGGCTTCTAATCCGAAAATTTTCCTGGTAGTTTTCGGCATCAATGTAGCAAGCTCGGGCATGTATTGCTTACGTGGCTGTGCCTTTTGCTGTATACGTTGACTTGAAAGCTGGCAACAATTTTTGTTTGCTATCCAAGTCTGGTGATGCTTGCAGTTCACTTTTGAGAGTAACCAACCATTCTATTCCTTCAAGTCACTCAGGGGCATTCTCCCTCAAAGTTGGAAATTGTGTGCTTCATGGAGTGGACACAGAAAATTGGTGTCAGCAAATTTTTAGGTATTGTCCTTGGACGACAACCGACACCAAATCCACTGTCACTGCATCGCCGCTCACCTGCTTTGTCGTGCTTACCTCTTGTTGAGGTGATAGACATGAGGAGCTTTGGGGTAATCAGGGATTCAGAATCTCCGATTCAGCACCTTCGGCATCAGGGACAAAGGTCGCCGAAGGTAATCCTTAATCTCCCGTGGTCGCTCCTCGAGACGTAATGGAGGGTCGTTTGGCACGAACCCTCGCCAACCAATTCATTGCTTTGGTAGACATGGTCGGCTTCGTGCAGTGGTAGCAAAGTGGTTTTCGGTCGCACATTCGCATCACCCACGTTTTCCTCGGTGTACTTTGTTGAGCACAGACCTACACATGATATAAAATTAACTGTTGGGCTAGTTGGTTAAACATCTTAATTACAAAAGCGCAAAGGACAAGGACAGGACAAAGAATGGACAGGACAAGCGCTTACTAACAACTGATTGTTTAATGCATAATAAGAGAAAGACGAAAATGAGAGGAGATTTGATAAATTAAGACTCCAATTGTTTTCCAACTTAAAATTATTAAAAATTATTTGAGAAAAATTAGGACTGATAGAAAAATAAAATTAAAGAAAAGCATCCAGATTAAGAAAAAAGGTTGAGGTACCCTATCTCTTTCTCAGACAGTGAAATTGATGGTGTGCTAATGCACGTGTCTCCTTTTTCAATTATAGTTTTTGCCTCGAAAATCTCTCTGGCTCTCTTGCTCCGAAAGCGTTTGAGTATTTGCGTTTGATTGAAAAGGGGAGTGCACTTATGGTCTCTGGCATGTATGGCCAAGTGTCCAGACGGTGACGCATGCAGGGAAAGCTCATGCTCTCGTAGTCGCACATTTACGCAGCGCCCAGATTGACCGACGTACACTCTCCCACATGTGCACGGAATTTCGTAAACGATGTTGACGTTGCAGTTGATATATTTATGTGTGTGCTGGACTGAGCAGTGTTCTTGTCTTTCGTTCTGGGAGTTGATTTTTGGACACAGTTTTTTAAGTTTGTCAGGAGCTGATATTACAACCTGTACGTCATATTTTGACGCTATTCGTTTCAAGTTGTGTGATACTTTGTGTTGGTAGGGTATCACTGCCGGGCGCCGTGTCTTATCTCTTCTTCTTCTTTCATTGTGAGTGGTCAGGCTCTCTGCTACATCGAACATTAAAAAACTGTTATACCCAGATTCCTGTAGTTTTTGAACTTGTGCCTCAAAACTCTGCTTGGCTGTGTGCTCGCATGATTTTTGCAAGGCTGCTATGAAGCAGCTTTTTACAATTCCTCTCTTGATTATTTTAGAATGGGCCGAATCAAATGGTAGAAGTGATTTTTTGGACCGTGGTTTGTATGTCCAGCAAGTATGGTTGTCTTCAAAGGACAGCTGAAGATCTAGGAACTGAAGCTTGCTTTCATCTGGTAGCTCGTGGGTAAAGCTTAGTCCCTGAGATTGAGTAAGGAAAGTGGTGCAGATATTGTTTACAGTTGAGTCATTTTGTTCAGGTCGTTCATGCAGTAGGACCAGATAATCATCAACATATCTGAACACCCGTGATACCAGGTTTGCTGGGAGCTTCTGGGCTATGTTCTTGTCACATTGGGCTAAGAAGATGTTACACAGAACTGGTGCCACGCATGAGCCAATGCATATTCCTTTTTTCTGGATATATGTGTTGTTGTTGAACGTCACTACAGTGGAGGTGAGGTAGAACAAAATGACTCAACTGTAAACAATATCTGCACCACGTTCCTTACTCAATCTCAGGGACTAAGCTTTACCCACGAGCTACCAGATGAAAGCAAGCTTCAGTTCCTAGATCTTCAGCTGTCCTTTGAAGACAACCATACTTGCTGGACATAAAAACCACGGTCCAAAAAATCACTTCTACCATTTGATTCGGCCCATTCTAAAATAATCAAGAGAGGAATTGTAAAAAGCTGCTTCATAGCAGCCTTGCAAAAATCATGCGAGCACACAGCCAAGCAGAGTTTTGAGGCACAAGTTCAAAAACTACAGGAATCTGGGTATAACAGTTTTTTAATGTTCGATGTAGCAGAGAGCCTGACCACTCACAATGAAAGAAGAAGAAGAGATAAGACACGGCGCCCGGCAGTGATACCCTACCAACACAAAGTATCACACAACTTGAAACGAATAGCGTCAAAATATGACGTACAGGTTGTAACATCAGCTCCTGACAAACTTAAAAAACTGTGTCCAAAAATCAACTCCCAGAACGAAAGACAAGAACACTGCTCAGTCCAGCACACACATAAATATATCAACTGCAACGTCAACATCGTTTACGAAATTCCGTGCACATGTGGGAGAGTGTACGTCGGTCAATCTGGGCGCTGCGTAAATGTGCGACTACGAGAGCATGAGCTTTCCCTGCATGCGTCACCGTCTGGACACTTGGCCATACATGCCAGAGACCATAAGTGCACTCCCCTTTTCAATCAAACGCAAATACTCAAACGCTTTCGGAGCAAGAGAGCCAGAGAGATTTTCGAGGCAAAAACTATAATTGAAAAAGGAGACACGTGCATTAGCACACCATCAATTTCACTGTCTGAGAAAGAGATAGGGTACCTCAACCTTTTTTCTTAATCTGGATGCTTTTCTTTAATTTTATTTTTCTATCAGTCCTAATTTTTCTCAAATAATTTTTAATAATTTTAAGTTGGAAAACAATTGGAGTCTTAATTTATCAAATCTCCTCTCATTTTCGTCTTTCTCTTATTATGCATTAAACAATCAGTTGTTAGTAAGCGCTTGTCCTGTCCATTCTTTGTCCTGTCCTTGTCCTTTGCGCTTTTGTAATTAAGAAGCTACACATGATGTCGGGAATGCTTCGGCGTTAGAGTGTCTCATTGAATTGGCGTTGAATACTAAGGGGCAGCCGGTGGCGGTCGTCGTGCCATTGTGGCGTAAGTTGCCCTTGGTTTGTCAGATGCCGCTTCGCTCGCAGAAGTCTCGGTTGAAATACCTGTCAAACTTGTTCCGAAACAATCTCGGCAATCAAAAAAAAGCCGGGCAACTGATGGCAGGAAGTAGCTTCCTGATCTCCTCCCAGACAATGTCGTGGATGATGTCGTGGATGCCTGGGAGGCTGGCGTCGAAGTAGTAGCTGGACAACTCGAGTGTCGAGACGCCGGGAAGTTGTTCATAGTGGCAGGCTTGGGCATGCAGTGCACATTCCATGTTGGAAGCATCAGTGATATGAACACTTCGACTGTTGTTGGGGGGTTGCGGACAAGGCTGCCGAAGGTGTTGTCTCTCACGTGAGGGGCATGGGATTCTTAGGTTCTTGTCTTCTGTAGCATCAAGGTCAGCGTGGGCGTGGGCGCTCGATCAAGCGCAAAACATCCTCCACGAGTGCGGTGGCGCTCTCATTGGGGCAGTGTCCTGGACAGAATCAAGAATGCGGCTCTCTCTCGTTGATGTTGGCTGACGAATGCGCACTTCAGCTCGATCTTGCAAACTTCCCATGACGTTAAGGAGGATCCATGGTTCCCAGACCAGCGCCTGGCAGTTTCTTCCACGAGAAGTATAGGTTCTGCAGGAGCTGGTTGTCTGTTCACCCAATGTGGCGGGCGACACTCATATTTTTCAACCAGTCCTTGACGTCTTTATACAGCTTGCGTGAAAAAGCGTCGGAGTGTGATGTGCGACGGGCATGCAGATAATGGTGGGAGGGGACGCGGTTTGCTGCTACAGGTTTGTCATTGTTGGCTTAGTCAGCTTCGGTTTTTCTGGCAGGAGACCGAATTCCGGTGTTTTTTTCTGGTAGCAGCAACTGGCTCGGATTTCAGGTGCTTCGTGGTGTATTTCCGAGGTTCCTCCTTGTGGTACTCGCTCGTCTTGCGGTTTTTCTGCCAGGCTCGGGTTAGGACTTTGCTTACGGCTCGCTGGGGGTATAAGACGCAGGATAGTCCGCCACCCGTGTCCCATTATCGGGCAACTCGACTGAGGAGCCGCCGGGTTCACACAGAGTGAAGGGCTATGGGTAAAGTACCCAGCACCTCCACCAGAACATACGATGACAGCCGAGCATGACCTGCAGTATTCCAGAATAGTGAATATTGATAGAAGATAGGACTGGAACAAGGATCCGTGACAGTATAACAAAACTCGCAGAAGAGAATCTATCCTGGCCACTGAAGAAGCTGCATTGCTTTAGTGGCACTCTGTCCGAATAAATCCTCTCCTTCGGGGTTTGGTGACTGCCGTGGACGAACTGAACTGAAATGGATGTGGGACCACTTTTCTGGTAATGAGCCACTGCAGACTGTTGCCACAAAGCGGCGTGAGCTGGGTACGTAACACGCTCGATGAAATGAAACGTTTGAGTTGACGAAACGTGCGACAGACCAGCGGGATCAATACCAACTGCAACACCTGTGCTCCGTGAAAGTGCACGTCTACGCCGGAACAATTTCGGAAGCAGCACAGCATCACCTAAAGCATGGCACAGGAACTACCAGCTTGAAGGCAGCTTTTCGGTGCGCCGCACACCTGTGCTCCGTGAAAGTGCACTTCTACGCCGGAACAATTTGTAAGCAGCACAGCATCATTCAGCTCGGCACGGGAACTACCAGCTTCAAGGCAGCCTTCCGGTGCGCCGCACAACCGAAGTGAGCCCTCGGTCATTTGACCGAAGCTGCACCGCGATTGCACACCGCCAAGCACGACTCACGCAATTTCCGTCGCTAAACTGTGTATCCAAATATATTGCACACGCTTCACTGCAAACCTCGAAGATTCCGATGGTCAACGAGAGCACAGAAACGTCGCCTTAAATTTTATCCTAGCGGTATCCGAATCAATCCGAGGTCCGAGCAACGTAGGTCAGATTGTCTCTTCCGTGGCAATATCCCGGTCGGTCACCAGCGAAATGCACACGGTCACCACCGAAATGCACACGGTCACCACCGAAATGCACACCGTTCCTCCGTATTTTCACGTTATACCTACGTCAAACACCACGCTGAACTCTGAACTCGCTTTCGACCGGCCTCATATGACGGCTTCCGCGTCTGAAATCAACTTGCCGAGACGAACGACAACCAACAAAGCATCCGACAAGCTCCGGCCCAGCTGGGGCCAGCCGCTGCATGGGCGCTGCCATCTTTCCCGTGACGTCACGTATTTGGTTTGGTCATGTGACGTGTGGTCAAATTTGCGTACAATGGCAGCCGCCTTATGGGGGTCACTTTCGAGTGCAGACCGGAACCCCGGTTTATCGCTCTAAGCGCTCTAAGCCCCTCTACCTCGTTGGCCGAGCCGCTCTGTCGGCCATGTTGTCGGCAAAACACGGGGTTCAAAGGATTGCGCTACTCTGCTTCGTAGGAGCTATATAGTGCTCTAGTTCAAGCCAGCTTCAAGCCAGTGCAATCCGATCCAGTGAGGTCGAAGTCCGGCGAAAACTGCGGCGAATCTTCTCGCATCAATTTCGCCACTATCAAGCGACCGAGGAGGCTGTGATGGCTGCCACGGAGCGACTGAACACGATAAAAAAACACTTGCAGGGCTCGGATCCCGGCGACTCCGGCGCTGGAGACGGATCCAATGCAACGGAGAACGGATCTTGCCCCGCCGCTTCGTTTTCGGCGCAAACTACCATCCCGAGGCGCAGGTATGTTCGTACGAAAGCGCTAGCTCCCGCCGGTGAAAGTGCCCTAGACGGGCGTGAACCATCTTCGCGCTTTCCTTTGCTATTTGTCGCAGTTACGCTCCGAACGGGAACTAAAGCACAGATTAATGCTTTATAAACTCTGATCACTGTCAGGTTTATCGTCGGCTCGCTTGATTTCTTTTCCCTTTTTCGTTTTCTCTGCAAACTACTTTGGATGTCTTTATCGGGCGAATTAAGTGGAATGGGAAAGGGGGTGCATGTTTGAGTGCATTTAATTGGAATGAATCCGTTGCGAACGGTTGTGGTATGTTACACGGTCAACTCGCCGTGAAAGTTCGCTTTTAAAAATTTGTGCGTTCTCTTCGCGAACGAAGAATCGAGCAAACGAAGCCCTTACTTGCGTTCGAAGAAAAGCATTCGTGGAAACATTTTTTTCTTCCACTAATGTTGCACGTTCTTTTTTTTAAATATTATTATTATTATATGCAGTAGATACGAATAAAAAAGTTTCTTTTTATGGTTTCCACCTGCGCGCGAGATTTTTTATTGCAAGTTCCTTGAATGTAAAATCTACAAACTGTCCCTTTGTAATCACGCGACGTACACGGTGTCGTTATTTTGCCGGAGTTGGCTTGGAAGATTCATTTGCATACACCTCGCGGCATTCAGAACATAATTAAAGACGACTCCCACGCACCTGAAGTTGGTATTCAAAGTGCTTATATACTACAATTAAAATATAAAAAAAAAAAAAGACATCTCAAGCTGCAGGCTGGGACATAACAGGAAGCAATTAAAGTACAATAGGCGTACCACAGATATTGTCGCCCGAACTAAAAAGAAACGCAACAGCAGCAGAAAAACAATCAAAGGTGTGCAGTCGCAGTTGGACGTCATTTGCCAGCTGTAGTAAGACATGTAGCACAGCCTGGATTTTTTTTTTTTTCTTTGTTAATGTTGGTTGGTGGTGAATTTTTTAGGGTCTGTGTGTATTGTGGTGACCAACAGCAAAATAAAAAGGAGAAACTTTTCAAGGAAAAGAAAATTTTGCAGCAGAAAATATGCCCGTCTCTTTCCACCTTTAGACGCCCAATGATCCGAGCCAATCTTGACGGAGGAGGTGCGTCACGGGACCTTGTAGTTCCCCGCGGCCCGCCTCGCACTAGAATGGAGTTTTAAGGCCGTGGCTGCAACTACGTCTATCTCGGTCGATAAGTGGCATAATTTTTCTGGCAGCATCGCACATTACGCATGTCGGGACACAGATGTGGAGGAACTACACTACGTCTGCCACACGTAGTAATTGCAGGCTGCGGCTCGAAACCATTGCTGCGGCCTCATTTTCGTTGCAAAATGATGCTTACGTTAGACGCGATGAAGGTCTAACGGCGCTTGAGAAAGAAGTCTACGGAAAGTCACACATGACACGACAAGGCCCGAGTGGCAGGCATTTGTGTGTGTGCCTTTCCTAAGTCTGGTTTTTAGCGCTGCAGGATTTTCATCATGCATAACATCTACTGGCCCATTTTTCCACTTTATGTTAATATTTCATGACAGCGTCAGTGTCTTGGAGCTGCCATAGGCTGTGCCTGGTCCTACCTCACTTGTTTGAAGATGGGAGCTTTTTGACAATAAAATAAAGGAGTCGTCCTATTTGTTTGATATTAAGAGTTATGCTCATGCAGCGACAAAAGGTTAAACTAAGGTTGATGTCTGGAAGGAGAGTTACACTGCCTTTTCTGTAACTCGTGGAGAGAGGTAGGGGAGATAGTGCAACTCCGTTTCCAGACACCATTCATAGTTTGCGCTTTCGCCACTATGTGTCGTCTTTATGTGATGAAGGTCCGTCATAGTGCACGGCGGCTTCGTGCAGCTTCCATATTTGTGTTGTGGCCATCTTGTCCCCAATGTGCGCATTTGAATGCATGTGCCATCTTTCTGTGCCTTAGAACAAACAAAAAAGTATTTTTTGCAGACATAAAATATTTTTTTAGCGATTAAAAAGTAAGTGAAAAAATGAAAGCTGTTTAAAATCCCCTGTAACACCGAATTAGAGCGCAGCTTTTGAGGAGGAGGAGGGGAAGGTACGGAGAGGAGGCTATGCCCCTCCTTCTATCCTGCTCGCTGCCCATTTAGGGGAAAATTTCCCCTGCTAAATTTAGCAGGAAAATTTTTCTGCTAAATTTAGCAGGAAAAATTTCTTACTAGATTTAGCAGGGAAAGTTTTCCGCCTGATTTAGCGGGGAAAATCCCCCGCTAAATTTAGCGGGGAAAATTTTCCGTTGAATTTAGCTTGGAAAGTTTTCCGTTGAATTTAGCATGGAAAGTTTTCCGATAAATTAAGCGGGGAAAATTTTCCGCTAGATTTAGCAGAGGAAATTTTCCGCTAAATTTAGCGGGGAAAATTTTCCGCTAAATTTAGCTGGGAAAGTTTTCCGCTAGTGGGGAAATATTTTCAGCTAGATATAGCGGGGAAAATTTTATGCTAGATTTAGCAGGGAAAATTTCCCACTAAATTTAGCGGGGAACATTTTCCGCTAAATTTAGCGGGGAAAATTTTCCACTAAATTTAGGGGAGAAATTGACCCATCATGCACCGCGTGATTACGCCGACGGCGCCGACGCTCAAGCCAGAAATGGGCGCCTAAGAGCTGCGCTCTAAAAAGAGTAGCTACAAGCTGGTGACACGCAGTCAAAACTTAAAGAGACACTGGCAGTATTTATGCTCGCCGAGGTTTTTATTTGAACATTACCTATAAGTGCCCAACTACCCAGAACATAATTTGCGGCTCAAAATTCACTCTTTTTCCACCCGAAAACAGCTGGTCGAGAATTGGCTAGTTTCAGTCACGCTCTCTCCCTTTTCCATTGTCATATGGCGTTCGAGCTATGTGTACCAAATATATTCAAAGTTGTGGGTCATCTAAGGCACATATTGAATATCAAAAATAGAAAAGAACATGAACCCCATTTTTGTGACCTCCAAAACGCTGCAAATACATAAAAAAAAAAAAAAAAAAAAGATGTTGCACAGATTACAGGAAGTACATATACACATCATTCCCAATATGACGACGTACCACAGACTGGACGACGCCATGGCGGTGCACGACGAACCAACGTTGCGACGGCCGTGGGGCCGCTACTTTGGAACTGTCGTTCGTGGTACTGGCCAATCAATCTTTCAGCTCAGAACATTGAGCGGAATGAGTATAAATGCAAAACAATCGCACAACAAACGGTACACGCAACTTAGTCGCCTTCAGCTTCACACGCCAGTGAAAGTATGCCAGGACTTCACTTAGGTGTCAGCAGCCGTCCTGGGGCACTGCCTTCTTGTTATTCTGTCTCGAATTTCACACAGTTTCTGCTAAACTGTTCACAAGAAAATAACAATGCGTATTAAGAAAAGAAAAAAAAAATTTTTTCAAGTTAGAAGGGAGCGTGGCGCTTTATGAACGGGCGTGCGAGGCGTGCGTGCAGGCAGCTTGCTCTTGTTGTGAGCAGCAAGCTTCCTCGCATGGCTGATGATGAGTCAACGAAAGTGGTTGGGATGGAACTCCTAGTGTACCACCAGCGTAGCGTCGAAGCTGGGGTTGTGCTGGGCAAGGGTCAAACACATCGGAGTAGGACGCACACCCTCGCAGCTCCCTACTCTCCAACGCGCGGTTTTGTCAGTTTCAAGAGGCGTCCAAGAGGCGCAGCATGCACAGACGTCCACGTGGTCTGCTTTTTGCATTTCATTTGAACCCAGTAGTACAAACCATCTCCATGGTGTGGTGCTGTATGTCACTCTGTTGTGTGCGTTTTCTCTCTCGCTTCCCTTGTCAGGCATTAATTATAATTAGGAAAGTTACCAGAGAAAGTATGAGATTCTTGGAAAAAGATACGAGGATGTCAGCTTGCGTCGATGTGCTGGTATGCTACCTTGTAGGGCAAAGCAGGAAAAGGGAGCGGTGCAATCTTCAAATTATGGTAAAACTTTTCGGTTTTAGGGCAGAAATAAACAGATAAACATTTTACCGGGAACAAAAATGTGCGGATGGTTCAAACCTGAAAACACCACCTGCTAGTAGTTGCGGTTATACGATACCAGGAGAGTAACAGTAGCCTTTCACCCCTTCGGTGGCATATCGCCTGGTTTTGTGCCTCTGCTGGAATGGTCATTTATGACTGAATATGGTAGCCGATGAAAGGCCTCACCTGATGTGCAGTAAGCATATGCCTTTCTGTTTGAAATTTGATTTTGCTCCTTCGTCGTTCGGTAAATGTGCTTTACCAAAAATCATTTTCTTACTAAAGCTTTGTTTTACAGTTGTTTCGTAGTCATACAACTGCTGCTGAGTAGTTGTTTAAAGGGGCCCTGCAATCATATATGAGGGTCTACCTTTTATGCGTTTTCCACGTCTCTTGGGGTTCGGGCAAGCCAGCAGGCACGGAAAGAGTAGCTAAACATCAGTGCGCCATATTTTAACCGGACGACACGGAAACCTCCTCCACCGACGAGGGCGACCTGCGGTACCGAAAGCGCGCAAAATGTGACGTCTTTGGTCCTGGGCTTACTACTGGTCAGAGCCACTAAAAAATTCTTTTTGGTCGAAATACGAAATATAAGTGGCGCGAACCGTTTCAATTATTTATAAAAGTAGTTTTTGTTCAGTATTTTAGATCAAAAAAGAAACAAATGCAGTTCATAAAGTACGGAAACAAGAAATGACCCGTCGACATACGCGCCGCCAAACGGTGGCAAAGGCGGCGCATACTAGAAAGGAGTAGTGGGATAAGGCACCGACACGGAGAAATCCCGGATGTATGCGGTGGCGCTGCAGTCGTATGGACAGGAGGATCCGACCGGCTCCAAGCGTTCCGAAGGCCTTCGGCGAGAGGCTTTGTCTTGTGGTTTGGCCGCTTCGCGGTATGGCAGCGCGAAGTGGCTCCCATTCTGAACTGATCTTTACCCCGTGTTTGCTGTTGTTTGTGGCCAATAAAGTGTCATGCCAAATTAGTGTTTAATCGCGCAGCAAACGTAATGAAAGCCGCTTTGGCTGCCCGCTGCATACAGCCTATCCAAATCATGCTTTAGTGGCGCCCTCTGGCGCCGTCGACACGGAGTGCGGCGGCCGTGAGCGCTCGATGAGCTCACTATTCCTCCTCTAGTTCACGGCCACTCAAGCCAGGACCTACGACGTCATGAAGGAGGTTATTTTTTGCTTGTTTTTGAAATTCTAAATTGCCTATAACTTTTAAAATAAAGCGAATTTCGCGAAAAGAAAAGTTTCACTAAGTTACTACGTTCAGTGCGCTCAGGTTCGGTGCAAATTAAAAAACAGTAAAAAGTCCTTGCAAGGCCCCTTTAAGGTATTCAACTCCTCCAAAATATATTATTCCAAGTGCCTCATATCGCAAAGTAAATTTTATTAGAAAAAAAATTTCAGCGTAATGTTTATGTTGCGAGACAGATTTAGCAAAACCGAAACAAATTTTGAGGTTGACATGTCGAAATAGAGGTTAGTTTCCGTTTGGCTCTGAACTCGAAATATGTCTTGTGGTGCAACTTTTGTGGCGGAAACATATTCTTTGGGGGAGTTGTTACTTTAGGAGTGGCGAGCTCTTAAACTAACATGTCTTACCTAGGCACTAAAAAAAAATATTTTGAGTGAGTGGTTACTTTAGCCAACATTCAGAAACATGTTTTCCACATTTTTGACGCAGGCAGGACCTCCTAAAGTGGAATGGCTGGGGCTACAAGGACTCTAAATTCGTGGTGGACGGAACGACGCACCACGTCTCGTTTACGGGCGACAGGTGAGCCTCATCCGAGATATTTCACTGAAGACATGTTGGCTGCCCTAGCCTGGGACACCTAGCGACGGGGAGAAACATTGAATTGCAGAAGTCTCACAGTAATGTGCCCAGATAATGTCCCTAGTTGTAGTGAGTCTACGGACGTGCATACCTTGCAGCATGCTTCCTTCGACAATTATGTAAAGCCATCAAGATGGCATACACTTGTTTTGTGCGACGTAAGGCTGCCTGCAAAATGTCGATGAGAAGATCCTCAGCTGTTTATCTACCTGAGGATCTTCTCATTGTGGGTAGAAGCTCCAAATCTTCCTTTTGTTACGACCAGATCTCACACAGTTTTGCGACGGTTTTAGGTGTTCACTCTTCACAGCAGTAGCGGAGCGAATTTTAGTGAGAGGGTGGGCGAAGGTCATATCGGTATTCCTTATCGTTAGCGGTCCTCGTCCCTCCTCGTCTGGATTGAAAGTGCCGAGTCATTGCTGACCTCACGACACTTGCCACCAGGTACAAGATCGGGAACAAAACGCTTCCTCACTTCAAGAGCTGGGTGGAGTCCGCACTGGGAGTTGACCTGAGCGTTTTGCTGCCGGCCAAGGTACGTCACGACGTCGTTCCTTCGTGTCTCGCACGTCGTCATCTTCCGGAAACGCTGAACGCCCTCTAAATCCTTCCTGCTAACCCGTTGCTTTGTTGCATGTCTTCATCGTTGTTTTGATCGTTGTACGATTCTCACGTTCCCTGTGTCTGCGTGTTGCCCGTCCCATTTCTGTCTGCTGCAACCGTCTCGTGCCGAGACATTTCAATCTTGGCAGAGCGCAGTGCAGGCACGGCTTTTGCCCAAAACGTGCCTCTAGAGAATCTCGGCAGTCGTGTGCGAGCCCGTTGCACTGTCCCGTCTCGAGCCCTCTCTTTTTGTTCTGCCGTTGCCTGCCTTTGCCTGCCCACTGCACGCCTCCTTCCTTGCACGACCCCAGGAGCCCGTACAGAGCACGAAGGCCTCCCTGCAAGACGGCTCCGTCGTCGTAAACCCCCCCAACCTGTGCACGAGGGTAAGAGTGGGTTACCCTCCCCACCCTCTTCTATCCTTTGTGTTGTAGCCTCTCGTCTGTCTCTTGGCTTGCACTTCTTCCGCTGTCGCTCTTTTGCCGTTCGTCCACTGTGTCTGCGTAACAATGGTGCCTCAAACGTGTCTCCAACTTTTTGGGCTGCAGTAAATATGCCAGTTAGAGACACGTTTCAGGCATCATTGCATAAAGCGATACGCCGAAGCCTGTCCGGTTCGGGTGTAGAACTGACTTAGAGCCGCTCTGTATCGCGGAGAAACGCCAACTCGCTGAGATTACTGCGTTTAAGGCCGAGCAGACCCGCCACCGCCAAATACTGGAGCACTCGCTGAACTCTGTTCCCACAGCAACCTCCGTCGGACCAAGACCTGCCGTCCCCAGTCGTCAACGAGGCATTTGTCGATGGGGTGCGTCGTCAGGGCATTGTGTATTCCAGCGACGGCCAGGACAGGCTTTTTCGGGCCCACGGTACGTTGCCTACGCCGGCTCCCCTGTCATTGTGAACCTTGATAGTATTTGTTTATTGATTGACCGATTGCTTGAGGGGTCGGGATTTCATGGTATTAATGAAGGCAAATCATTGATTGATTGATTGATTGATTGAGGTTTTATGGGAGAGAAGTAATAAGGCAATTCATTGGTTGTTTGATGGGACAGAAGTAATGAAGGCAATTTATTGGTTTATTTACCAATAGGTTGATTGATTGGTTTGTTTTATGGGACACAGCAGTAATGAAGGCAATTTATTGGTCGATTAGTTGGGGTCTTACGGGACACAACAGTAACAACTTCAATTTATTGGTTTACTGATCGATTAGTTTTAAGGGCCACGGCAGTATAATGAAGGCAATAAATAATGTTCCAGATGCCAAATCAATGCGGAAGAGAAGTCTGAGTCAGTTTTCAGAAACCGAAAACAAAGGCTGTAGGCCTTTGAGGGCAACAGATGCAGTGTAGCACACTTGACACCTTGCAACAGGCTACCATGTATAAGTGAGCTGTGTATTACGTTAAACACTGACTGCGCCCTCCAGGAGCCACAGAAGTGAAGGGTACTCGAGGGTTGTGCAGCAGTATCGCGAGACAGTAGTATGGGACGAGGGTCCTCTTAATTGTTTAAAAGTTTTTTGTGGAGATATTGTTTGACGACACTATGGCCTGCCTGTGCTGTGCGTTGCAGGCCACACCATGCGGGAGATCTTCACCCTCAGGGAGGGTTGCTTCCCCCGCATTCCCGACTTGGTGGTTTGGCCCAGTGAGTCACTTTCTTTCTTTCTTTCTTTCTTTACATAAAGAGTGAAGTCTTTAGTTACTTTGCAAGGTCTTGGGATGCGAATGTCGTCAAGGTAGCACTGCCGTAACTTTCGGAGCATAAGGCATTGGGTTGCATTGCACTCGAGACCTTTTGCCGTGCTCGGATTTCTGCTGCGTCACTCTTGTTTCCTGGAATTGTGTTTTTGTCTTTTTCAGCGTGTCATGAGGATGTCGTTTTCCTGGTCTCCATGGCGAGCCAGCACAATGTCGTTTTGATCCCCTTCGGAGGTGGGTTTTGGAATCCCGCATATCTTCCTTCGTTGTCTACTAGCTGTAGTGTAACATTTAATTTCCTATTGTAGGCCAAATCCAATTAGTTTGACTCGGTATGACTTCAAAATATCGCCAAATTGCCGCAGTATTGCCATCAATTAAAAAAAATTTGGTAATGCAAGAAATTGCCTACATTACTTTGGTACATGAAGGCTCGAAGCAACGTCAATTTAGCGCAATATGACCTTAAATAAAACAAGTATATTCCGCGGTGCAGCCTTGAGTAAAATTAGTCTTCTGCAGCGTGTCCTTAAATCAGATTAGTTTATTACAGTGACAAATTCTTCTATCCAGAGTGCCTTCAAAGTTTTTTTTAGAAATTGAATGTGTTTTTTTTGTTTGTTTTCCACAAGGTGGCACCAGCGTCTCCGGAGGTCTTGAGTGTCCCAGCAATGAAGCGAGGATGATCGTTTCCCTGGACACCTCGCAAATGGTGGGTTCGTTGGCCTCATGGTATTACTCTGGGTTCATTGATCTCATAATATTGTAAGTTCATTGACCTTGTGGCACCCCTTTTCTTGGTTTTGACGCAAATTCTGATCTTCTGTTTGCTCACGCAGAACCGAATTCTCTGGGTGGACAAGATGAATCTGACAGCAAACATTGAGGCCGGCATCATCGGGCAAGACCTGGAGCGGAAGGTGAGCCTTTTTTCTTTCCTTTGGTTGGAGCTGCGTTTGCGAGTACGCAAGCACAAATATTTCTATTTATGAACAAGCTTTTTAAGAAACAAGTATCTGATAAGGATCAAATTTACATTAATAAATCAATACTGCTCTTAATATGCAATTTCATGTTAATAAACACATGCGCATGAAAAAAACAAATCTGTTCAAAAAACAAATCCGAGAGACAAATGTGTGTTAAGAAACAGACACGTGTTAATCATTTTCATGTTTATAAACATCTTAAACAAATTTGCTTTAATGAGCAAATCTGTTAAAAAGCAAATTTCCGTTAATAAACATTTTATGAGCAAATGTGCATTAATAGATAATTTTGCATTGAAAAACAAATATGTGTTAGGCAATTTTATGTTAATAAACAAATTTGTGTTCATAAACAAGTGCGTGTAAATGAACAAATGTGCATTAATAAATGTACGCGTTGATGAGCAATTTTTGGTGTATGGACACATTTGCATTTATGAGCAAATGTGCGTTAATAGACAATTTTCCATTGATAAACAAATATGTGTTAGGAAATTTTATGTTAATAAACAAATTAGTGTTCATAAACAAGTGCGTGTAGATGAACAAATGTGCATTAATAAATGTGTGCATTGATAAGCAATTTCTGGTTAATGGACACATTTGTATTTATGAACAAATGTGCATTAATAGATAACTTCGCATTGATAAACAAATATGTGTTAGGCAATTATATGTTAATAACCAAATTAGTGTTCATAAACAAGTGCGTGTAAATGAACAAATGCACATTAATAAATGCATGCATTGATAAGCTATTTTTGGTTAATGAACACATTTGTATTTATGAACGAATGTGCATTAAGGGGGGACACTGGCTAGAAGTCAAACTTTTGAACTACTCAAGTGATTGGAATGAAATTTGCAGGGCAGGTTTAGCTTCAGATGTAGGTGTACTGTGCAAACTTTCAGCTCTCTAGGACAAATTTACATACCTGCATAAGATGATGTGTCACTTTTCATTAAGAAATCTATGATATGCAAATGAAGCTATTAAGCATCCTTTTGACTGCTTGAATATAAAGTGGGGAATATGGGACTTTGGGCTATCTAGTTTTAATAACTTAAATGTAAATATTTCAGGAAGAGTTATTACCTCAAACTATGAGATGCATATCTGTCCTCTGTCAATTTTTGAAAACTTGGTTTTTTATCACTGAGGACTTCAACCTATAACAAAATAAAGTAGATAGCCCGATTCCTGAGTAAATTTCAGTTCAGAAACATCTTGATTGTGGTATCAGAATACTTTCACCTTCGAACAAAAGATTCCTTCGTATGAAATTTGCAGCAAAAAGTGGAACTGAGAAAAATGCATTCAAACATTGAACTCCTTTACTTTGTTACTGCCTCACAATGTGTTGAAAATATTTGATATCAATGTAACTATTTGGCATATGGTTATCAAATTTGGTGTAAGGGTGTATAATTAGTTTCTAAAACTGAAAACCACAAAATTAAAAAATGCATTTTTTCAAAAAAATTTAAAATTTAGGCCCATGTCCCCCCTTAATAATAATGCTTGTCTCGCGCTGTGTTTTGTTTATGTCTTGAATTTGAATTTTCTTAGCTGCCCCGTGCTTAGGTAGTACGAATGAATGGGTATCTTGCAGCTGGCAGAGCACGGTCTGTGCACGGGACATGAGCCGGACTCGTACGAGTTCAGCTCGCTGGGGGGCTGGGTGGCCACCCGAGCATCGGGCATGAAGAAGAGCGTGTACGGCAACATCGAGGACCTGGTCGTGCACGTGCGCCTGGTCACGCCCAGCGGAGTGCTGGAGCGCAGCTGCCAGGTGCCCCGCCTGTCCGGCGGGCCCGATGTCCACCACTTTGTGCTCGGCTCCGAGGGTGGGTTGCACCGCGGGCTCTCGTACACGCGCCCAACGTTGCTACGGGGCCCAATCGAAAGAATGAGGTGCAGTTCTACGGCGATAGCTGTTATGGAGTCTCCCCACCACTGGAAATGACGTCCATTGTTGATGTTGTATTTGGCAACTGAACCTGGGTTCGCCCCGAGTAAAGCAGAGGCATTACCACTGAGCTACGCAGCGTTAACAACCCTCTCTAAACTTAGGATTTTTATAGTACCCGATGCTCACTGTGCGCCCTCTCTGGAAAAAGAAATGGGTGATAACAAAATGCCATTGTAGCATTGTCAAGGCCAAGAGCTCATGCTAGGAGATGCGCTTTCACGCCCGTGAATGCAATGCCGATGCCCAAGGACTTTGCCGTGATTTGTTGCAGCTATTGCTGTGGCTGTACTGTGGGTTAATGCGGGACTGCTCTATTTTTTCGGTTCGCAAAGATAAACTGTACTGCATTGCAGAAAGCTGGAACGCCATGAGAACGTGACGCTGGCGGTGGTGACAAAATGTGAAAGCATGAGAACATGACGTTACCTGAATAATGAGATTGAACAGACAACAAAATTTCCCTGGGACCCAAGGTCCACCAAGCCTCATATTCATTGAGACAAAAAATTATATTCTGGGTGCCCGTAGCATTAATTGCAGTGGCAAACACGAGCACCACTTTCGAAATGGGCATTGCAGGAGCTTGCCATTTTGAGAAGTGTGCATACCGTAAAACTTCTTTATAGATGCATTTCGGAAAAATCTTGGCTAAATTTTATTGGAATTTTTATTGGTAATAAAGAGTACCTTGAATGCCTGTAATATGTTGTGAGCAAAGTTCAACTTTGCTTCACTTTATCTGTCTTTACTATGGAAAAGCTCTACGTTTCTTTCTGTTTCCTGGGCAGAAATGTTCTTTAGCTGCATCAGGAGCTTATTACGGTTTCCCTGCAAAATTCTGGTCATGGTCGATTCGGCTTCCCAGGGTTTAAAGATGGTTGCTAGCAGTTTCAGCCCAGTGACACTAAAAAAATCTAATGTGTTGTCTGCTTTTTTTTCTTCTCTTTTTCTGCTGCTCCTTTTTTGACTCTTTCTTCCAGATTCGTCAATGTCGGCGCTTAGGATTTTTCTCATTTTTTTTTCGCACCTTCACTTACCCGCCAGTGTGTAGGTGTTGACTATTTGAGCATTTAATGTGGATTTCATACTTACTTAGTTATTGTTCTTAGTTTCACTGCTGTGGTAATATATATATATATATATAAGTCAAAGATGCATACTGTCGGAGTTACAAATTCAAAGTTTATTACGACGTTTCGAGCGGGGACTGCCCTTCACACTCGAAACGTCGTAATAAACTTCGAATTAGTAACTCCGACAGTACGCATCTTTGACTTGTTAACTTTTCCCGGTCCATTGTTTTTATATTTACCTTACTTTACATATATATATATATATATATTGTTAGGCTGATGCTGTCGGCAGCATAAACGACAGGACAGGCGATGAGAGAGAGCAGATAGAATGATTTATGGAGGCCGGGTCGGCCCGTGGAGCCTGGCGCGAGATGGTCGTGGGTGCCACTGTCCCATCGTCGTCTTCACCTTCCCAACAATATATAAATCTATTTTTGTGTGTGTATTGTGTCTTGTTTGAATTGCACAAAGTGATTTGTACCACTGCCGATATGGGTTAACGCGTCATCAAGCTTTGTGTTGAAGCTTTTTTCCTGCTGCTCCACCATTTTTTTAAAAATGGAAACAAGCGTCATTGTTATTATGATTAGATAGAGCGGCACTGCGACTGACCCGTCCCAATGTCGGCAGGTACGCTGGGGGTGGTGACGCAGGTGACCATCAGGGTGCGCCCGCTGCCCGAGTGCCAGCGGTACGGGTCCATCGTCTTCCCAACGTTCGAGCCCGGCGTTGCCTGTCTCCGAGAGGTTACCAGGCAGGTGAGGACGAACAAGAGGAGCGGGCTGTGTACCGCAGAGCAGTCTGTACACTGTACGCGAGCCAAAAGCACAACGTTGCGGGTTTCGTCGTCTTATTGCCCCCGTGAAGTGCCAAAAAAGTGGAGTCCAAATGGGTTTTTATTTTCAGACGAGTTGTTAATTCACAAAATATTTATTTAGGCAGGGGTCTCAAAGTTATCAAACAAAAATGTTGTAGGGGCCCCTTGGTAACAAGTGGTTAGTTAGCGATCAAAATTTAGACTTCACTCGGTTAAAGAAGAAAGAAACAGAAAAAAAAAGCTAGGGAAAAAGAAAGTTGCTGCTTACGTATGTGTATCGGCTGTCGCTGGCTATTTTGATGAAACATACTGATGAGTGCACCTGGATCTATTGTTCTTTTATTCTATGAATTCCATTCCACATGTCATCTAGCCTTTACATACGGTCCAATTTGTTTTTATTGAACATTCTGAAGCAATTCGAGACTGAGGAGTACGAAAGTTGACACCAAGAGAAGAACGTCTCAAACCCAGCTAAAATTTTATCGTGGGTTTTCACCTTGTTTGACCCTTACATAAAGGGTTCTGTCCGCAATAAAATTTTAGCTGCATTTTAGACGTTCTCCTCTTGGTGTCAATTTCTGTATGCCTCATTCTCGTGTTGCTTCAAAATGTTCCCTATACACCTGCTCACTTGTGCTCGTACGTTCTGTTTGTGTTTGTTTAGTGATACCCATCACTAGCAAAAAACGCCTTCTCATCGGTGCATCCTAAAACAAACAAAAAAGAAACACTTATCAAATGCTCTAACATCATACAGACAAGAATAATAAACAAAGAAAAAAAAACATCCTACTTGAGCTTTGACATCATGCTAAGTTAATAAAATAGCTTACGGTGAAAAGGAAGTACTATAGGTGTCTCCTCTTTCAAACTTAAGAAACACGCGGTGCGGCTTATTATCCTTGCACTTCTTACTTTAGTGTTGGGTGTCCTTATAGATCGGCCATCTGATTGGCTGGTCTATAAGGACTCTCACCATCCTGTTCAGCTGTCGGTGGCCCTGCCCCTGAGCGTCGTTTTAGGTTATCTTTGTGCGGTAAAGAGACGTCCATAGGCATGGCTCCTCCCTCCCTGCAGCCATCTGGAAACCGAGATCCGGCTGTCCCGCAGTGCTGCTTTGACCCAGCGCTGTTGGGAATGAACGTCTTCCTTTCTTTCTTTCACTTCCAGCAAATCAGGCCAGCCTCGATTCGTCTCATGGACAACACCCAGTTCATCTTTGGTAAGCTCTTTATGTATTTACATATATTCACGCAATGCTATGTATTTCGTCGGACACGAATATACACTAACACGGGCTTAGTTGCATGGTCTATTGTTGTTGATTTCCATGTGTAAAAGTTGCGAGTGTAGAAAAAAAACAAAAAATTACTCGCGTTCTCTCTGCCATCTCGTATCCGTCCTTTCTTTGGCACTCGTCCTGTCCTCCTTTACCGTAGCTTTTTTTTCTGAATTTGGTAGGCTTTTTCCAGGGAAAGTCATCTCCATGCATGCCAGTAGTTCTCATATCACTAGCTTTGATTCACCATATTAATATCCAACACAAACAAGTTATACTCTAGTTACGGTTTACTTCGCTTTGACCATATTTTCAATCTATCTGCCTTTACTAAGAGGGGTTCCACATCACCTTAGCTACAATCAATCCATGTCCTCGTCGTAAGCCCGCGGACAGTACGAGCGCAAACACCCGATCCAGATTTTTTGTGCGTCTGTGCGGTCCCCACATGCCCTCTCATCTCTCAATTTGTCAAATGGTCCGAAGTACGGGACCCCAATTTTGCCTTCCATTCCTAGTTTGGATCGCGGATCTCAGAAACTGGCAGGTTCGCCAAAGAAGCGCAAAGGACGGTTTCAGTGCATATCGTCTGCTGTGGTACCCGTCTAGAAAATTGTGTTATGTGTATGTTTATACAGCCAGAAGTTTGTCTGCTTCAACAGGCGACTTTTCTCCCAGCTGTAGATGAGCAATTTCGCCAGTGCAGTACAACCGCTAGCCTGGGGTCTTTAACGCGCACCACGCAGTAGCGATACACGACCGTACGCCGGTACGATGCTCTTCCAGGTCGAAACGGGCAGGGTGGAGATTGAACCCAGGATCCCTGGGTTCCGCAGTGCGATCCCTGCATCGGTTGTGATGTCCCCAACTTCGTCTAATCTGTGAATGGATGGATGAATGCAGGCCAAGCCCTGAAGCCCGAGGCGAATTCTCTGCTGGCGCCGCTCTGGGACGGCTTCAAGAGGTTCTATGTGACACGTGTCAAGGGATTCGAGGTGGACAAGATGTGCGTGGCCACACTGCTCTTCGAGGGCAGCAAACAGGTGAGGCAACTCTGGGTGCCATTCCCTCTCCCTCCTCCTCTCGCCTTTCGTAAACAGTTTTAAGAAGGCCTTCTTCCAGAATGCTTTTTGTGTGTTTGCTCGGAACGGGTGCACGGTACATTTGTTTGCAAAAAGAGTGCAGTGTCATGAGCCGCCCCCTTGAGACGTAAATCCCAAATCCAAACTGAGCATCTTGAGACAATGAGATGTCATTGCTGTTTTGAGACCATAACGTACCTAGTGTGTACCTTACGGTTCACGGGCTGGGCATCACTATCACTACAAGGACCGTGGCTAGCCGCGGGCCGGGTTTTGAAGGCTCCTGTTCTAGAACATTGTTGTAAAATCTTGTAATGTATCGCTTGTTCCCGTGTAGAATGCTCTAGACTCTGTAGTCTGTGTAGAAGCTGAGACTGGCAACATCAAGTCAGTTGCTCTTTCATTGCCGTTGCACAATGTACGGTTCCTTGTGGTTTAAGTTTGTAGGCACAGGCTCACCTCATTAAATGTCTACTTTCAGTTCCACATTCATCTGCTACTTGTATTTGTGACAATATTGTGCATTTCACACTCTTGTTTTCTGTCTTGAGACACCGAATTCTGAAATAATCTCAAGAGACTGAAAAGCTGAATGTGCTGTTGAGAAGTAAAACTCTCGGCCATCTTAGAGACCAAACTCCGAGCCTCCTTCTGTCACTCAAGTCACAGGATTCTCACCAAGTTCTAAGACCGAGTCTCATGGGTGCCTTGTAGATCAAGTGTACATCTCTAGAAAAAACCAGGGGTACACACTTTTCGTGTTGCCTTTCTCATGTGACGCATTGAAGGGTAGCGTGCAGTTTAGAAGCAATCTAATTTAGACCTAAAGTGTTATGAAATTGTTTCCTTCGCAGATTCAAATACGTAGTAGTTTTGAATAATATGATAATTGATATTCGCTTCAAAGTGAACTGCAATATTTATATTTTTCTAAGTGCTGATCGCAACAAGTTATCCCTGTTGAGTGCACTTCTTACCGAGTGCTGGTGCACGGCAGGGAAGCAACACCCTGCGGAGCTTGCTTCTGTGGTGTGCCGGTGCATGGTAAGAACCGCGATCAACACTCTGAAAAGTACAAATATTGCAGCCGCACACTGCTGATGTATGTAAAAAGAAGCAAACTTGATGAACGTTGATATCCACATTGCAGTAAAATTTCCAGTAATAAACTGGCATGCATGAGCATATGTTAAGCAGACATGCCCCGACAACCTGCGTTAATCATACGTGATTGAGGAAAGGATGTTTGCATACAGCAAGAATATTTATAAATCCCCTTGATTAGGTATAGCTGCACATCTCCATAGGCTTGGCATAAGCCTGGCAACAACGTTCGGAAGTTCAGCTGGGTTTTTGTTTAAGCACGTTGCAGTAGTGAAAGGCTTTGGGAAACTATATTCGAAATTTGGTTTGAACATATTAAACTAAAACCACTATTCGCTTCAAATTCAAAATCCACTATTTGCACATGGCTACTTTGCAGGAAGTGGACATGCAGGAAAAGCGGGTCTACGAGATTGCAGCAAAGTTTGGGTGAGTGATAGAAATATAAATTGCTAGTTTACATGCAGAGATTGGGCCCTCAACAACATTTTTGTTTCGACACCAAACTGGCTGCAAGAATTCCTATTAAAAGTTGCTCTAGTCTTCGAGAGGTAAACTTGTAATACGAAGGCAGTCGAAGCATTGGCCAAATATTGCGACTGTGTCGTTCGGTCACAGACACACTTCCAGGGCCTGTCCTGCCTTCAGTTCCTTCCTATATTTCTGGAACACTGCAAAGGAGATATGCCTGGGTGTACCCAGGCATACTTGCAGTTAATTTGTAATTAACCAGGCTGTGCCATCTCCTTACTGAGAAGGATACATCAGGACGAGATACATTGTTCTCAATGCAACGGCTGTGGAGAACACTGCCAATCTCCCACGAATGAGCCGGCATTTCTGGCACTGGAAATGGAAGAAATGATGCGTAGGTGTCACCTTGACAGTAATACATTTCATTAAACAAATCAGTTAATGGTTGAGTTTCGTCATATCCTTACCAGGGAAACAACGGAACAATAAGTTACCTTATTCTCTAAGCAACGGTATTCGGCGAGTGCTTTTTCTTATTCTATTTTTCTTTTCGCAATGCAGCGGTCTGGCAGCCGGGGAAGAGAATGGTCTGCGTGGCTACATGCTGACTTTTGTGATCGCTTACATCAGGGTGAGTGTGCAGAGCGATCACCCACGTTATTTTGGGCATTAGGTAAATTGTCGTCCGAAGTCCCTTTCGGCTGAAATAGCCCCCGTCTCTTCCTGACAGGACCTTGGCCTGGACTTTAGCGTCGTGGCTGAATCCTTCGAAACTTCGGTTCCCTGGGACCGGTGAGAACTAGTTCATCCCTCCTAGTGATTCGCTCTTTCTCGGATCAGTTGAATCGTGGTCGCACCAGTGAGCAAACATCTCTCAAACACTTCAGGTTCCCAACTAGATGGTGGGTTTCGCGGTACTTGCGAGATTGAATCTGCGTAGTGTTTTCGGAAAATGGTTGCTTATGCCATTCTTCCGGGTAATTCACTCTTATCGTGAAAGAATGATGCATAAAAATTTAGAAAATATGTCGACCTGAAGTGTGCCAGGACTATTGACTTGATGACGGCACAAAGTTTGTTGCTGGGAACAAAAAAGGCCGAATAATTGCGAGGCGCCACGTTTCACAACGTTCGCAGTCATTGTGCGACCGGGATTTCAAGTGTGATGCTTGGGATACAGGACTGTGGGTGCCACGAGTGCCAACTCGCTGGTTTCGGAACTACAAGATCACAAACCTCAGACCTTATGAGAATGCTTTATGAGAATGTCTCGAATTTCATGACTACAGCTTCTCGGAGCTTCCAGGAGTTTGGGGAGCAGTAACTCATAAATGTCATAGCTTTAGCATGAAGTGCTTTGCCATTTCATTACCATGGGATAGTGTAACTTGTGATTCTCATATATTTGGAATCCAGCAGCTTACAAGTTTCCTGGGTAGTAAAGTAAATAATGAAACTTGTGTATTCCTGAATTCTAAAATTTTGAGTAATTTACGAGCCTGTTGCCTTTAATAATAGAGAAACCTACTACTAGTATTTTTCAAGTTGAGGATCCAAGAATTCACAAGGCTTGGCAAGTCTAGAGATGGATGAATTGTAAACTTTATTACTTCATGGTATGAACAGTGGCTTAAGGCTGGGGTAAGATGTTCCCTAAGTCTCATAAATGTAAGTTGGGCCGACTCAAAAGTCTCGTAGTTCCAACATGGAATCATTTGCAACTAATCAATTATAATTTAACTTGTTTCATAGTTTTTAGATAGACAAGTCTCATGAAGTAATGGCACTAGTTGAGCTTGTCCTATAATTGCTGACAAGTCTCATAAATTTAGTTTAATCCTTGTAATTCCACTATGATTAGCTTGTGAGTCTCGTATTTCTGAGTCTCATGATTTGGGTTTATTTTTTGGGGGAGGTGGAATGCAAGGCTCAAACCTTAGGGTAGGTGATATATCAAGCTTTGTAACTTGTGCCACATTAGCCAATACGCATTGTCAATCCATGCAGGGTGGCTGACCTCTCAACTCCATATTGCAGGGAGGTTGACCACTCGTAACTTTCACAACTCCATCCATAACTTTGCAGGTTGTTTGACCTCTTGTTACTTCCATTGTTTTACAGTGTACCTCATAACTTCCATTACTCTATACTGCAGGTTGGTCAGCCTCTCACAACTTCGTATTACAAGGTGGTTGACCTCTCATAACTTGACTTTGCAGGGTGGTTGATCTCGTAACTTTCATTGTCTTGCAGGGTAAACCTCGTAACTTTCGTAACTCTGTCTTCCAAGGTGGTTGACCTCTCTCGTAACTTTGACGATTCCCATCTGCAGGGTGGTGGACCTGTGCCGCAACGTGAAGGACGTGATCGTGCGCGAGTGCCACTCGCACGGGGTGTCCCTCCCCCCACTGGCGTCGTGCCGGGTGACCCAGACGTATGACGCGGGGGCCTGCGTGTACTTCTACTTCGCCTTCAACTACACGGGCGTCCAGGACCCTGTGCACGTCTACGAGGAGATCGAGGTCTGTGCAACTCTACGTCCATGCTCGACGCAAAAAGGAAAAATTGGCGTCTGTATTTCGGTGCCTCAAATGCATCTCCAATCAGCTTGTTTAGCGCTCCATTCCGACCATGCGTCGAAAGTGGTCGCGAAGCGGCAGCAAATGATGTCGCAGAAGGCGGCGCATCATGCTGTATTTCTTTTTATGCTTTTTAAGGTGTGCTCAAACGCGCCAATCAGAGATGCGTTGCAGGCACTGTAGCTGTATTTCAAGTCATCCATCGCACAAACGTCACATGCGAAGTTAAGAAGCGACAGGCTTTCGTCACGTAACGTAGCGTGTCACACGATGCCACGTGGCAGCCCAGGGGTGGAACGGCTGCGCCATTTGCGCCATTTTGCGCCAGACGCATGTGTCTGCGCCATCCTGCGCCATGTTGCAGAAACTGCGCCACAGCCAATACCTCGCGCCATTATGCGCCAAATCGCAAAACGTGCGCCAAAAACTTTTTATTTTGCTTTGGTTTCGGTTTTATTTACTCGATGGGCAACAATGAGCGCGTTTAGCTTGGATCGGCCTTGCAATCCTTTGTTTTGTTTATTCTCCCTGTGTATCCCGAGTCGGAAGCGCGCGAAAAAACTCGGATTCTATAGCGCTACACCACCTGCGACTGAATTGTTATTCTTCAACCACAAGCGGTTACGCAAGTCGGCTGAGGTGAGGTCGAGTCGTTAAGCGTCAGATTGCCTGAGGCTCTGCAGCCTAGGTTCCGGACGTCAGCCAGTTGAAAGCACATCAGCAAACGATTCCCTTTAGTACGTCATCGTTAGAAGTCGGAACCGCATTCTCGCAAGATAAATCATGATTTGATATAACTGAAACGTGGTCCGATCCGAAACCTTGCCGGCTAGCAGCTCTTACGCGAGTGGTAGATCTACTCGGCGTGCATTAACCTTGCTCCTGCTTATCGCTTCAAATACGATAACTTCGTTAATCGTAGTCTGCTGCTTCGATATCGAGTTGCACTATAGGATAAACTCGAAATATGTTGCCCTGTTCCTCCGTGCAACTGCACGCCCGTTGCTTACGCACGTCACGTGGTTCGCACATATAATTACTATGTCGAGCACGTGTGGGTTGTGCGATAAGCAGTGCTGTTTTGCGTTTTGAGCAGCTGAAAGCCATTCAGAAAATATCAAGGACGCTATCCTCAGAAACATAGGGTACTTGCTTTTTGATTCTCATTAAGGCTCACAAAGTTTTCGCATCTGTTACACTGTTCCCCCATCTACCCGGGTCCCTAACCACTCATGTTCATCTTTGCTGCTAAGCACGATTGAAATTGCTCCCGTGCTTGTCTAAGACACAAGCTGAAGTGTAATGCAAACTGATCTGAGCTGCTCCTAGCCTGCTCCAGAACGTAGTTTTAGCTGCTCCCAACCTGCTCCAAAACAGCTGTTTCAGCTGCTCCCGTGGCTGCTCCCAACTACATTGCATGAGTTCCACCCCTGCAGCCTCGTGCACGCCGTAACGTCACGTGGCGTGGTCGCGTTACGCTAAGACTCGACAACTAACGTTCCAGATCCAGCGTTGCCGACACCGCAATGTTGCACGACACCACTTCTTCGGGTCGCGTGGCGATGTCAGGTGATCCGACGTGTCATGCTCGTCACGGACGAGCAGGAGGTCAGAGTTAACTTCGATTAGAATGCAACTCTGCATTAAAAGGCTGTTTGCGAACGGACCACGTCGTCAGTGACCTATGTCTGCTCTGTTTTACGAGTTCGAAGCAAATTCAGGAAGTGTTTTTGGTTGGGAAAACATTAATGTGCCTAACTTACGCACACTTTTTTTTTTCTTTTTTTAGGCAGCCGCAAGAGAGGAGATTTTGGCGTGCGGAGGTAGCATTTCCCACCATCATGGAGGTAACATTTATTTGAATGTCTTGCTCCGGTCACAGCAATGGTTGCGGTTTTCAAATGCAGGGAGAGGGAAAGAGAGTGTGTACATGAACTAGACGTACCAAAGATGGCATGGCTTTAGATTTCAACGACGAGTGTTATGTTACACCCGAAAGATGTTGCCCCATGTTTGGCCATTCTGCGTATTTGTCCTTTAGGTAATAAAGTAGCGGTCAGTTTGGTATATTTGTTGCTCCCTTACGCAACGCACCAGTTTTGTACAGATTGCGCTAGTTCGTAGCATTCTGTTTGAACCGCGAGTGCAGAAATAAAAAAATGAGTGGTTCAGCTGCCTCCGTGCAATCCGCGAATAAATGTTGTTTGCTAAATTAGCGGACGATATTCACCCGTTGGCGCACTTGCCATCGGGCGACGCTCGACAAGCAACAGTTGAAGGGGTTCGAGCAGTTTGTTGTCTTCCGCTGTTTGGTCTTGGTCATGACTTGGCATCAGGCTTTCTTCTTCTTCATTAAAGGCGAGCTCTGTCGGTTCTTCAGGCCAACCAAACTAAACACGTTTTGGAATACCCTCTTTTTGACATGCGATTTATTATCCCTAAATTCGAAATGGCCATCGAGAAAATGGCAAATGAGGGCGATGCCAACACCAACGTTCAAATTTTCCCGCACACACCCGTGTCGCATGTTGTGTAATTTGCGAATCGAGCAGGCAGTCTAAAAACACGGTAATGTACCAAGCTTTTCTTTTTTTTCTGCATAAGCTTAATCAGAATTTATTTTACGTCATCACGCTTTTCGTCAACTGTCAAAACGAGCTATATTTGCTCGCCCCATATCACATCCAACGTCATATTTTTAGTGTTGCCAGTTAGAGCCCCTCTCCGACCAAATTTGAAACTTCAACAACTTTGCGAAACGAAATATTTGCGACTCAGAATTTGGGTTACTAGCTGTTCAGATGTCCGTATTAATGCGGTTAACCAAATTTGAGGCAAATCGGTGACTAGCGAAATTTCGCCAAACGTGCAAGACGCTTTGAAAATGAAATTCAACCACTTTGCCGTTCTTCGTACGGTCTGCAATGGTCTTTGTCCTTCCAGTGGGGAAGATCCGCAAGCGCTGGCTGGAGCAGACCATCTCGAGCACCGGAGTGCAGATGCTGCGTGCGGTGAAGCAGAGCGTGGATCCGCAGAACATCTTTGCCAATGGGAACCTCATGCTGTAGCGGGCGCCCGCAAGACAACGACTCGCCAAACCACGCGGTCCAACAAAAACTGTCCTTTCTCGCGAGGGCCAAAGTGAACAATAACGCTCGACGCCCCCTCGTGTCGCCGGGGGCACGGGAGGCCGCGTAAACGGCGCCCGCATTCGTAATAATTGCGTCCCACTAGAGCGACAAACGGAAACAACCGACGCCTACGGGCCGCAAACACACCGAGGTATCTTTGGCAGGCTTGCAATCGGTCGCAACCAACGACGGCATGATCCTTCTATGACGTCATCAGGCGGAAATCGAGGGAACACTTCTCTGGACGCGGTAAACAAACCGGTCCAAGACCCGTTCTAGGCACCATATCGCAAGCTACCTTCGTGTGCAAGCTGCGCTTGCTCGAGGCTGGTCGGTTATGTCGCTCTAGTGGGACTTGGGCATAACCAACATTCGCACCAAACGTTCGTTCCCACGTCATATTCTTGGCCGTCTGTAGGTTCGACGATGAGCCCAAAGTTGCATTCGTACGAACGAGCACTGGCCGTTTTCTTTCACCTTTTTCTTTTAATGTAACTGGTTGTTTTTTTTACATTTCCCCAAACTGTGCCACATTTTTTGGATGTGAATAGAACACTGACATTCCCACTCTATTCCAGTTTTGTCTGCTTTTCTTGTCTCTTCATAGCGAGAATATTGAATTTACTCCGTGTTAAATTTCCTTTGATATCTCAGCAGCCAGTCGATGACTAAGCGTCGGGGTGGAGAATAAAAATTAAGACGATTTAAATTGCACCGGTTTTACTAAGATGATCAAACCTTTCCCGCTCAAATAATTTCCAAAGTGCTCTTTATTTTCTGCTTGTCTTCCACTTGACGCTTTCTGCGCTCGCATATTTTGTATTCAAATTGAAAGATCCTCGAGCAAAAAAGATTTAAAGCATGTTGGTTGCAACTTGAACACCATACTTGGTTTCAGCTTAAGTAAAGACTCAGTCAATGCCACAAGCATGAGATCTGGGCCTCCAGCATCCCTGCCAAGAACGAATGCATGTGCACTGCAAGCACCGTGCTCACTAAAAGTAATATCTGCTTTTTTTTCTAGTATGGCCGGTTTACATCAATAAATAGTTGTTAATTAAACTGTACTTAAAAGGCAACTCCGGTTGAAAATGAAACCAAAATAAATTATTGGCATAATTTTTGTGGTACAAAATATTACATCAAAGTGAAGCCGCATGCTCCACTAAAACAGATTTTAAAGATGTGACCAGCTGCTCTTTAGCGGGTGGCAAGCGGGTCAGCTTTTAGTCAAAGAACACTGGTGCTGCACCGCCGTGACATTGCATCGTGGTGGAGCTATGGTTGATGGTTGTACCAAAGCACCGTGGTGACGTCGGGTCGCGGCTGGATGGATGTTAACGGCTATACCCTTATTAACAGGCAATAGCTTGCGCCACCTAGCCCAAGCCTAAAAAGACAACCATATGATTCCTCCCACCTTTCTAAGCCGATTTTCTCCCCTTAGCTATTGCCAGGATGATCCTTGGGGAATCATCTTTGGGGGCGACTTCCTTGGTGTGGGAGCCTCTGGTCAAACCTTGTCGGCGTTACCCCAGCACCAGACCCACTGAGGGACAGGGATGAGACCTTGGGCCGGAGCCACGCTTGAGGGAGTCCCAATTTCCTCGGTCCCGCCTGTCCCCAGTTGTGCATAATTCAATTTTCCCTAGACAATTTCCACCAATTTTCTAATCGCCTCTTCGTGACTGCAATCCTTTTCTCCTCCGTCCATCCATCGTCGCTAGCTAAACCCAGGGCCCCGGCCAAATCCGTTACCTCTTCAGGGAGAGCAGGGCAAAGTCCCGTGCACTTCAAAACCAAGTGTTCTAGTGTCTCGCTTTCATTACGACGGGCGGCACATAATGTGTCCGTCTCCTGAAATTTAGCCCTATTAGTTTTCGTCCTCAAAACTCCTGTTCTCGCCTCGAACAGTAACGAATTTCCCAGTGAGTTGTCAAACACATTTTCCTTTCTTATGTCCTGTTTTTGTGACCTGTACATTGTTAGAGCTAATTTTTCCCGCATTCTTCTCTCCCACATTTTTGCCTCTTTCACTCCCTTTTTCAGTGAAGTAGTCTGCTCAGTCCAATCACTAGTGTGCAGGTACTTAAATGTCAGCTTTTGGGTTGTCCATTTGGTGTTTAAACTTTTCATGTATAAATACCTTCCGTGCCCAACGCGTATCATCTATTGCGGTCAACCTTTGTTCAAATTTCAACTTACTAATTGGCTCCCTGCTCTCAAGACGACCAGCCCATGTCCCCGTGTACTCCCTCATTTGGTGTTTTTCCATGTGCTCCCAGTGCCAATCTGCCTACGCTTTGTCGAATATCTAATCCTGATTGAACCTGCGATTTCATGCACAGTACCCCATTGCCAAAAGACAGTCCTGGTACCATCACTCCTTTCCATATACCTCCTGACCACTTCATATCTATGTATTATAGTTCCATCGTGCCTTGAGCTTCATAATAGATGAATTTCTTTTCGCTTTTCTTATTCTCCCCATCTTCCTTCCCTCATTGAGCCAGACTCCCAGATATTTGTATTTTCCTACATGTATTTTCCTACATTTTCCTACACATATTGTAGCTAGTTCCTGTAACATATCCTAGTTATCTGCCATGATTACTATGTCATCCGCATACATCAGTCCTAACCAGGGTCTGGGAAAAAGTGTGGAAGTGCGTCCTCACATGCCGACAGAAAACTCCCCATTGGTTGTGGCAAGTATGAATAAATAAAAACAAAAAGAGGGGGCAACCAGCATGAGCAGGCCTTTCTTGGCATTATTAGATAGTGAGGTCCTGATTCCTTGTTATCATCTCGAGGTCGCCCTCTAGACGTTGTTTTTGAGGTCGTCCTGCAAGTCCTCGAGGTCTTCCTAGAAGTCGTCCTCGAGGTTTTCTTAGAAGCTGTCCTTGAGGTCGTCCTAGTTGCCCTTGAGGTCATCCTAGACGTCGTCCCCTAGAAATCGTCCTAGACGTCGAATGATAACAGCTTCGCTGGTCCTCCACCTTCTGGTGAAGTGGAAGGGCACTACAATTTTTTGAAAATTCGTATTAGATTTTCGCACATCCATTCTCTTTTGGTTGTTTCAATACTATGTTTGTCAATAGTTTGATACTTTTTGTATTTGAGCTTCACCTAGTTTCGGCTTACCCGCTCGTTCTTGAGATTGTTCTGGTTCGGATCCGCCAAATTTAATCTTGATTCATCTGTGGTCAGTCCCTAAGCTTTTTGTACCTTCATCTATTTCCATACTTCCTAGCTTGTCGTACAGTTTGTGGTACATGAGGTCGTATACGGCTGATGATCAGTGTTGCTATCTCTCTAGCAGATAGTTTCGGTTACGCCGTAGACTCACAATACTTATGGTTTTGCCATAGACACTCGAAACTAAAACTTGGAGCCGCGTTACTTATAAAACTACGCACAATATCGAGAAAAAAATTATACCTTGCAATTCAGGGACAGTGCCCGATCTGAAAACAGCCGCAACCCCATATTAAAACGCATTGACTGGAGTTGCCCTTGAAGCCCTTGCCTACTCATATTTTTCTTCAAGGAACATACAGCAAAATTTGATTCTAAACAGCAATTTGCATCAAAATAAGACGACCATTTCCCTGGCTTTCAGGTGGGGTGTCTTACTCTAAATCAGGACTCCTGGTCGGAGTCCAATTGTTGTGCAGATGCGGATGGAAGGCTCGCGGCATTCGCATAATTTTCATAACTCCTGCCACTGTCCATCTATCGTTCGATTCCCAAAAATCACAAAGGCTGCGGGATTCGCCATCACATATACCTCAGCATTAATCGCGTTTGAAAGGGTTTTGTATCTCTGCGTCGGTTAAAGCGGACGTCCACGCCAAAGCCACATTGCCTTAGCGCGAATGCCAACAGGCGACCCCTTTCTTTGTCTTGACTGGACAGAGTGTTCTCTCTCTGACAAACAGCAAAACAGACGAGCAAACAATCCAAGGTAAATGGAGCGAGAGGGGCGGTTCTGCCATCTGCCGGAAAGCTCGCTAAACAATCGTCGAAACTGCAACACGAGTCACGCTCGAGGTCGGGGTTTATGGTTAAATGTAGAGTAATCATTTCTTCCATATTGTTGACTGATTAATCAATCTGTAAAAGCGTACCTATATGTATAATTCATGTTTCCCTATTTTAGGGATGTAAAAATTCCCTATTCCGGAAGGGGCATTTCCTTTAGGGAATTCCCTAGGTAGGGAAATGGCCCATATTACTAGAGAACGTTCTACGTCAGAAATTTAAAATTTTGTGTCCCTAAAATGCAAGATTTCCTGTTTTGGGAAAGGGAACCCTCTATTTCGGGCGTGTAAAATTTTCCTGTTCTATGCATTTCAGACCACCTATTAGGGATAATGTCAAAACCAGTTGCCTGGATAATATCGCCCCCAAAAGGCAGCTCTAAAGGGCTGGGAGGAACTTAAATCGCCATGTCACCAGTCCCAGACTGCCTATCGCAACACTTTGCAAATGCGTAGGTTGCCTAGGGAATTTTTCTACAGCAGGGAATACGCAGTATATGGTACTGCCAAGATGGAAAACCTGCAGCTCAGTTTCGGAGACGCATTAACGCAAGCTGTCGCAAGCCCTCTAATGGCGGGTGAGAACAACCTCCCATACTTGGATTGAAACCGATACTGTCATCCTGCCGGCGATCATGCGGGTGTTGGTTCGAATAAGACTTGCTGTCACGTGAAGCCACAACAACCAGATTTACATAACCACTGACATGTCTATAAGCTATGTCTGTGCACAAATAACGAAGCAACTTCTGCCGCAACTTTATTAAAAACTTGGCAAGTGCTTTTTCTTACACTTGAAAAAAACTCAAAACACAAAAGTGCAATGTATAAATGCTAAAACCCGTATATCTACACATTATTGTGGCCTTCTTTTTATTTTTCTATGGTGTGTTAGGTGAGGTTGTCCATGGCATCCGTCTCCCTGACGACGACCTATGAGAAGGGGAGAGAGAAAACGTCGGAGTGAGTGGAGCTACTCGCAAGCCACAGCAGGGAGATTCATTCTCGATCCACAATATAGGGAGAAACTGATAAACGTTCCGGGGGGAACTAAACATTTTTATCTGCCGAGTTTCTCAAGGTGACGACGCTTTCGATCGAGCTTTCTCACGAGGCTCCTACGCACTGACAGAGACTGCAGCAGAGACTACCGCAACTCTACACTATCTTGCACAACGCGGTTTGGAACTTTCAAGACCGAGCGTACGTGGCTTGCACGCGACATCGTCACACCACGCTGGTGGTCATTCCCGCAATTTCTTGCCAAGACAAGCTAATTCGGTGGTACAAAGCCAACGTAACGGCGCAAGCGGTGTACATGAGGTCGAGCCACGGAGCGCATCGTGGCGGCAGTTCGGCATGACCGGAATGAGGCCACCGAGTTGCCGTGGTTCCAAGGCGCTTCTTCTTCGGCCGCTTGGTGCAACGTGTACCCACACCGCAGCCGCACTTCGGTACTGGCAAGGTGGGTGTCTCGAAGCGCACACCAGAAGACGCATTACTCCTCCGCAGCGTGCGATTATGCCATAGTTTGGTACCGGCACAATGGGCACCAACCAAAAAACGACGAATGACGGCTCCTAACGATAAACTAGGAAAAATAAAGAGGACGGCGGGGTAGGGGAAAGGGAAGTGGCCGACCTTGAAGAGGTCCCGGTGGGAGGAGAGGTTGCCCGGGGCCCTGGAGCGGTCCAGCAGCGCGTCCAGCTGCTCGGCCGACAGCGCGCTGGAGTGGGTGTCCACGACTCTCGAGTGCTCGCTCGACCGCAGCAGCTCCAGCAGCTCTTGGGGCGAGAGGGCGTTCCTCGAAGACTCGCCCACCCGGGAGAACCTCCCTGCAACGACGCCAGGAACGGCCGCGTGGTCGCACAAGGAGCACTTGTGGAATGCTAACAGACCCATTCTCGCGTGCGGTGCAGCGCCGAGCCAGTACTGGAAATATTGTTGATCTTAGTGCTGACCTTGCGCTACATCAGTTCACGATGCATCGCATCACTGGTACCGTATAAACTCGTTATAACAAACTTTGACAGTCATGAAGATCTCAATCTGTTGTAACAGGAGCATGCAGAATGCAGATACTGTTACCACAGACTTATTCGCAACTCCAGCCCGCCGCTCGCCCTCTGGTGGACGAACGAAGAACCAGAGGGGCAGCGATGGCGGCGGATGGTGCTGCTCTTACCGCACATTTTCGGTAGGCATGTTCGTGTATCGTGCAGCTTTAACGGAAAAAGCGAGTGCGTTAAAATAGAAATTTCTTGTACCGGTTCGCAATTTTTAATAATCGACACGTTCGTCTACAGAACGCACGCCAACATCGTCACCCGCGATATGCGTCTGCCCCGACAGCTTCGTATTTGTACCCAAATAAATTTTGGCACGCTGACCGGCGCGAGCGATCGGGCGCATGGGGAATCCTGGAGGATCTCTCCCAGTCTCTTCCGCCATCTTGGTCATCTACAGGGCGTTGGAGTTGCAAATAGCTCGTCGGCTTTCCCCAATTCATGCGCTCGAGCGTTCTGGACGACCCAGGATTGCTCGTGGCTTAGCTTCCGGCTCTGCCAACGGATGGCACTGCCGACTTTCATTTCTGTTTGTGGCTAGAAATTTGATATTGAAGGCGACAAATTTGAATTAAATAACGACAACTGCCTCGTGGTCGGTATCACTCTGTTCCTGCCTTTTGGCGCTTTTAGCGTGCAACAATTGGGCGGCTGAGGACCAGAAATTGCCTTAAAACAAAAGACAGTTGGGAGTTAAGGAGCCCAAGCACTCGCACCTTTCTGCATGATGATCTTCTCGAGCTTGCGCTTGGCCGAGGCCCTCTCGACCATGCGCTGCTCCACGGTGCCCCTCGTGACCAGGCGGTAGACAACCACCGGGCGCGTCTGCCCGATCCGGTGGCAGCGGTCCATCGCCTGCAGGTCGCACTGGGGGTTCCAGTCGGAGTCGAACAGCACCACCGTGTCGCCCCCGGTCAGGTTGATGCCCAGGCCACCCGCCCGCGTGCTCAGCAGGAACACGAAGTAGCTGCGGGGGTTGAAGCGACGGCACGTTTGGTGTAACCGGGTTATGGAGGTTGGGTTGTGCTATCGATGCTACATTAAGTGGAGAAGTTGCATTTAAGGGGAACCCCGGTCGAAAACAAAACCAAAATAAATCTGGCATCGCTTTAGTGGCACGAAATATGATTAAAGTCTAAATGTTACGTCAAAGTGAAGCCTTGTACTTTATAAAGCAGATTTTAAAGGTGCAACCAGCTGCTCTTTAGCGGGCGGCAAGCGGGTTAGCTTTTAGTCCAGCAACACTGGCGCAGCACCCCTAGCAAATAATTTCGGTTTTGCCGTAGACGCCTGAAACCAAACTTGGAGTCGTAATATTTATTAAACCACACGCAATATCGCGAAAAAAAAATTGTACCTTGTAATTCAGGTATCGGTGTTACATTAAGTGGAGGACGGATTACATGAGGAGAAAAAACACCTTAAAAATATTTTCTCGAAGGGGTTTGAGCGTCCTTTTAGCAGACGGTGCTGGGCGGAGAATGGCACAATCCACCGCGGCTCACCTGGGGTCGTTGTTGAAGAGGTGCATCTGGAGCTGTCGGTCCTCCACTTTGGTGCGTCCGTCCAGGCGGCAGTGGCGGAAGTGCCGCAGGTGGCAGTAGTCCTCCAGGATGTCCAGCACGCGCGTCATTTGCGAGAACAGCAGAACCTACCGCGCCCCCCAAGGGAGAGGACGGAAAATGCAATGAGCTAACGATCCTGTCCCGAACCACTGGGGAGAAAAGCTCCGAACGCCACCTTACGGCGGTCGTTAGTCCGTTCACGTCGTGTGACATTTGATTATGTGCCGACGGCTTACAAGCACCACCATATTGCTGCCGGGTGTCGTGCACGCACCGTTTGCAACATTTACGGTACTCATTTAAAAGTTAATATTCTACGTTGGGCAGACTATACGAGCAGTTGGTTTTCCAGAGTTGCTTGTTAATCTCCGGTTATCAAGAACACGCTATTTCACACCGCGAGAGCCAAAAAGAAAAGCTGAGACTATCTGAACGTTGCTTTCAACCTCGATGCCCCCTTTGTTGTCCCAATAGACTCGACAACAGGCGCGGAAAAAATATGGGACCCAAGTTCTAAGCGCAGAGTTAAAAGACATCAGCAATTACACTTTGCGTCATCGAGGAGTGTTTTAGCGAGGAGACAGAGAGCGCTTCCAGCGTTTTCCACTGGGTTTGTCGACGTAGACGGTAACGCCGACCACACGCAACGACACGGCATAAGATACCGTGTCGTAGAGTGTTGAACGCTTGGGCGTCCGTCTGCGACCGCAAAATCCGATTGGCCGACTACTAAGCGGATGCGGCAGAGGCGAGTCGGGCACCTTGTGCTTCCGGCGCCGGAGCTCCGGCAGCATGCAGTCGAGCAGCCTGAGCTTCCCGGACGCCGCCACCAGCTCCTCGTCCGCCGGACCCGTGGGGTCGACCCAGCGGAACAGGTACGGGTGGTTGCAGATCTTGCGCAAGTCCATGAGCGGATTGCGGCTGTGGCGGAGCTCGTCTAGCGGATCTTTGGGCTCCCTGCAACGACGTGACGGTTGGCAATGACGAGAGCAGAACGCGGCAAATCGTACGTGCCGACGTCGGTACTGTTTCCGGAATGCGGAATGGTCCCAAGAGATAAGAAAGAGGGCGACAGAAAAGCAAAAAAAAAAAGATAGGTGAGGCGCGTTCACCTCCCCGCAACGATTGTTCCCAGTCCTCGTCAGCTTTATTTATTTCTGCGTAATGCGTGATGCTAATGTTTTTTTGCAAAATAAAGCTAGAAAAACGACAAATTTTCCAAGTGATGTTTTCCTGCTTAGTGCACATCAAAGCGTCGCCAGCGATATAGTCCCATCAAGATCACCGACGTCTGTGTCTGTGCCTCGCCGTTCCGAAGCAACAGATATTTATTTATTTATATGTTTGTTCAAAATACCCCTAAAGGCCCTTTGTAGGAGGGTATTACATAGGGAGGGGGGAGGGCAAGCAAATACATCATACAGTCAAACCCGCATATATCGAACTCGCAAAAAAAACGGGAATTAGTTAGATACATTGTGTAATTTGATACAAGAGTTTTAATAAATTTGACTCTCAAAAATCCACTTTCTGCTGACATATTACACAATGAAATAGTCTTGCATCTCCTGCTGCATTTTCGTCATTGCATCCGCGATAATGATATTTTTCTAGACTATCGACGGACTCCAAAATGCTGATGCCGCTGCCTTCTATATTCCCGCATTAGCGCTGAACTATGCCGAGAGCTCGGAGCACGTCCGAGCAGGAGTATCTTCTCCTGCAGAGCACTATTTTGCTCTGCGAGTTGGCTTTCCCCTAAGACAGGCGGCTGCGTTTGGGGGAAAGCCAGCTAGCAGAGCAAGCTGCCTTTTTATAGCGGAGCTGTTAAGGGCTAGGTTCCTCAGGATCGTGTCCGGTAGCAAAACCTTGTAGACACAGACCTCCACAAACCTCTGGACAGCTACCACCATCTATAGGCGACGGCGGCAAGCGCTTTAAGAATCCAAGGGAACAGTTAGAGGAAGCAAGGGTTAGGTCAATGTAGTAGCGCAAAGATAAAATAGACTGAAAGTCTGACTTATCGTGGCACTACCACAATCTTTTCTGGGGTGTAAACTTGGCTGTCGCCGAATGCCAAGTTTACTCTTAAATGTAGTGCTAACAGTTCAAACCATGTGCCAAACTTCCTAACCGTTGTCTTTTTAAAAAGGTATAGGTTGATTTTACGAAAATTTGAATGGTTACATCAGGCCCGCTCTTGGTGATGGGCGCCATTCAGCTCCTCGCATTCGAGGGCTCTCTCGGCCGCCATTTTTCCATTGAGAATCTCAGAAAATCGCAACTTTCGAATAAGAGAATGGTTAGTCCCGAAACTTTGGCACCTGGTTTGGACCGGTAGCGCTACATGTGGGCGGAGATTGAGCGTTGGGGCAAAATAAAACCCGTAAAATTTTTAGCGGGGAACATCCTGCACGTTAACCAGTCCTGGAGTTTACTGCGGCAAGTAAAAGACGGGCGGTCACCGTGTGGCGTCCTCCTGCCCGTGTCCCGGAGACCGGCTTGCGTTGTCTTCCCAGGGGTCGTCCTCGCCAGGATCCACGTATCGGATTGATCTCCTGGATCTCCGCGGACGACCCCCCTCTTGCTCCAACGGATCCAGCTCTTCCTGCTGCGAGACAGCCTTAATTCGCACGGACCGCTTTGTGAGATCTGTCGACACTCGCAATGCAAACGACCTGCATGGCCGGCGACTGTTGCAATTCAGCGGTACTAAAATCGGGAATCCTTTACCATCTACAATCACAAATTCACGTAACTTCTACAGTTTCTTAAAGCTCCGCCTTATCTTTTACACTCGGAGTAAATATAAACTCGAATCTTTTAGAGGTAGGGAAAAAGCACTCCACCCTAGTCATGCACGCGGCATTACCAATGCCCATCGTCGTAATTATTTTTTTCTAAATGGGCTCAAACTAGACTAATTGGCTCTGGGCCCACATGGACTTTCAGTAACTTGTCAAGTGCATTGACTCTAATAAAAACGATAGATGGATCGCCTGATAACTTGTTGGAAATAGAGAACTCAAACATTGTCGTTTCTGCCACGTCCGAACATTGTATGCCACACTTTGAGTTGGGTCGCAGTCTGTTGCGCAGCAAGCTGGGTAAATCCAGGGTTCCTGGTTTTCAATATTTATTGTAAAAGCACCAAATAAATTTAAGCCAAGCAGTTTTTCGACACATTCAGGTAAAACTAAGTGAAAGCAGCGAATCCGGTCAACCGTTCGAAGTCTACGATCGTTTCATCGTCGACAGCTCGACAGGTGCCGTGCCAAAGTTTGTAGGAGCGCGAACGGTGGTCACAAGTAAGCTCGGAGATGTTTCTTAAATTCAAACTCGCGCACTTTTCCTGGCTTTTGTGCGTCGCAGCTCGCTTATTCCCATCGTTCTTTCCACCAAATTAATGTGTTGCAGCCGCGCCAAGGTACAATGTTAACGCCGACAGACGCTGGTCTTTGTGTCCAGTATAGAAAACTCCCGAGTTCAGATCGACGCGCAAGTCTGTGGCCAAGTCAGACGGAGAGTTGCAGGCGTGACCGACCTTAAACCCGTTTGCCGTGGCAACCTTCACGGCTCCGTCGACGCAGATCTTGTACAGCTTCTCCTGCAGGGGGCTCAGAGAGGCGTACACCAGCAGCTCAGTCTTTGTCGGGAGATCCAGTTCCACTTCGTCCTGCGGAGAGCACAACGCCGCGGCCCGGCGACGTTCTCGTTTGTAAAAATTATTGTATTCACTTTCACTTTGTTAGATTTCTCGTATACCCACCCCTGACTGTCTTAATCTGGAGGAGCATCCTACCAAGGTGCAGTCGTGTATCACAACTGCATGATGCCTGTTAAAGACCCCGGGCTGGCAGTCATACTGCGCTGGCTAATACTTTCATTCACGGTGGGTAACAATGTCACGGTACTCTGGCAGGGTACATTCCTGCCATCTGAACAACCAACGACTAATCTTTTAGAGCGCAGCTCTTAGGCGCCCGTTTCCAGCTTAAGTGGCATCGCCGTCGCCGTAACCGCGCGTTGCATCATGAGAGTTTTCCATAATGACCTCACAAGGGTCATGAGTGATGTCACAAGGGTCACAAAGGTCAACACGAAGGTCAGAACCTTCACGAGGCCGGCACAAGTGTCACAAGTGATGTCACGAAGGTGAGACGTGAAGGTCACAACTGACGTCACGAGGGAGGGGGAGGAGGAGGAGGAGGGGCAAACCCTCCTCTCCGTACCCTCCCCCTCCTCAAGAGCTGCACCAAATACTTTACTAGGGGGAATACATTCCACTCTGCTCATTTGCATTAGACAGAACGCCTACAGCGCCGCTGACGGTGTGGAGGTCCGCGTCAGTCCACGCGCATGTGCACGTGGATGTTCGCAGCGGCCGCGGCGGTGTCGTCTCCGCGAGGTGCGTCGATGCACGAGGCACGTGCAACGTGCAACCCTTGGGAAGATTACGGCGGCACAGCGCAGCAAAGTATTTAGCGCAGCACTGAGCTATACTTCGGTTCACCTTATCTGCGAGCGAAGGCAAAGCTAAAAGCGCGAGAGCAGCGCTTTTTGCGTTTCTGCCCAGCTCGCACGCTCGAGCAAAGCCTGAACGCGCGGAGCTTTCGTGCTCGCGCTTCCAGCTTTGCCTTCGCTCGCACATAAGGTGAAACGAAGTATATTTACCGCCCGGTAGCCGAGACCTCCACGACGATAGATGGCTCTCGCCAAGCCCAGAAAACCTGTCCGCGCCGAAGCTATTGTATTTGAGAGGAGTGGAATGTATTCCCCCTAGTAAAGTATTTGGCTGCACTCTAATTCGGCATTACAGGGAATCGTAAACGTCTCATTTTTTTTTATGTAACCAACTAGCCCGCCGGCTGATTTTAATTTAGTCTCGTAACTTGTTTGCAGTCAATGAGATTGTGGCGGAGCCAGCGGAAAATCGCTCGTCTGGCACGGAAAAGAAACCCAGTTTGAGAACCCCTTTGCTCTAGAAAATGACGGACCTTGGTTCGCCTGAGCAGGAAGGGCCGCAGGATCTCCTGCATGGTTCCGACGAGCTGATTGGTCTGCTCCTGCTCCACAAAACGGGTCCCCTCGCCCTCCGACAGCGAGCTCATGTCGAACCACGATTCAAACCTGCAACCGGAGCGGGGTCACGTGAGAGGGCACTCGGTCGGCAAGAAAACGCCCAGGGCGCATAGAAAGCAAAAAAGAAGCAATAGTGTCTCTATCGGTTTCTTTAAAGAAATTAAGTACTCGAGAGGTATTTCAACGGTTCATCCTAGGCCGAGTAGGAACGTTTTTCAACTATTGGCCCTGCTAAAGCATTCATTTAGCAGCATCTCACGATGTGGACCTTAGGAAGCTTTGTTGTTCGGACATATCCTTACGACACATTTTGAATAGAGATAAAAGACAAACCCATCGAGTGAAGTCTGACATCTGCCTTCCGTAGAATTTGCGAAAGTAAATTAAATGGCGCAAGAGAAGTGACTTCCAGCAAGCTTGGCTGGTCATATACCAGGCATCACTTCATGGATTTATGTAGACAGATCTTTATTTGTTTGAACGGCGTCGAGGGTAAATCTGGCATGGACAACGCTGCACTCAAGTGATTTGATTGCAGACGGCTTCTTTTCAGCGTCACATATGACATGCCTCAGTCGCATTTGTCAGCCACTCACAAGCTGTCTTTGACAAGTCTTTTACCCTGGAGCCCAACCATTTGTGCGTAAATAAGTAATTGAATTGGATATCTTAAGAAAATTTAATGACTGTAGACATGGGACCTAGCACAATGTATAATTCAGTAATAATTGAAAACAAGCGTGTCGGTGAAAAGATATGAATACACGAAAGGATAAAACATTGAGGATGGGGACGGAAACAGGACTTCTTTCAAATGTATAGTTTCTTTAAATTCATAAATAAACGGATCAAGCAAAATTTTATACCACAAAACTGATTCTCCCACATAATCAAAACCAACTGTTTTGGATTTGTTAAGAAGGCAGAGCACGATGCTTTCGACAAACCAATGTAGTAGCTCCTTGCGTTGATTATATTTGCCTTCTTCTTTAAGTTCACGAATGCGTGATCATAAATATGTCTTGCACTTCTTATTGAGTCACTATCACTTAAGCAAATTAGTGCTCCCATAAATAATTGGCATCTCAACCCTCATGTGTTTTAGAGTTATCTGCACACTAAATGTGCGCCAGTGCTACAGCTGATTCCTTTCCTCACACGTATCCAGTACGCCGATGGTGCAAATAGGTAGTCAAAATGAGTCATTAAATCAAGTGCAGAAGTTGTGCACATAACGATGGCATGCAATAACTAGTAAAACTAAGTATTAGACGACACTTCACAAAGCAAGGCAAAATATTATGATTCCAAGAGGGTCATCTGCACACTAAATGTGCGCCAGTGCTACAGCTGATTCCTTTCCTCACACGTATCCAGTACGCCGATGGAGCAAATAGGTAGTCGAAATGAGTCATTAAATCAAGTGCAGAAGTTGTGCACATAACGATGGCATGCAATAACTAGTAAAACTAAGTATTAGACGACACTTCACAAAGCAAGGCAAGATATTATGATTCCAAGAGGGTCATCTGCACACTAAATGTGCGCCAGTGCTACAGCTGATTCCTTTCCTCACACGTATCCAGTACGCCGATGATGCAAATAGGTAGTCAAAATGAGTCATTAAATCAAGTGCAGAAGTTGTGCACATAACGATGGCATGCAATAACTAGTAAAACTAAGTATTAGACGACACTTCACAAAGCAAGGCAAACTATTATGATTCCAAGATGGCAGCGCCCATGCAACGGATAGTAAAAAAATCCACAAACCCAGCTTTCTAAAAAAAATAAAATTTAATGAATTTACGTAGGAGTTTTTAAGAGGAAGTGAATCACGACTGGCTGAAAGGTGGTTTGCATGATGTACAGGGGGAACAGCGCGCCCGCAGAACAGTCATTCAAATCAACATACACACAAAAGAAAGACACACTTACTCAGCGCTGACTGACAACTCTCTATATTTACCTATATACCGTAAATATAGAGAGTTGTCAGTCAGCGCTGAGTAAGTGTGTCTTTCTTTTGTGTGTATGTTGATTTGAATGACTGTTCTGCGGGTGCGCTGTTCCCCCTGTACATCATGAGCAACCAACTCACCCGAACCTCTGTGTTAACAAGTGGTTTGCATGTTGACTTATGCTCGGGCTACCAAGTAGCTCGTCACGTAACTAATCATACTGTATTTTTGATGCAATCAGAATGTAGTCTCCGAAAAAAAATGCCAGCCCGTCTGCCCACCTGCAAGTGGGCTCCCTGCCTCAATTTGATTAGTTCATTCGATTTCACGAAGACACCATTTTGAGGCCAACGACTGCAGCATCGCAGAGGCACTTGGAGGCAAAGCGTTCTGGTAATCTGGAAGCGTTGGGTAGCCCCAGGGCAGGTTACCACGGGCAGAAAGACTTACGCCCTGAGGTCGTTGAAGATCTCTGGGATGAGGAAGTGGAGCAGGGCCCAGAGCTCGGTGAGGGAGTTCTGGAGCGGCGTGCCCGTGAGCAGCAGCCGGTTGGGGGCATTGTACTGGGCCAGCTCGCGCATCAGGCGGCAGCGGAAGTTCTTGAGGCGGTGCGCCTCGTCCACCACCAGGAGGCCCCAGTCGAGGGGCGCCAGCTTGGCCCGGTCCCGCATCGCCACCTCGTACGACGTCAGCACCACCGTCGCACGCCGCAGCGCAGACGTGTGCTGGGTCGGTGGAAAGAGGTCGGGGGCATAAAGACGGGAGTGGAGCGCGGCTAATTGCCGACGCCTAAAGCTTGACTTGCACACTCGTGACCGCTTACAACCGAGTCCCTTAAATCTCGGGATCTCTTACGGCCAGGGAGATAATATACTAATGTGGAGGGAAAGGTCCCGTGTATTTTGGCCACTTCGGTATGGCGGGATAGAGATGTGGGCATCGGTGGAGCCCCAGAGGGACCGTATTGCTTGTGACTTTTGATGTGCACGAAGAATGACGAAAGCATCACTCGTAAGGTCTGTGTCCGGTGTTTGCCTAGCTTTATTATGCAAGGAAACATTGGCATTGCGCAACAGACGAGAAAAGGACAGAACAGGACAAATCAGCCAACAATGCTCGTCCCGTTTCATTCCTACCTCGTCTGTTTCTGTAAGTCGTACTAAAGCAAACTTGTTAGTCAGCCATTTCGTCCCGTTTCGTCTTTTCTTCGTTCGTCTCCGCAAATTTGAGATGACCCTTCACCTACGAGTAGCACTTCCGGGTCCCGCCCGCAGGTGGCGTCACTCACCAGCTCCGCGCGCTGCTCCTTGGTCCCGTGGTAGAGCAGGGCGGTGAGGGAAGGAGCGAAACGCCGGAACTCGGCCAGCCAGTTGGCGAGCGTGGACAGGGGTGCCACGACCAGGTAGGGCCCCGGCAGGCCACTGTCTGCCAGGCCGGCGACCAGCGCTATCACCTGGATTGTCTTGCCCAGCCCCATCTCGTCTGCCAGGATGCCGTTCACCCCGTTCTCATACAGCACCTAAAGCGCGGTGGGCCAACGGGCGTTACTTCCGTAACCGAGGCTTGTAAAATGTTGCGTGTTATTTTATGGAGTATCGCACGCTTACTTCTCAATTTCTGCAAGGGTTACATTTACAAAACACCCACAGAATATAACTACGGGGTATTTCAGGAGTGATATTCCAGCAACGAAAGCAGTGCATTAAAACTTTTCACAAAGGTCTCTTTAGGTGGTTCATTTATTGTACTAAAATTTCATGGATACAATTTTCTAGAAGAAAACCTTAAGCCCAAAAAATCCCAGCTTTTTTTTACGCAACGGGGATATGGCAAAACCTGTCTGGCTGACGCTTCTGCTAACAGATGGTACCACACTCGCTCAAATCTGCTGGATGTGCTTTCGTGCATTCATCTGAAAGAAGCTTTAAGGTTTTTCCTAGATGTTGCGGCACTGGTGAGTGGCGGCGTCAAACGGACAACTTTTACCGTTTTCCTCCCCGTACATAAGAAAAAAACAAGATTACTTAGGCTTAAAGTTTTTTCTAAAAACTCGCGCTCTTAAAATTTGAGTATGATAAATGAGCCACCTAAAGACACCTTAGTGAAAAGTTTCGTTGCACTCAATTCATTGGTCTATTTTACCAATTTTTTTATGCCCGAATGGCACTTGGGAACACCCTGTAGTAGTATCCTAAGGTAAGGTCGTGGAAAGACAAAAAGCATGACGGCACGCTATTTAGGCAAAAATTACAAACCACGAAAATTAACAACTAACAAAACAAGGTGAGAACTGGGTCGGCCCACCTTGAGCCACCGTAAGCCCTCGATCTGGTACGGGCGCATGGTGCCACCCGTGAACGACGCCGGCTGGCCCTCCGGCAAGTCGTCGTTCCCTCCACAGGACCCCTGCGCCGGACAACGACTCAATCGTCAAACCACGGTCGGCAGCCTGCGATAAAAACGCCTGACCTGGGACAGCACGGGCGAGGAGACGTCGGGCACCACTCTCGTGCGCTTGGCTCTCCCGTCTTCTGCAAAAGTGTATTTGGGTGGAGTTAAATTGATTCATCCTCAAAAGCACTTCAATGAGGTTCAGTAGGTTTAGTACACGAGGAGAGGATCTTGTACGAGAGTTAACAGTCAAGTCTGTAACAGTTTGGTTAATTGTGAACAGGAAATACTATAAGGTAATGTACAAAATGTGACCAAAGAATTCCTCTGCAAGGGATGTAGATTAAACGTTTTGACTAATGAAAAACACTCGTGAGGTGTGCCTTCCAAGGATTACTCATCTTAGCCTGGATATTTTCGAGTGCCGTAATATCCCCAGAGATAGCCCACCTAAACAATTCACAGGGTCGCTAATGTTATCCCTAAGAAGACTTGAAGTCGAAAGCCCAAGCGCCGATGCTTTAACGACAGACACATGATTTACTTTGTTTCACACTCTCTTTTTTCACATAGCCACTTTAATTAGCCAGCTTAATTCGCTGAGTCATCCCTCTTAATGTTCTGAGTCATCCTTCTTAATGTGCTGAGTCATCCTTCTCAATGTGCTGCATCATCATCTTAACTCATTTAGTCATCAACTTAATTCACTTTAATTCGCTTTGTCATCCTTCTTAATTTCATTGCCTCTAATTCGCCGAGCACGTAAATGTTTGATACCTTTCGTGTCGCCGACCTGTTTTCGCTCAAGGACTCTGAAGGTCGACCAAACGATGAGACATATTCGCAACTCCAGCGAACTATAGGGGGCGCGCTGGTCAGGCAAAATGGCGGGCGAAAGGAGGTCGTTTCTGTTATTCAGCATGCGGACCACTGATCTCTATGACAATTGCTGGATCGCGTTTGCCCGCTTCGCGAATGCGGCCACTGGCGGCCATCTTTTTGGTAGAGTTATATTACCTCTAGCCAAGGTACAGCTGCTGCAGCCATGGCAGACAGCGTTGTGGTAGTTGTGGTGGCAGGCTGCCATCAAAATAGCATGGATGATATTTCGTGCTTGATTGAAGTTGTTTGACGAAGCAGATTCTTGAAACTCAGCGTGACCGGTAACCCGATCTTCGAGGACTCAGTGAAAGTTTCACGAAATCGCAGCACCGGGGAAAAGCGGTACAGCACGCATCGAAAGTTGTATCGAAAGAAGGATAGAAAGCAGATGCCGGTACGGAGCCTGCTTTCGATGTGAGCTGCGCTGCTTTTCCCCGGTGTTGCGCTTTTGTAGAACTTTTGCCGGGTCCTCAAAGATAAGATACCGTTCACGCCGAGCTTCAAGAATCTGCTTCGTTAAACAACTTCAATAATCAGGCACGAAATATCACCCACGGTACAGTGTACTAGATCCACGGCTATTTTATAACAGCCTGCCGCCATTGCGCTGTCCGCCATATTACTATGACGGCTAGAGATAATATCACTCCACCAAAAAGATGGCCGACCATGGCCGCATTCTTGTACATAGGCGGAGCTGGTCAAACGCGATCCAGCAAATAGAAATAGAGATCAGTGATGCTGACCACCAAAAATTTATTTCACTGCAGCGTAAAATCGGTGTTACATATGAAAGCAAAACGGTTTTTCGACGGTAGAACCCTTCTTCTAGTCAGTGTGTAGAAATGACACGGCGGAAACGTAAAAATAATTACTGGAAACAGTGTTTGTTTCTATGCTGCCTACAGGAACCAAGCAGTGATGGCAGACGACAGAGTCGAAACGACCTCCTGTCCTGAGCCTCTCGGCGTTGCCGCTACGCGGCGTCAATTTCGCTGGAGTCGCCAGTAAGGCTTTCGCCTTAATAAAAAGCAAATAGGGGGAAAATAAGGAGTGGCATAACTTACGGTGTGCGATAAAAAGAAGATAAAGAAATGCTAGTTTTAGATTTTGTGACCTGTACGTGAAACTTGTGATTGCACCCAGGTGCAATGAACCAAATACGACTGTGTCTAACTAACGTAAATTCTGCCGACGTCATCATTGGCCATGGGGCTGGCTCTGCAATTAATAGAGGTGGGCTATCTTTCGTTCAAAAAAGATAGCAAAGCATCTTGAAAATAGGGGTGGGCAATTTTTCGGGGGTGGGGCATTTCTCAGGACGTTACGGTACGACTGTTTTTAGGAAACCAATTCCAGTAATTAAAGAGACATGCGCCAGGGAAAACATCTTACAGCAGAGCTGTTAAGGGCTAGTTTCCCCAGGAGCATGTCCGTCCGCAAAGAAATGTCGACACAACACTCTGCTTGCCGCCGTCGCTCATAGATGGCGCAACCTTTCCACTCTGTCTTGCCGACTTGTGGCCGGCCATTACTTCCTTCCCACCATTGTACAGCTTCGCTGGTCTTCCTTCTTCACCAGAGTGGAAAGGCTGAAAGTTTTTTTTTTTATATTTACGATAACTGAATAAAATTTTCAGTTTATAGTGCTTGATGTTCTTTCCTTTTTATAAAGCTGGTGTTAGCTGTGATATATGTAGCTTGTACTTCATGTTCCAGATGCTATACACACGCAGAAAAACAAAAAGTTATTGCGCACACATGACGCATGGCAACACAACTAAAAGAGTGTAGTAAAATAAGCTAATTCACTCTTTTTAAACCACTGAGTGCAATGAACGAAAATAATGTGTGCAATACCTATTTTAAAATAATGGAAAATCCCAAAAATGCCATTTTCAGAGGGCTAACAGAAATTCCTTTATTTCTTCATAAATATAAAAAATATACTACACTATAATTAAACCTTGATAGTCGCATTCTATACATTCTATTGCATGTGCGTGCCAAATATGACTGTGACAGGACAATATTACGAACAAAATTCTTGCATGCAAACCGTGGAGATGCTCCAAAATGACATAAGGAGAAAGATGTGTTCTAACGGTTACCATAGATCAGTGCGCAAAAACACGACAGAAGAGACAGACAGACAAGGCATTGATGTACAACTGAAATTTTATAGGAAAAACACATGAAAACACCCGAACAATTCACTACACCCCTGTCACCCCACGTCACGTTCCCATTGGCCGAGACACTTTTCCTTCTGATACAGGGCCACAGCAGCCGCACTGACACAGGTGCCCTCCCTACATCATGATAGGCAGAATGCCTCCACTATCTCCCTCGTCCTTTTGTTGTTGCGTCGTGTCATTACTGTTGCTTCTTCAAGCTTAGGAGCGCACCCACACGTGTCACAATGAATCGCCAAATGACTGGCAGGGGACGATCTCACAGATAATGCATCTGTGAGTGGATTGATCGGGTGTTTCGCGGCCTTCATGTTTTTTCGTATTAAATTTCAGTTGTAAGTCAACACCTTCTCTGTCTGTATCTTCTACTGGTCCGCTGTTTGCTTGCACAGTTTTTTTCTCATTCCGTGGCTACACCCCTTCGTAATGGGAAAAAAGTATTTTTGTTAATAATTTGGGATGAGAAATTGAAGCTAAAGAAGACTGCGATGAAGAGGCGGTGGGCGAAGTCACAATTTTAAAATCCGCCACAAACAAAAAAACGGATCAAATTCGTGACATTCTGGGTTGCCGGGAGATCTTCAAATGCGTATTTAACTAATTTCGCAATCATAACCGGTGTTTAATATTTTTATGCATTAAATATGAAGATTAGATAATAAAACACCATTAAATCCAAAACTACATTTTTTGCTATATATTGACGTTTTTCGACCCGCGTCTATCGCTGGGAAAAGCAAGGAACTTTTCTGAAATTCGCGAAATTTACTGGCCGGGATCATGTCCTCTATGACCGATTCACATAGAATAGGGGCTGCAAAAGTCAAGGGCTTTACAGGATTACGGTAGGCTTGTACAACCGTAGAGATTGTATAATGAATCTAGACGTCTGCCGTCTGCCTCGAAATTCTCCTTCCTGCAGTGGAAGTGATCTGCCCGTCTTATTCTCACAAACTACTCCCGCGTTGCAAGTGTCACCAGCATGAAAACTACCCCGTCAGGGCCACCCTCGTCCTTCTGCCCAAAAGTAGCTCACCCGTTTTTGTTTACAAAAATTTGCTTACTTATTTCTACCTTTTGCAACCGATTAATCGGCCACCCTTTGTATAATTCTTATCATGGACAGATAGATGGCACCGGCTGCACCCTTTGTAACGGGCAGGAGCTTGCGCCACCGTCTCCATCACTGGCGCAAGGTTGGTATCCCAAGTTCGATCATGACAACATTTTGTTCGTCTTCTGTACGTCCCAGAACCGAAACCACCTTCCCGGGACAATTGCCACTATCGCATACTCCGAGCCTTTAATTTAGAACCAAACTTATTCAAGCAATCCTCGTTGATTGCGCCTAACTTGTAATTTGTATTTTGTTATTGTCCAATTTTTTCTCCCACTCTCCCCTCTGTAATGCCTTTGGGCCTTAAAGAAACAATCAACGAAAATGAAAACGGCGCAGCGTAGAGGCCGGCATCGGTGGGCCCAAAATGCCGGCAGGACTTAAACAAACGCAAAAAGCGCCATACTTCCGCTCGCAAGTTTTGTGTCTAGTGGCGCCATCCGAGGGACGACACAAATGGTCAAAGACCCGACATTATGCGAAACTCCACCGCGAGGCATTTTTTTTCTGTTACAGTTTCTCCCACAAAGCAGAGCAGACTGAGGAAGCTTCATGCATGGACGCTATTCGGAGAGCAAGGCATCTGCTTCTTGCGCAGGGGTTGCAGTAACGTCAGGACGACGCCAACTCCAGATCGGTAGGATAGTGGGTAGACCTCATCGCAGATGCCTTGAGGTCTACCCACTATTTTTTTCGATCGGCCTATAAGAGCTCGGACTTCTGACATCATTGCAAACTTAGACGTCTAAAGACGTCTTGGCAAGACGAGCAAGAGGTCTTGTGTATGTCTTGGCAAGACGTGATAGCCTAAGACGTCTTGAATCATCTTGTAGCCGCCCTGTAGACTACATAACGTTCGCTCTTTTTTGGGCTACAAGACGTCTTGCAAGGCGTCTCCTAGCCATCTTAGAGACAGCTTCAAGACGCCCAAGACGCGAGTCGTCTCTTTAAGATGCCTTTTAGACGTCTACGTCAAGATGCCTTATAGACATCTTGCGTCGCGCAGAATGTCTCTAGCTTAGTCGAGCCATTATTCAAGCCGGCTACAAGACGTCTTGTTCTCAGTGGGAGTGCCGTTTCAGGTTCTGCTGAGTCAGCACTGGAGGTGGGACTGATGCAACACCGGCTTTGCATTAACTCAGCGCCGAGATGCAAGCGTAAACTGGCCTTTACCAGGCATCCAGTCCCTCAAAGACCCGGCTATGCAGACGTCAATTGGGCAGCTCTCAGAGTGCCCAAAGAGGAGGGGGGGAAGGGGGGGGGGGGGGCAGCGAAAGTCTGGAGAGACATACCAGAGGGTGTCGTAGGGGTGGCTTTCCTTTTGTTGGCTACTTGCGGCGAGGAGGCCGGTCCGGTTTTCTGCGGCGATTTCGGCGTCCCTCCGTTGGGCAGACTTCCGACCTGCGTTGTCACGTTACTAGGTTCGCATGACATGCAAACTCCAACTTTCAATAACTTTTATGAAAAAAAAAAAAAAAAATTCTAAGCAAGACGTGATTTAGAACATTTTTTTTTTTTATGCTAAGGTTTACTGGAGCTGGAGAGTATTTCCACAAAGGTTTGTTCGTTTCTGCTGCATCATAAACCTTGCAATTATTTTCAGTGCTCTGGTGCTAAATAAAGGTAGAGATCTGGACATTTTGAATGTATCTTGGTCCCATTTTATGTTTTCAGTACCAACATACATTTAACGTAAAATACCAGGCAAGTGCCCACTCAGAACTTAGAGATAATCGCAAAAAAACAGGGGATGGGCGCTTGTCCAGGCATCAATTTTACATACCAATGTACTGTGCATATTTTCTCAGATCTTACAAATTTGTGAGAGGGCGCTTAATGTGGAATGGGCGGATGTGCGGTATTCTACGGTAGTCAAATTGTTGTATGTTTACATTACAAATGTCTTTATTAAAAAAAGCCCTTAAGATTTTTTCCAAGGGCCCGATTTTGTGGAACAATGTTATTGTAGATGTAGGTAACTTACATTGTAGATCTTTCTTACGGCAACTTTTTGTTTCTCTTTGTGTGTCGGCCTCTAAAAGTAGCTAAAGAGCTCGAAGGTCACAAAAGTGAATGTAAATACTAGTTTTCACACACAGAAAAAATCTTGCGACATATCACTACTTATTATTTTTGTTAGCTAATTTGAGGGGGAAAAAATATACATATACTGGTGTAGAGGTTTCTGAAAAGACAATACAACTTCCAGATGCTTCTGACAAGTGCAAAACAAGTTAATTACGAGCAATCTCAAGTCAGCACCCTATTATAGGGATAACACAGTCTTACTGATAATAAAACGAATTGAGATTGAATGGTGGACTGACCTGACGGTGGACCTGTATCTCTTTGAACTTGGGGCGCTTCCTCTGCTGGTAGCGTGCCTTGGTGTCCTGGTTCTGCTGCTGAATACGCTGGATTAGGAACTGCGAGTAGATGCTGCTGGCCTGCAGGAGATTCTTCAGCCGCTCCAGGCAGGCGTCCCGGTCCAGCTGCTCTTGCTCCCGCTTGCTCAGGACCCGCTGGGGCCGCGGAAGGATGACGTGCCGCTCCGCTCACGAACCCGTTTTCACTAACGGCTAGACCCCACCCCACCTTAGTACAGGCAAGTGACATCGTTAAGTCCATAGACATTTATTAATTTTGGTACGTTATCCGGTGCTTGAACAACAAGCTTAGTGCAGCAGATATTGATGTTTTACAGCGAAGGTGTATATGAGTCGTATGTCGGATTTCTGGATTTTTTTTTCGTGCCGTCGTCCTCACGGAAAAGCAACCTTCAGCGATTGAGGCGAAAAGTGCATATAATGCATACAACACAGCTTTTGTTTCAATAAAGAACAAGCCCAGAACAAGCATCCGAATCAGATAATTGATGATAAGGCATTTCTGATAACAATGCAAAGCATGTAGTGCTCACCGCAGATGTTTCCTGGTAAAGATTACAGTGGCACAAGCTGCCACGGCGACGGCAGCTTGTGACTTGGGAGGTGATGTCACTAGCCTTTCATATATAAAAAGTTTTGGTACAGTGCATTTCCTTTTCTTTCGTCAATCATTGGGTATAAGACGTTTCACTGTTCACTAACATGAACTGCCGCTTGCGTCACAAGCGACCTCTGGTCGAACCGTCTTTGCAAACCTGTCGAGCTTGCTTATCTCAACAGTGCTGGAAAGCATAAATGCTACACGGACAACAAAGTTGGAGATTTATTGAGAGCCTTCGGCTGTACAATATTGCATCTTGGAGGATGCAAGTTGGTTTACATGAATACCCTAAACACTTTAAGAGATCTCGCACTCCTTCGTTCTTTTGGTCTTCACCTAGAAAATTGGTGCTTAAACGTTTCATCTACATTTCAAGCAGCGGTATTGAGGTGGCCTTTGTTCATTCTTTTTATAAATCGGAAGTTCTCTGGGTTGCAAAGACTGGAGCACCACCTGGTGGTGTTTGCCATATGAAGGGTCTATACACTCCGTGCGACGCGACTGGCGCGCCGCCGCGCGGCCGGTACCGAAGGTGGGCAGTGAGAACTCCAGAGAAAACAAAACCGAAACCACGCCGGGTACGTTCGTATGCATTGAAGTCGGAGTGGTGCGGTTGCGCTGGGTTCACAGCATGAAGTGCTGCCTGTGCTGCGTCATTAAGGGCTTCAATAGTTATGCGTCGTATCTCGTGGAGACAAAGTTTCACAGTTTTTCACCTCGCCGATGTTTTGTGGGGCAGCGACAACGATGGAGCCGTGCCGTACGACGCGAGAATTTTGGTGTCCCGACCATGTCTGCCACTGTGTCGGCACGGCTGACATTTTCTACACCGCCGCTTTGCGCTCTGCGTTTGTTTTCATACCAGTAATGCCTACATGTGTCAGCGCCGATGGGACGAACTGAAATGCCATCCCACACTCGCGGGTATGCTGTGCCAATTTCGTTGGAGGAATGCCCTACAAAGAAGTTTCGTCCCCATCGTACGTGTCGATGATATTTCCGGACAAGTATGGCACACAATCTGTTCTTCATGAACAAAGATTCGAACGGTAAAAAAAAAGTGACAAATCTAAATCTAAAGAAAACAACAATGAAACTCGGAAGCACTGGAGAATCGGCGTTTGAGTATGAAAGTTTATGTGGTGTGCTTTCTTTCTTGATCAGCCTCGTTCTGGATGTGGAAACGCTGACACCCCGAGTTCTGTAGACAACATTTTTTTTTTCTCGGCTTTAGAGCCACCTATCGCAAAGTGGTTCGAACTGGAAGTACCGTCCACTGGTCCCTTCCTACCTGTAAAGTGTGCACCTCTCACGATGAGTGGTAATATCTGACAGCCTTTGACGGTAAAAGCCAGTTCCCATTTAGTTACGCCGCCCAAACTAAATTTCCACCTGGTTTCGCTATGCCAACTCTTTTTGTTATAATAAGTGTTGTGCCAAGTGACGGTCATGTCAAAGTACCTGTGCGCCGAAAATCAGCACCTCGCACAACAGGTTATTACACAACAGCTGACCGCAAAAGCCCTTGGCGACCAAACCGTGTGTTGGCCGACAATTTTGTTTTCTCGGCTTTGGAACCACCTTTCGTAAAGTTGTTTCAACTGGAAGTACAGTCCACTAGTCCCTTCCTACCTCTAAAGTCTCCACCTCCCCCGACCAGTGGTATTCTCTTGATAGCCTTTTCATGGTCAAAACCGGTTCCCATTGAGTTACGCCGCGCAAACCAAATTTTCACCTGGTTTCCCTATGGCACTTTTTTTTTTTGTATAATAAGTGCTGTTTCATGTTACTGTCACGTCCAAGCACCTGTGTGCCCAAATCTGCACTTTGCACAGCCCGCTATGACACAACATTTTGGGTCCAATATTGGATATACCGTACAGCTTTATTTCTTTATTCGTTAGAAACATAACTTTCACACCTGCTGTCTAAATGAATCTTGACACACTTCGTGCACAAACTTAGTGAACATCTCACTCGCCTCCAATATCATCGTTCCAGCAGTCGTACGTTTACAGCGACGAGCGAAATAAATTTCCCACTCAGAGCAATTATCTTGGCAGGCGTCTTGCTTTTCGGAAAATCGCTCCAACTCCTTTTTTGGCTGCAACTAGAGAAATTACCCCTAATAACGACTCAAACTCAATATATAAGAAGTGGAGAACAGCTAAATGGCCTTTCTTAGGTATGCCCCAGCACGCATGCAACGTCACCCTCAATGTATCGGCTCAAGAAGCAAAAGTTTCGTCCGTGCGCCCTTCCGCCGCCACAGCTTGGCATGCGAAAAGGCGCCGCAGGCTGCTGAACGCGCCTCACGGTCGAACGCCAGCTCCTCCGCTAGCGGCGCTGCGCGCGTTTTTCAAAGCGCCCCCTATAGTTCTCGCACGGAGTGGCAATCGTTGCAGGAGATAACACTGCTGTCCAACCAGTTCACAGCGTGGATTGGAGCCCCAACATTTTGACTCAATCTTTTTAGAATTTAAGTTGTGTCTGACTAATTTGTAATCCCACTGTTTGTGCACCATTATACCAAGGCATCTGCTGTTCATGAGCACAAAAAATAAACGAATGAATTGCTGGTTGTGCTGACAGTTACGCACAGCAGACGCGAACCAGTCCAATGTTTTTACACCTCCAACGTGCTACATAAATGTGGCGTGAAAACCAAAGGTCAACAAAGTAAAAAGAAAAACCTTGAAAAACAAATAAAACATCGAAGAGTGAATGGGCGTTCAGCTCTCGAAGATTAAGTTAGAACTTGATTTTCTCACCGTTTGTTCCTCGGACATGGCCTGCTCGGCTAAGTCTTGCTCTTCTTTGAGCATTTGCTCAGTGACAACCGGAGCGTCGGCGCTCGCAGCCATTGGAAACGACTGTAATGTGAAGCGTTAAAGATTTACAAACAAAGCACCACTTTATTCATTGATCAGCAGGTTTTGACCAGCAGATGTTGACGTTTTTAATTCAAAATTTTTAGCATTTCAGTTTTATCTGACTAATCTGTGACCTAGCTCACTGTTTGTACACCATTACCAAGACATTTGCCGTTCATAAGCACAAAAAAGAAATGAATGAATGAGGATGAATTACTGGTTGTGCTGACATTCCTACACAGCTAGGAGAGACAAACCAGGTTGTTGTTGTTTTCAGACCTCCAACGTGCTAGAAAAATGAAGCGTGAAAACCCCAGCACAAAGTAAAACCTTGGAAAACAAGTAAAATGATAGTATGAAGGGTGAACGGGCATGAAGTTCTTGAAAGAAAGGGTTAAAACTCGATTTGCTCACCGTTTGTTCCTCAAACGTGGTCTGATCGGCTAAGTCTTGCTCTTCTTTGGGCAGTTTCTCGGCGACGATTGGACGGTCGGCGTTCGCAGCCATTGGAAACGACTGTAATGTGAAGCGTTAAAGATTTACAAACAAAGCACCACTTTACTCATTAATTAGCAGGTTTTTGGCCAATGAGGCGTCTGCTCTGGATCTGCAGGCGCCACTCTTTCATTATTGTAAAGAAAAAAAAAAAATGTGCGCCATCGCACTGACGAATCTTGTTTTTGTCGTAGCAAAACGAACATATTCTTTAATTTATGAGATTATTTGATCAGGAAACAATACCTGTTTCGCAAGCAGACAGAGACCGTAGCCCACCGTAGCCCCGTAGCAGAGACCACGAGAAAAGCGCGCGAACTGCTGTCACTGGACGGCAGTAAAAAACAAATTGTACCGGCATTAATTAATGCTACTATTTTCGTAATTAAACGTTTAAAACAATTTAAAGATTTACTTAAAATAATATATTTTTATGCAGTGAGTTGTATGCAAATAGAAACGCATTACTGCGGTTCTACCTTATTTGTTAGCGCTCTAGCGCCTGTAGTCATGGCAACCGCAAAACAGCAGACGATTTTTCCAGTTTTGCATCAATGAGCAACATTCTTCGTACGAAATGCGTTGTCATTGGTTCGTTTCGAAATCATACCTAAATAGAAACGTTGATTTCCTCATTTAAGTTTATTACACGGTTTAAAATTATTACTTAATGATAGCTATTTCTTTTCTTTAATGTCGGGGTGCTTCTTCCCAGTGCAGGAGACTCGGCCGTTGGAAAAACAGCGTTGGTTCAAGTATTTTTACACGACCGTACCTATTTTCCAAAAAATTACTCGATGGTAAGTCGGTTTTCTAATCGCTTTCATTGTTTGAAGTTTATGTAAACCCCAAATACAATGTTCAATTACGTGTTTTTGTGTGTGTTTGTGTTTTTTTAGACAACAGGAGTTTCACTATCGGTTGGGAAAGTGAATATCCCTGAAACTAAAGATACAGTTGTAAGTGTCTCAAACCAATAAAAAAAGGCTCGGAACACGAATAAAAAATTCCCTTTCAAGCATTCAACTGCCTATTTCAGGAAATATATCTGCACGATTGTTCTGGCAAAGACATCTATCAGGATTTTACCCAAGAACTGGTATCAGTATCTTTTAAATTCACCTAATAAAATCAACATTCACATACTCACACAACAATTGTTAATTCCTTTTTCTTTTTCAGTGGTCGGATTCACCTTTGGCCGTCATAGTCTTCGACACCTGCAGCAGTTCGTCGTTCGACAATGTACCTTTGTGGGCCGAGAGATTATCTAAAAAATGTGGCTCAAATCATCCTATTGGTTTGTATTACAACTTTTCATAATTTTTCTTTTTTAAGTTCCATATTGTGTATGCTTACTTTATCCAGCTCAATCAGCAGAACACAATCTAATGGGGGAATTCCTTGAATGTTTATGGAATTTCCAGTGTCTACATACAGTGCCTGGTGGAAGATAGTCTAAATTCATTGTTGTCCATCCATGTATTATTTCACGCCGTTGTCTGCTTGATTACAGGAATACTTGTGGGCACAAAGGCAGACCTAAAGGAGAGGCGCTCCGTCTCCTTGAAAGGGGCACAGGAAATGGCCAAGCGCATCGGATTTCAATACTTTGAATGCTCTTCTGTAAGAGTAAATTCTTAGGCTAATCACTTGCAATTTAATTCCAAAACTTCTTCCTTTTTAGAAAGAAGCAGAGGGTGTCCAAGAGCCATTCTTCTACTTGGCAAGCCAGTGGCACAAGCTCGTAGAAAAGGATGCGGCTTGAAGGAAGAAAAAAAACACTGAAAATGTGAGGCTCTTATAGCAAAAATAAAACAGATGATGACCCAAATAAGAAGGCTACTGTCTACCTAGGTTCACTTTCAATATCAGGTGTTATCTGCCGAGGATTTATTCGTAAGCAGACGTCCATCTAGTGGTTCCTGCGGATAGGAGCCTACATACGTAAGCAAGTATCCGTCTTCATAGATTGTCTAGTGCAGACATATAAAGTGATCAAGGAGGTCATCTAGTGGTCTGCAAGTAACAGACAATTAAAACGAGCGACGTGCCAAGGACTTCTAAGCAATCGACAATCATGCGCAAGCAGACGTTGACCATCATTGAGGAGGTATCCAGATGCTTCATGGGTTGCCTATTAGGCTCAATCGATTTACGTGCACCTACTGCACCAGCTCTATGCACACCACCATGATCAATTTACAAGGGCAGCCTATCTAAAAACAACCTGAAGTACATTGTCCTGCACTTCCCTGCACTAGTGTAGGCTGGTGCAGGTAAATTGAATGAGCCACTGCATACACCTAAAGTGCACAAGCGGGTCATCTTTAGTATGTTGCAGGTTAAGAAGGTAGGGCAAGGGAAAGGAAGGTAGGAGGAGGAAGCAGACTCAATGCTGGCAAGGGGAGGGGGTTTCCTCCTTTCTTCGCCAGCGTGGCGTCTATTTCCACCTCTCCCACCTTTTTTTCTCTCGTTCTACCTTCTCGAGTTGTCATGAATTATAGTCGTCTGCAAGTAACAGACGATTTAAACGTGTGATGTGCTGAGAACCCCCAAGCAGGCGATGATAGTATGCAAGCAGATGTTGACCGTCAGTGAACAGGTATTTATATGTTTCACAGATTGTCTATTGCAGATGCCTAAAACGCACAAGCAGGTTATCTAGTCGTCTGCAAGTAACAAACGATTTTCTTTCAAACAATGAGCGACGTGCTGAGAACACCCAAGCTGACGATGATTGTGTGCAAGCAGTCACTTAGTCATCTAGCTCCAGAGAAGCGGCGAACGTACAAAATAAAAAGACCAGCTTCTTTATTTCTATCTTACACGAACAACCCACGGCCCCCGCCTATCACCTGCCCTTGCGTTGGCGGTAGCAACTCTGGCAGTAGATGGTGACGCTGCGCTTGTGATCCACGGGTGTGGGCCCTCTGCCGTACTCGTGGTGCCACTGCACCCTGGGTCCCTCGGGCCCCGGCGACGCGACCCCGCACGTCGCGCACCGGCCGCACAACCGGCATATCCAGCGCCCCGCCGGCACCGACTTCATCCCCACGCAGAAGCTGTGGTAGCCCCGGTCGCAGCGGTCGCAGAACATCATCTTCTCTTCGTTGTCCGTCGCCATGCAGATGTTGCACATCTTGCACTCCATGCACTGCCAGCGGTACGACTTGATGGCCACCGCCATTTCCGGCAGGATGTCCAGGCAGGTGACGTGGCCGACCTTCCCGCACTCCGAGCACGAGATGAGCTCCTCGCCCTCTTTGGACGCGTCGACATTGTTGCAGACCTTGCAGACGGGCACCGGTCCGCTCTCACCATCCGACTGCGAACTTTCCCCACTGGAAGAGCTGCAGGACGATCCATCCGACCCGGAGCTGTCTTCGGATTCGGATTGGCTTCCGTCGGATCCGGGGTGCGTGTACACAGATCCAATCTCCTGCGGTGGACCGTACAGCACCGTGTTCACCGGAAGGTACTTGAGCTCCTGGGCTGTGTAGACCCTGTAGTGGTCCTGGTACTGTCCCGGTATCAAAGCCACCGGGTATCGCCGTCTGGCGGAGGCCGAGGCGTCTGGCTTAGCCGTCTTGCGGGTCGGATACTGGATTGTGAAGGTCTGCAAGTCGAAGCAGGACCGGCGCTCCTCCCGGCGCTCCTGGTTTAGGTGCTGGTTGTATTCGGCCGTCGAAGCCACAGCCTTGCGGACGAAGTCCGCCATCTTGCACTTCTCGATGGACGCCGCCGAGTAGCCCTTGTGCTTCTCGACCGCGTTCTGCTTGTCTCGCTCCCGCACGCTGTTGGCGTACTCCTGATACTTCTCCGGATAGTCCTTCATGAAGAGATCTACCACATCATCCGCTCGAAGCGCCGTCAGCCCCAAGTCGCACTGTGTTTCGGTGACCACTCCGCGCTCCTTGAGGAACTCTTTCTCGTCGAACTCGACCGGACGCCGGTACAGATCGGGGTGCTTGCGCTTGAACGATTTCACGTGGAGGTACTCGCAGACCTGCTCCTGCAGCATGTAAGCGTCGCCGCCGTCGTGGGGCCACTGGTACTCGAACAGTTTGTCAGCCGTGATCGGGAGGAAGCCCTCCGAGGTGACTTCGTCGTCCGAGAACTTCTTTCGGCCACTCTTGGCGCTGCTCGCGCTGTTCTGGGAGTCGCAGTCGACCGCCGCGGGAAGGAGGTTCGTCGGGGCCGGGTTGGAGTCGCTCGGGAGCGAGGTCGGCTTCGACGAGACCTCTTCGGATTCCTCGATGAGCATCTGATCGGAGTCGACCCTGCCGGCGTCGGTCGACGAGTCCGCCACGCTCGCGGCGGTCTGAGGCTGCGCGGGGGCCGGTTCGAGGTTCCACGAGCTCCGTGTGTCCTCTTCGAACACGCTGACAGCGTCGGAGTCGGCCCGTTTGCCGGGGAGTTGCGGTAGCGTGGACGATGACGGAGTCGCGGTCCCGGTTAGGCTTAGCTTGGGTACGTCGGGCTCGAGGAAGATCCCGCCGCTCTCGCTGCTCGGGCCGTTGCCGGTGACGGCTGTCTCGGACGGGAAGAAGCCCGGGGACTCCGCTTCGACGGGTTCGTCCCTGGCCAAGTCCGGAGCCGCCCAAGCGGCGTTGCCGTCCGACATTTTGGACGCCGCCGTCGGCGAACTGTTTAAAAAAGTAGGATAAAAATCGTTTCGGCGTCCGCTGACCGCGGTAAGTTTGGATCGGATTGGATTTGTCTGACTTTCTCTTGTCTCACCAAGCCATAAACCAATGTTGCCATAAACTGTATTTTTTCTCAATATAAGCTTAAATTTTTAAACATATTACTACAGTGTCTTCCTTTAATTTGAATTAAAAAATTCGGGATGATTGAATTGTTAAACTTAGAATTGAACTGTCGGCAACAAACTTCTAAGACTTGTCAGTCGCGGCACCAAGCGGGAATTCTTTATTGATCGATTGACGTGCAAACCCCAAAAAGTGTTTGCGGATCTGGCTGAAGTCGCAACCGCAACGGCGAAATCCCAGAAGAGCCATCGAATTTCGCGGCAGCACGCTGATAACCTCACAGTAAGCTTCAATTTCCTTCCGATTCACCAGCACATTTCGACGTTTCACTATTCTCTTCGTGCAACAACGTCTGTGCCGCATGGCGACGGCGTGGCTTGGCGTTCCGTTGGCGCCGTCGGCCGCTGTCCAGCGCAACCAAACGAATCTAGCCCTCTTTTCTGTCACCGAGGGCAAAAAAAGTGAAGATATCAACCTTCGCTAATCACGGAACTGTGAAGAGATGCACAACGTTCACAGTTGTGACAACACACCCTGTAAAAGTGATTTCAAGTCTTGCAATCCAACCCGCACTGACAGGCGCTGCTCTGCTTGCCAGTATGCTCGCTTGTCAAGAAAAGCGTGTCGTTTGCTTTTACAACCACCTGTATATCGACTTATGTATTTTGGTTGTAGTTTGAGTGCGGCCGGTTGTCTGTTGCTGTTCGCGTTTGAAACTGCAAACCACGCTTGATTGAAGTTGTCACTTCGTCAGATTCGTGGCGCCACATACAATCTCGCCTTAATTGGGGCGCTAGGCTTTGCCAATTTTACTCTTTTCGGACGACATTTTTTATTTATTTTTACTCTAAAAGCGTGCCAAGTTCGCTATTTAAGTCTCGTGAAAGCGCATGGGGTTGATGCCTGTCTGTGCCTTTGTCTCGCGGTGGCTGAAGTGATTACATAGGCAAGAAATAGCGAATAGAATAGGCAACACGGGTGTTTCAAACCTGCCTTCATTTTAAGGCACGGTACACAAATTTAAATAGACGTGAAACACACAGATCTACTCTCTACGCAAATTCATCAAATTAAAATTTCTTTAAAGAAAATTTAATGTAAAATTGTGTCTTATTTTTTTGGCGCCCTTCAAAGTGGGCACGGCAGTGAAAACGGGTTGCCTGCCATTGGGAAAGAACCTTTAGTACGAGTATGCTCGCCTTGTAATCTGAAAGACTCTCACGTTTCACCTTATTTTGTAAACACTCGTTGGTTACGCTTTAGCGTGAAGTCACTAGTGCCATGTGGCTTCTTTTGGTCTTGTGCCATTAAACTCCTAGTCATTATTGGAGCATGAGGATGCCATTGTTGTGGTCCACCGAAACAATGCACATTGTCAAGAGGTTGTGCTTCGTGTGACGGCAGGTTACCTTTCAAGAGAAGATGTGGCACAGCTCTAAATCGGTTTATTGGAAAGCAATCATAACTTGAGGCTGTCCACATCCGGACTGAACTCTGACAAAAATCCGTAGAATACCGCGCATCCGCCCAGTCTACATTAAGCGCCCATTCCCAAATTTTTAAGATCTGAGGAAATACGTGCAGTAGAATTATATGTAAAATTGATGACCGGACAAGCGCCCACCCCCATTCTCTCGCAATAATTTTTAAATTTTGAGTGGGCGCTTGCCCGGTATTTTACGGTACTTAGTTTCAGCGTGGCTTGTCGAAAACAGATGACATGATTTGCATAGGTCGATCAGAGTGATGGAGCAAAGCATGAGACATCTCTGGCAGTACAATGATCCTTGGAGCAAATAAGAAGCGCACCCCCTTTTTGGACAGCCTAAAGGTTCGACACGAGTGTGGTGTGACCAGGATACCATATTGTTGCAGCACATTCCAATCTAGAATGTATTAGTTTCTTTAAGAGAAAGTGAGGAAATCCTCGAATTTGGAAAAAAAACTTAAAATTTTAGTGTGGGCACCTTAAAAGCTACGTGCTTTTTTTTTTTTTTTTCCCCCATCTTACTAGTAGGAGCGTTGTAATCAGCAATTAAAATTTCGGTCTAAACCACTCGTTGCATTGCAATGTGCAGAGCGCAGGAGTGCGGAGAGAAAAGCTAGTAAATGTGACGTCATGGGTGGGATCAGACGACCCTTGCTAATTGTTAAGATGGCTCGAGGATGCAAACAACGACGTCACGATGCTTTGGACAGATAACAGGCAGAAGAGAAGTTTGCCTGCACAATCTGCGGCAATCTCTGCTCATCTTTTTTAAGATAAATGCAGTTTAGTTTTACTTCTGCCAAAATGAAGTGCTATAACCGACTTCCCGGGACAAAAAGCTGCGAAAGTCTGCGCCTCACCTGGATTTCTAGAAAGGTGCTTCAGCTACCCTTTAAATAAAACTAATTTTAACGACTCCCATGACTTGCCGGTGAACCAAACGAAACCAGCAGAATCAAGTGTGTTTCGGTGAAACCGCCGCGACATTGCCGTCTGCCTTCCTCCCAGATGGTGCTGAGTAGCCGCCTGGCCAATCGAATCGGCGTGAGGCGGCCGAATGTAGCCGGTGCGGCGGGTGCCACCAGGGGGAGCCTGCGGCGGCCCGTCCAAGATGCCCGGGAGGTGCTCAACGCTAGGGGCGTGCGCGGAAGCGCCAACGGCAGCGGTAGGCGCCTCGGGGTGGCCGGCGGAGGCATCGTCAAGACGGGGCGCTCGCCCAACCTGCGCCTCAATACCCTGCGCGGAGCCGGCAGGGGAGGCCTTCGCAGCGACCGGATGGCGGCGGCAGTGGGGCGGGTGGCACGGCCCGTCCCGTCCGCCGCACGGTTTTCGGCCGGACGACAGGCACAGGTGAGGCACGCCTACTTCATCTGCATCTCCCTTGTAGTGCCCGGAACGGATCTCTGACTGGTGTGTTTGCTGCATTCTCTTTTTACGGCAGTAGCTGTTATAAAGACTTCTCAGCTGCATTTGCGGCTTAAGTGTGGCGTTGATGTGCGCTCGCATTTGCACTGCCCTGTGACGTCGGGAAAAGGGTGTGATTTGTGGACACGGTATCGCTTCCCGTGGCACGCAAGTTTGCAGCTGGTCTCTGCACGTTTATCACACCATGAAACACGAATGTGCTGCATCTACAGTCTGCTGTACCCTTTCCCATGACACAAGAGTTTGTAACGAATTCCCGCTTGTTGATCGCGTAACGTGAATTTGACGTGTCTGCGATCTGCGGTATCAGTTCATGTGGTTCGTGGTGGATGTCGCTACGTTTATCATCATTTTTTATGTTTTGCTGTCACATCCCTAAAGATTTGCACCTTATGTTTTTACCATTTAGTATCTCTTGAGCACCTTACGGGATTTTACAGTAAATGTGGGTCTTACAGTTGAGTTGACTTATAACTAGCGCGATAATTTCTCGAAAAGCGATCATTATATCAATTGTTTGTGTAACTGGACTTACCTTTAAAGACAGTGATGGAGACAGTTTGGTTACAAACAGTGTGCCAGGTCTTTAATGAAAGAAATTGGAAAATAGAGCAAAAGCGGAAATGATAGTTATATCTTGATCAGGGTTCTCCCCAGAAATTCTGGAGAGCTGTACATCTGGCAATTTCCAGTGTGCTGAGGGGAGGAGGAGGGGGCGATTGCTGCAACTTTTATTGTTCTCCGCACTTTCTCTGCCGCACAGCAGTGATTTTGTTTGCAGGGGTTATGCAGCCCTGTGGCATAGTGCCACACAAGTCTGTGAAACACAACAATATAGAGTGTCACGCATCTTCGAAGTCGGCGTCGTTCTGTTTAGCGGGGCAAAATTCAGATGTGGGTTGGACATGGGTAAAAGTGGACAGTCAGCAGACTGGTGTGCGGCAAAACCACCGCCACCCACTGTGGGGAGATCCCCGTTCTGGATGCAGTTTCAATGGGCAGTGTCTCAAGTTCGTAGATTTTTATAACTCCGTTTTAACAGGTAGGTCGTCATATCTGGGATTATTGGAGGTGGATTTGATCGTACTATGCGCAGTAACAGCTACCGTCGTCATTTTTTTGTGCACTGTGATAAAAAGCTGCGGTATCTTTGGTCTCTCTGTCTCTGCCTGGTGACGTCCCACTCGTGTCGTGCCGTTGTGTGCCGCGACCCGGAGCATGCGCCCGTTCTGCTCTGGGTCACTCTCCAGCTCGACTATCCTTAAAAGGTTCGGCAGGCACGAGTCGAGACGCTGCGACGACGGCAGCACTTGCATCCCCTCTGCTTTTGTGACTGAACTTATACGAGAAAATGCCAGGATTGCGACATCCGACGGCGCAAGACGCCAGTCACTGCAACATAATTTGTTGCCACTTCAAGATGACAGAATTCGCGTGCGATATGGGATGCCAAACACAGCACTTGGACGCGTTTCGGGCCATGTGGCCTCGTGGAAGCGGTTTTCTTAGGGTCCCGATTTTTTGTGAACAGGCTTCGACTTTCCGGCAGCAGGGAGGTCCGCTCAGAACGACCCCGAGGGGACTGGTGAGCTTTTCGCAAAGGATGGCCGCCGTGAGGGTGAGTACGCCCCCATCCGCACAAATTGAGCTCTCTTCCATTTGTTTGCGACGGCCGATTCGCACGACGGACTTATTTGCGGACGGATTGATCGCGTGACGACATGTTCGTGGTTCGTCCGTCTCTCAAGCTCATCCCCACGAGGGAGACGACGAGCAGACGCCGGCGAGAACAAACCTAACCTGTTCGCCACCCCCGCAGTGCCGCGAAACTCGCAACATCGCGCCATTGTCCTAGAGAGAAATCAACATTTGCTACCGCGATAAAAAATCATACACTGCTGTTACGTATAGATTGAGACGGAACACTGCGATAGGCTTCACGTGAGATTTGCCACTATCGTTACTAACCCAAGGCATGACAGTGACGCAGGATTTCGTCCCCTATGGCACTCAATGACAAACTCTAGTACAGTGACAGTTAGCCAAATGACTCGCGAACGCGGCGCTAGCTGTTTGGCATGACAGTGACGCAGGCACGGTCCTGCTCAAGAAGGCTTTGGATAGAAGCGACGAAGCTGTGGGATCGCGGATGGGCGTTCTGAGATGCCTTCATGCATTCTACTCATACGCAATGCTTAAAGGGACACTGATACCCCCCAAAAAAATATTTTTATATTTTGCTAGGCAATATATGATGGTGTAGGGAGACTACCCAATCAATATATTTAATAAACTAAAAAAAAAAAAAAAAAAAAAGCATCTGTTTGAAACTGAGATTGGACTGGAAAGGAAGAAATATAAGGGAGGAGGAAGTTACCGGAAATCACGTAGCTGTGCAACTTTTTCTTTCTTTTTTTTTTTTCAATCAATGTATTTGCAATTTTTTAGAAGCCACAAAAAATGGGTATCGTATTTCTTTTCTATTTTTAATATTTAGGTGTGTGCCTTCAATGACCCATGACTTTGATTATCTTTGGTGGTTGTGTCTAAACCAAAGAAAACAGTATATGACCACAGAGAAGAGAATGAGGGAGACTCAAAATCGGCCAGTTCTCAAATGGCAGTTTTCGGGCAAAAAGAAACCAAATTTCGAGCCGTGAATTGTGTTCTGTGTAGTTGGGCTCTCACATGTCATGTACAAATAAAAACCTTAGCGAGCATAAATACGCTGTCAGTGTCCCTTTCATGTGCATTGCAGCCACGAGGAAGGTCTTTCTTGGTGAAAGGATTATTCAACGTGCAAGAATTATTGCAGCGTGCTAGACGAGTTTTTGACTGAAGCTTCTCGATACGGACCCGGAGGAGTGCCAGAACATTCGTCGCGCCAGCTGGGCAAAGTTTCTGCACTTGCTTTCGCGTGTGGAATGAAGAATCATGCGACGAAATGAACCAGCGAACGCACGACACACGATGCTCCACTTTTGTTTTAATCGTCCAGCAACAAAAAAAATCAAGAAGAAAACAGTGTACTGTTGCCAGACAAAATCGTTTGCCAAAAATTTGCGAGCGAAACGGCGCTCGACTTTAGCAGTCTGTGGAAGAGGGGCAAGTCACAGGAATCGGTGACGTGACGGTCACATGGTACACGGTCCGCGGACGAAAATCACGATTGTGTCTGTCATGGGAATCGGTTAGAAGGGGCAGAAAGGTTGTCATCTGCTTTCCAAGAGGTTATCGGTTCCCCAAAGGGTTGCGTCCTAGCCTATTGACAGAACATATTGAACATGAAACATGTGCTGAGAAATAAGGTACATACTATAAACAAAAAAGTTAATTGTAGATTTTGTTTTCATTCTTTTAGTTTATGTGATGAGTTGTGACTGCTCATTCTTTGAGTTGTGACTGCTCATTCCTTTTTTTAATGGTCATTTCGGTCCTCAGAGTTTAATAAATGATGATGTTTTCTGGTGGTGTCAGAGTCATATTCTGCTAGTAAGAAGCTTTTGTTCCCAAAAACACAGAGTCGTCTTCCCGCCACGTGTGTCGGCTTCAATCTAGCCTGCTCGTAGCCAGAATCCAACAGCCGTCTTCTAGCCATCAGATAGATGTATGGTGTATTGTACGTAAACCTGTTAGCCGTAATTCTTGTCTACTCTAGGCAGTTGTTTGCTCACATAAACCTTTTTTTTTTCCTTGCAGAGACCAATTGGTATAATGGACGATGACGTAAGTGGAATGTTAATGGATTTTTGTTCACAAAATTCACCTGAAGGCCCAGGCCCCACGAAGACCATTTTGAATGTGCTACTTTCTAATGCTCTAGTAATTGGCTCTCGTAAGCACCTGTTTGCATGTGAAGGGTCGTTTTGCTTCTGTAGCTTGGGAACCCACAAATGGGTGCACATCCTCCGGAGTTCATTTTTATTTTCAATTTCTCCGGTGGGTTTAGGGTCTTAAAGCACATTTAAGGAAAACAAAAGGAAAAATTTATTCATGTCACTTCGAGTCATTTTATTTATTTTTTTTCCCCTTTTTAATGAATACACTGCCCGAATTTCAGTTTGTGAGAAGTGTAGCCAAGGCCTGCGTGGATCGTTGAGCGGAGTTTTTCTAACTGCCACAGTTTCCACAGAGCCTGGACAAAGAAATCCGCGTGGACAGGAACGGGATCCTGGTGACCACGGCCAACAACCTCATCTCGGTGAGTGGGGCCGCACGGCAAATGCCACCAGGGAATTGCTTTTCATTCTTTATTGACCCCTTAACCGTTTTGGACAAGCCTATCTCATCAGCGTGAAGTCCCCCCCCCAAACCGTCCAGAATGAGTGCAGCTCGTCCGCTTTCTTTGATTCACGCGCTCGACCGTTTTAGGCATCCTAGGCTCGCTCGTGGCTTTGTTTTCTGCTGTGAGAACAACTTACAGCGGTGGCTTTTTTAATGCGTATCATCGCGGTACTACTACAGATTTTCAGCTATGTATAGGGTGGTCCAAGTCATCAGGCTCGATCTAAGATGGACTGTAAAAATCGACGCCTGCAAAGAGCAATTTAAAGGAGCGGTGCAACGATATTCAATTGGAATGCTTTTCAGTTGACACGAGCTTACTGGCACACCTGGGACTCAAGGATACCCACACGCAACGCCACTGGCCAAGAAACTCCTTTGTTGCGGTGTAATTTCAAGGACAAAAGCGATCATTTTCTTTCAATCTCTCCTTTGCGAAATTTGATGACGTAACTCGGGGATCGCAGTACACCCAAGTGACGATATTTGAATGCGGTTCATAGATTGGACCCGAGCCCTGCGTGGGCACTCGATTTGGGCTCGTGATAATTACTAGCTCGAGAAGCATTCGGCTAGTCGCCCGCGTCCAATCGCTGCAACGACGACAATAGCCGAGCCATAACAATGTCTGGAACTCAGCGCGTGTCCTGTGCTTTGCCAACCCCAGCGCGTGGCTATGATCAACACTGGCGGCATATAGTCGGCTCCAGATCACGTGACCGCTTGTTCTAGCTGCGAGTTGAGGGGGTGAACGCTGCCCGTTTTTCTTTAATTTTTTTCTGGACTTCTATTGCGTGGGGTGAAAAACGAACGCGTGTTTCATAGGTCATTAACGTTAGGGATCCGTTCTAAGCGGTATTTGCGCAAAGTACAAAAATTGTTGCATCGCTCCTTTAAACTTTTCGTCAAGGGTGTATTTCACAGGTCGGTTTTTTCTTGTTAAGTCACAAAGTGTAGTTCTCTTTTAGTAAAAAATAGGGCCAAGAAACTTGCCAGGGTCTACGGCAGGCAGCGACGTAGACGACGGGACCAGTAGCGGAATGTGTTTGGCGTTCGTATTAATAGATGGCGCTACCTCCTTATTGCGACGGCTGGCGACCACCGTAGTTTATTAAAATGAACATAATCTTTTTGAAATGTACCTTCGGTTAAAAAATAAATGCGGGCAATAAAAGCAAAAATTTAAGTAAAAAACTATGCGTCTGCATAACGGCGGCGCTTTTGCTGCCAACGTATCTCGTCTGCGTGTCGTCTGCTATTTCTTGCTGGCCGGCTGCATCTTCAGATGCTGCTCTTGACGCCATCTATCAATACGAACGCCAAACACAGCCTGCTACTGAACCCTTGTTGTCTGCGTCGCCACCCGCCGTGGACCCTAGCAAGTTTCTTGGCCCTATATCTTACTATAAGAGAACTATGCTTCGTAATTTTACAATAAAAAACCGACCTGTGAAATACACCATTGACGAAAAGTTTAGATTGCTCCATGTAGGCGTCGATTTCAATGGTCCATTTTAGATCTTGACCACCCTATATATGGGTCCTGGCCGTATTTTCAGCTTCCCCGTTAAATTAAGCAGAAAATTGACGTCACATGACCTATGCACCAGTTGATTTTTCCCGCTAAATTTAGCGGAAAATTGATGTCACGTGACCTATGCACCAATTCAGTTTCCCCGCTGAATTTGGCGGAAAACTTAAGGGGGGACACTACCCAAAAAAGAAATTTTTGAACCACTTGTCTGATTTAAATTATATTTACAGGGCTTGTTTCTGTTGATGTTGAGAACATTTCTGCCAATTTTTGTTAACCTGGGTGAACAAAAAAAATTGCAAACATTCAGACGAAAGGGGGCATGTCTGCTTAGGAAAACTATCGTTTTGAAATTACTTATAAATTTGTTGTTTTCATGTGTTACATTCCATTAGGACAGTTCAGAGCAGATAACTATGGAGCTATATTTCTATGTTATAACATCTTTTATGACAAAAAAGCCACATAAACACAAATACAGTTTTTTAGATTTCCATCCTTTGTCCAAACTTTCAGTTCTTGAGCATGAGAAATGACAAAAATAAAAAATACAAGCTCATAGTTATCTTCCCCTTAAAATTTCAACCCAGAAACACTCATAAAAATTAGTCCAAGTTGCGTAATAACAAAACGATAGTTTTCCTAAAGTGAAATTTATGCCAAAAAGTGGAATGGAGAAAAATGCGTTCAAAGTGCTCCAACCTCTACCTTTTCTTTAGCATCGGTGGACCGAAAATAATTTATAAAAAATTAACTATGCAGTGTAAACTAATGAAACTCCCTGGGAATACTCTCTAGATGTTGGTGGATGTAAATATGACATTTTTCAAAATCAACTTTTTTTTTGCAGAAATTGTTTTTTCTGGGTAGTGTCCCCCCTTAACGTCGCATGACCTATGCACTAATTCAGTTTGCCTGCTAAATAAGTTGAGTGGGTGACACGCAAGAAACAGAAGCTTGTCCGTTTGTTTGCGCCCTCGGAGAAAGCGTCAAAGCAACCTCGCACGAAGTGGTCCGGGGAGCTTCGCCACACATGGACGCCTCGGGATGTTCCACGTCCAATCTTTGGCCTTTCGCAGACCCGACGCAACCTGCTGGAGGCGCGCGGGATTCTGCCGATCGCGGAAGAAGAGGACGACCTCGAGCGGATGACCCTGGACGACGTGCTCGGGAAGGGCGCCGCCGTGTACCGCCCGCCCGCTGCCAGATCGACCCCGGTTTGGACCCCTCTCGCCTCTGGGGTGGAGGGTGTTGTTCATGACCTTTTGCGGCGACCGCGGTTACCGGGAACCTCCTCGAGGAATGGCAGAGTGTCGTCATCCTCGTGCTCACAACCGTCGGAGCAGACAAAACTCGCACGCCGTACGGCTAGAGCTCGGAAAGTTTGTGGCGGGTCCGAAGATCGCTGCTTTCAGTTACGATGAGTCGAGGAGGCTCGTCATGGACAGGTTACGGATCGGGCATGGAATGCCCGATCCCCGGGGTCTGGCTTGGGACACGGCGCAGAAACAACGGTGACGGCGCAATGATGGCGTACTGCGCCAGTGCCGAGCTCCCGTCACTGTGAAAAGCATTACGCGACGACGTAGATGCGCCGTAAAATCCCGTACGAGCGCCCGCCCGTTTGGATGAGATAAATGGTTAAAGGTCGGGCAAAAGTTTGTCAAAAATGGCCAACAAACGCCACGGCATACCCGTTACGAACCACGCGGTATGGGTAGCGATATAGTTGATGCGGCAGGTTCACGTTTTTTGGGGGGCAACAAACAATCGAGAACTCGCTACGAACTCCGGCAACTTCGGGTTCCGCAGTGCGACAAAGAGACGCGGGATACCGCCAATCACGCGGTCGATCCATCAAGTCTTGGAATGGGTTTTGGAATTCTCAACATACAAATAATTAGCACCAAAAAAAAATAATAATAAAATGGAAGGGACATTTTTTCAACAGAGGACGTTTGTACGGGACTTTACGGTAGGATTTTCAGTGGTTTGTTGACGCAGCTGTTTGTTTTCCCCCTTAGACTTCGCTGAACCGCATCTTGCACCGGTTGGACGGCGGGAGTAGGGCGACGACTGCGCCAGCGGCAACGGCACGCAGGGCGCCCTCGGAGCCCCTTCAGGGGGCGTCGGTCCTGGTGGCAAACCTCGACCCGCAGGTCACGGAGACGGACATACGGGTACGCACCAACGCTTTCTTCTGCGCGTCTTGGTCGACGTTCCTATGACGTGCAACGATTTCACCCGCATTTCCGAGACATGGCTTTTTCCGAAGGCTTGCTGACGCACTCGCAACCGCTTACGACGGTGCACCTTTTCACCCCTCTGACGATTTTTTTTTTTTGTGCAGTTCTTGCTAAATACTTTTTTCTCAATTTTTATCGCACGTGCGGCATGGGCTACACGTGTCTTCACAACAAATCGTAATTTTTAAAAGCGTGTATGGCAAAAATATTTACAGTACACATCCCGCAACCTCTCGCCAGCGCCGCAAACTAAGCTCCGAGCAAGCCTGGGTCGTCCGAAACAGCCAAGGGGTGTCCGATACTATCTCGGAGATAGTATAGACCTTTTCACCCCCCTGAGCATGGGCGCTGCCATCTTGAAATCACGTGACGCGGCAGCCATTAGGTTGCTTCAACTTGCTACTCCGCTCTCCCTTCCGCGCCTTGGAGGACACGCTGCATTCGTGTTTTTCGTCGCGTTTCGCCGCTCTTTCTTGCCTTACCTCGGAAACTGTAGTCCGATACGTCTACTCGACGATTAAGACATCTCGAGGGCTCAGATGTCCTTATGACAACTGATGTTTGCTTACTAATAGTGGCGGAACATTCTCAGTAAGAAGCGCGTACATTTATATCGCGCATTGAGAATAGTCAGTGCAATGAAACTACCTGTATTTCCCGAAAGTATCCTCTTTGCAATCATAATATATTGAAAACAGTTTCGTTTTATTATGTGAGGAAACTCGCGGAGAAGATGAACAACGAACGATTAACTTGTATGTATTTTATCTGAGGCTAGAATGGTACGTCAACATCAGGCGATTTGTTTGTTCATAATATCACACCTTCATGTGTAGGAGGTTCTCAATAATTGTATACCGTGCTCGCTCCCATTTCAACAATCATCTAAGTGATTTATTGATTATATTTAAATAACCAGTTCAACCCACTTCATATATATTAACACAAAAATTGGGACTTCCCGCGTAAGAAACTGACACAGGCACTTAACAGTAGCGAGTTTTCGAAAAAAAAGTGCACTAAGAAATAACGTTGTTTGTTTCTATCTGCAAATCTAAAACGCGGTTTGGGTTCGACGCATAAACAATAATGACGACGTTTTTTTTGTTTTTTTTTGCGTACGTTGTTTTATTTTTTTGCCAGTATCTGGAATCCGCAATATTTGACGCCGAAAACGAAAAAAAAGAGCCGTCTGCAAGACAATCACTTGAGTTCAGGATTGTCGATGGCGAATAGAAGTTTACTTTTGGTGGCTGGCGACGCCGAAATTTACAAAGCCAATCTGTTCACAAACAAATAAATATTTGTTCACACAGGTCCGTGAAGTGGTGCCTAGCGCTAGAACTCAGCCTAACTTTCCGAGGTATTTTTCCTCTTGCAGCCTTTAATCTTATTTGGCCAGATTTTCGGAAGACAAAAGCCAGATTTAATTTGGCGGGCCCGTCACGTATATCTTGAGTAAGCAAATGTTCATATAACAATAATTTATTTCCTAGGGCCAATATTGCGAGATGCTGCTTATGAGTACTTTAGCAGGGTTGATAATTTAAGAAGTTTCCTACTCGGCCTGTCAAAACATGCTCAAGTACTAAATTTTAAAAAAAAGAAAAAGAGTTCGACACGATATTACTTGTTTTTATTAATTATCTGCGTCATTACACAATACGTTTTTAGTCAGCGAAGTTCACTAAAGTTTGGGTGCCCTCGAAAACCAAACAGTGAGTAGTAAACTCGCGAGTTCATCTGTTCTGACCGATTCAGCACATTGCTAACCATGCTGTCGATATGCTTTACTTCCCGTGTTAGTCTCGTCATCACTTTGTTTTTTCTGATAACTGGTGCCATTGAATACGGCCATAGACGATGGTAATCTTCTCTATACCTCAGTCAGGCGTCTTGCAACCGTCCATAATCAGGTACATCAAAGGAGTTGGTAAAAAAAAAAATTACGCAATTTAGGCTAAAATACACCTCGTAGTCCTCAAAGTGGCTCAATACCAAAGTTTCATTGGTTCTGCGGTACAAGAAAAATGAACGTATTGCAAAAGTAAACCAAAAACAACGTAAAACAGCAACATAGCCGCGTTCTCTTTGAAACCGAAACCAACCAACCAAATTGAAGCAACCTAATGGCGCCGAGTGCGTCAGCGCCCTCTATCCACCGGTGAGGCAGCTACTAAAATGAAAAGGTCTATATATGTTTGATCTCGCAAACACCGCAAAGCCTTCGCTGCAGTGAAATTATGGTCCAGGGCCACCTCACAGACGGCACCGGCGTGTTCTCTGGTCGTAAGCAGACGCAAGTGTGTGGGCGGGTCTCTGTCGTTAGTTTCAGAGAACCTCCAGCGACGTTTGGAGAATTGTCGACTCGCTACGATGCGTACCGGTGCCCTGCCGCTTCCGACGTCCCTGGAAAGCTCCCCTCTCGCAAACGTCCGCGACGCCTTTCCCGCAGGACCTGTTCCAGGACATTGGGCCGATGCAGGACGCCCGCATGGTGGCGGTGGGCACGGCCCTGGCCACCTTCCACCGGCAGTTGGACGCTGTCAAGGCCTTCAAGGCCTACCACGGGAGGCTGCTCGACGGTGGGTGACGCACCTGAGCTTTTCCCCACCAAACGTATTCACTATACTCCGCGACAACTTTTCTTGGCAATGCAGTGGAAGGTACAGGCCCGAGTCCCCTCTCCCATTTTAAGTGTACGCAGATTCCTCCTCCCCCATTTCCGGGGAGAGGAGGAGAGCCCGGGGGAGGAAGAGAGCCCGCGCACACTCAAAATGGGAGAGGGGACGCGGGCCTGTACCTTCCACTGCATTGCCAAGAAAAGCTGTCGCGGAGTATAGTGGTTTCACGAGCACGACCCCGTATTGCGGCGACACCGAGACAGGCGCGTCTGCCGCGACGAGTCTCGCTGAGCTTCGAAGTGTTTGTTGCTTGGGGTAGGTTGGAGATTCACCAATTACGACGTCGTCGAGAGACTTTGTCGTCGAGGCTCTGCGGTGCATGAATGCGACGCCCACCGACTCCGCCATGACGTGTCGCAGCTGTCGCTAGGATTCTGCTGTGGATTTACACGAGACTGCTAATTTTTATTCATTTACGTATCTATTCGAAATACCCCTACAGGTCCTCCAAGGGAGGGTATTGCATATGGGGAAACATAAAATACAGAAAATAACAAAAATGTAAACGCAGGTAACACGAAACATGCAAAAACAGACTGAAATGAGAAGTCGAGAGAAGAAACTGACGTTAATATCACTGCACATAAATTTTGTTACGTCGTCTGCTGTGGCTGTGCACAAAGAGATGACGTGTTTAGCTTTATACGAGTGATCCCGATGTGAGGAAATAATGTGAGGTGCCTGAAAAAAAATTATTGTGGAGGGAATCATGATGGTAAAGTTTCTGAAACAGTGTTAGACCAGCGAGTCTGAAACAGGTGAGACCTGCAACTGGGCACAATTTTTTTTAATTTTGTGACATTGGAAAGGGATGTACCACCTGCAAAAAATGAAACTAGCAGCGCGGTTTTGCAGGGGCTCTATGTTGGGCTGCTTGGTGGTCGGTGCTAGAAAAAACATAAACCTATATTTCAAACTTTTTTTTTTTATTCATTTTTTAAATTTGAGGTTTTCGGTTTTAGAAACTAATTAAGCACCCTTACACTAAATTTGATAACCATATGGCCCAATAGTTGATATAAAATATTTTCAACACATTGTGAGGCCGGTAACAAAGTAGAAGAGTTCATTGTTTGAACACATTTTTCTCAGTTCCACTTTTTGCTGCAAATTTCGCCGTACGTATGGGTGATCCGCTCCGTTCTCTCGCACAGGCCGACCAATGAACTTGACGGTGCTGACACTGAGCACGCCCCAGCTGGACCAGAGGTGATGGGACGATCACGTCGGAACCTTCCACGGAATCACTCGATTCGCTGCTCTCGCGTTCCAGTCCTGCCAGCCTCCCTCCCCGTTTCTCCCTATTCACCTCTTCCTACATTTTGTTTCCCTAGGCCTCAAGTTGCAACCTCATCTGTTTTCCTTAGACCAAATGGCACAACAATGTTCTGCTTGAGCTTGGCTTTTTTTTTTTTTTATTGTTGCGTGTAATAGAATACTGTTAGCTGCCTTCGTTACACCCACACTCAAGGTTTTCAATTTTTTGTTCATTGTTCTTCGGACACGAGTAAAGCAGCGGTTAGAGGAAACGACAAAAGCGATGTCAACACCAGTTTTACGGCTTGTCGCAAGTTCTCGTACGACTGAATAAAGTAAGTGTTTTGTCTGGCAGGACGTCTTGTCGCTTGATTGACCGTTCAAATGACACTTGGAACTGCATAGTACCGGAAACTGTACACTCTTTGCGTTGTGCAGTTAGCGACCTTTCGCTTGTTCCTGCTTTGGAAATTTAAAATTTTCATAATCAAATTATTTTACTTTCACTTTTTTTTTTCACTGTGTATCGGTGTGCAATCTTTTTCAATGGTGTATTGGTTATGAAAACGAATTAGTACCCTGCCATTTAGTTTCAGAGTATGATTCAAGGAAGCGCATCGTAACTATCATAAAACAGGTTATAGAAGGAGAAGTCTATGTTAGAGTTCGATTGCCCTCCATAGGCTCGTTAACAATTTCCTGACCGTGCCCATAGGGCATTGATCACCGATGATCTATGATTTCCAAGTGTTGCCAAGAAATTAAGTGCGGAGAATTTATGTTTTAGATCTCGTGGATAGCCAAAGAACTGTAGTTTCTGTTTCAGCGTAGGTTTGAGCTTTATCAGAAGTTGGTGGGCTGTCAAAACTATAGTCCTGGTAACGGTGTTTGCACCTGTCTAACATGTCGGAGATAAGAAGGGTGGGAGGGGGGCATGACGCCGGCCGTGGAGCCTCCACAAGCCATGCTCCCTTGTGGCCTCGCCTCTTTCTCGTTTTCCTCCTTGCCCTCCTGACTTATCGGCCCAGCACATGACCACAGCACGTGGCCATCGCATGGTTGATGGTTGCAAGTAGCAGGGAGCGTGGTGCTGGTGGGTTTTATTTACCAGTCATCACAACTAGAAACTGGCCCGCGCCCAGCCGACCAATTCGACCGGCTGCTGTTTTTCGTTATGTACTGAAAATTATAGTATTAGACGTGGAACGTCAGCGCTGTAACGATTGCCTGTTGGCGTGCTTTGGGTAATGTATCGTGCATCTGCTGGGAGTATTCTTTTTGATCTCCTGGCTCCTAATTACTACAGTAGCCAAAGAAATAATAAATGATATAGACACATGATTGCGTAACTATGTCGACCCGACAGGTTGGACCAATACTTCGCATTTTTACGGCGATGATTTCCGCGCTCGCCTGCAAATGATAGCTAATGCTGTGAAGGACGCTCCCAGCAAAGCGCCTCTGTTGAATTTCAAGTCTGCAAATCGGTGATCTGTTGGCCTACAGGTTATCTCGGGGCAACCTGCGGAGTTGTGCGCGGGAGGGGCTATGTGCGGAATTCGAAAGAAAAAGGTGTGAGGTACGAGGCCGAAGGCCACCCCAAAGCGATCATTCAGTGCTTTACAAGTGCGTCGCTTGTGGTCACGTCCAGCTAACATTAAGACTCCGAGTGCACTTTCAACTCCACTTCATACATTTACATCTAGTGTTATTTATATTTGTTGCCTGGAACTTATGGAGGTAAACTTTGTTCGACCTTTCCCGAACTTTTGTTCTGAAGTTCGTCTAACTTTTGAACTCAGCAGGTTCAGAGCTTCGAAAATCGTCGGTTTTCTTAGTGCAAAAAGTTTGAAAATGTCGAAATGATAGTGTAAAAAATTGGAAGTTCAGAAACAATCGATTTCTCAGTGGCAAAAATTCGGAAGTTTGAAAATGTTTGAATTTTGCATGTTTCGAAACTTGGCGAACCTTTCGACCCCTTGGTTCGATCTTCAAACCTCAGGCTCGCAAAAACTTTGCGGTGTCTCTATTAGGACGGTGCGGCTTCGGGAAAAGAAGATTTGAAATAGAAATGACCTCGGGGGTGCTCTATGCTTTTTGTAAACTCACAGTTTTGCCAGTGACATTCTTAGATCTGATTTGTTTATATGACCACTTTGAGGCCTGACCTCATGTGACAAGGAGAACTAAAATGACACCGCCCGCCAACGTGCTGCCATTTTTAATGGAAGAAGAGATCCAAGTGCTCTGTCGTTCCCGTTGCACATTTCACTCTAGAAGCAACCAAGCTCAACATGTCTCTAAATAAACAATCGGTTATTTTGACAGTTCTTGATTTCCTGGAAATTTTTATACAACACTGAACAAATACTTGTGTTTTAATGGTGATATATCTGAAGGCTGAAATCCCGAGCACGAAACTTTATCTTGGGCAGCTGATTTAGAGTTCGCGCAACCCCCCGAGATGCATCCTTCAACGAATAGTTCGCGCTTGCCGCAGTAGCGGAATTGCGCTGTACATTACAAAAAGCTGGGAAGCAAAAAATAAATCAAAACAAAAGGAAAATGAACACACATAAGTACGAATGTGAATACGTTAAAAAAGGCAGAGCTACTTTTTGAGCGAAAATAGATTGACGAGACGAGCGAGATCACTGTGGCGCATGCCATTTCGATCTAGCGCTCGAGACATGGGAACCGGGGCTTGTAGCTGGTTGCCTGCGGGCCGCGTGTTTGAGTATACTATAATGGGCAGGTGTAGGAGGATCCTGGGTTCAATCCCCACCCCTGCCCGTTTCGATCGGGATGAGCATCGCACCGGCGTGTAGTCGTGATCACTGCCGTGTGGTGCACGTTAAAGATCGCAGGCTAGCGGTTGTACTGCACTGGCTACATTGCTCATCTACAGCTGAGACACCAGACGCCCAGTGAGGCAGACTAACTTCAAGGCTGTATAAACATACACACAACCCCAATTTTTTAGAGGGATACAGAAAATAAATTAATATGCGTCTCGTGCAGTGGCACATTCGACGCTACTTGCAAGCAAACGCATCAAGGGGCTTTGGGCAGCCTGAAATATATTTGCAGGCTGCCTAAAGCTCCTTTCCCAATCAATAAAAAACCTCTTACCTACGACAACTTAGCTACGAAGTTCGTAAAGTTACGATCATCGTAAGATGAGGCGAAAACGGTATTCACAAACGCGTTCTTAAGTGAGAGGAGGAAAGTTACGACCTCCTACGGAGAAACGATGACTTCCGGTGCTGTTGCTATGGCAACGGCGTCTTCGGCAAAACGAACAACCAATTGGAGAGCTAGGCATAGTTCGGAGCACGTGGATTTTTAATAACAAACACAGGCTAACCGCTCGTTGATGGACAGCTCCGTGTATGTCCTGTCCTGTCTGTGTGTAAATGTGTAGTGTTCAAGCTGATTCTCATAAACGCGGGCGACCTTTCCACCACCGCTTGTCTGGGGTTCGTGTCCGTGCAGTGGTATGTCGACGCTAACAGGATTTAAACGCTTCGTTGACTGCTACAAACTCGATCGCTACGAAGTCAACACAACTGTCATCGTTGGTAAAAGCCCCGTGCCAGTCGTTTGCAAAGCGAGGTAGAAGGAAACAAACCGCCGCGGCGTTTCTCGCGGGCTCGGAAATGCAGGAGTGAGCCGACGTTAAAAAAGATACGTTTGAACTACGAGAGTGTCAGCAAGAGTCACGCAAATACCTGTTCACACTCGGAGCGGACGCGTGCGTTTGATCGAAGTGCTGGATTCAGACTGCGTTTCGGTAAGCGCTTCGGGACCGATCTTCTACGATTGCAACTCGATACTGACGTGACACTCGGTAAAGAAAGGTTGGACCGGCATCGCGTAGCTCCCGCAAACTGATACAGCTCGACAGTTAAAAATGGCATACTAATAACAAAGTGTACATACCGTGTTGCGAAGGTAATCCATACGGCGTTTATTTGAGCTCTATATCACACAAAACAAGGAGATAGAATCGAGGAGTCCCTTTTCGACGACAGCGTTCGTCACCGCTGCCTCAGAAAACAAGGTGATCGAGATGATAAGGGAAATCGGTTGACCTCTGAAATTTAGTTCAGCTATCAAACTATTCATACGGGGAGGGTCCACAAGGGTCGCGCGGGCATATTCCATTCAGCAAGCCAGCCGGTCGTGGGCAGACGGTCTTGGCCAAGGACCGTCTCAATGCTGCGCCGGAACGGGTCGGAGTGCCTGCTAGGCCTATATATTCTGCCGAGCTCGCTTGGTCGGTGGGATCGTCGCCTTTGTTGCCTTTTCCGGGTGTCTGGATCCAGCGTTCATGTTCGTCGTGGTCGGTTTCAAGTACTTCTTCATTTTTTTCTTGCTGCTTGAAGTCGGGACGCGCAAAAAGAGCAGGTAGAAAAATAAATGTCCGTTGGGTCGTCGCGCCCGAGCAACTGGATCGCTAGGTTGGACATTTGATAGCATCTTCGATCAACTCGCACCGGAATCGCCCTGAAACCAACACAGTGCACAGCGCTCCTCGGTCGTGCAGCGCGATGTCGGTGCAACATCGAGGACAAACTGCGCCGCGCCGGTGCACCGCGGCGAGCTCCACCTTGCGTCACTTCACGTTTTGTTCGTTTTTTCTTGCGCAGGTCAGCGCACGGTGCCCGTCTGCTGTCAATTTCTTCTATTCTTTTACTCGCGGATTTGACGGTCCCACAGAAATAAACATCGTGGACGTGATTGTCAATGGTGTCACGAAGCGGGTGACAATTCCACATGTGTATGTTGGCCATCATTATTGGTTCAAAAAAACGAAACACCAGATAATAGCCGTACCTCGAAACGCCTCGCGCCGCTTACCACGAAGTTCGTGCTTTCCGGGCGCTCCTTGCCACCGCAGCAATCGCCAGTAATCACAGCGATGGCGAGAAGCTTGTCGTCTCGCCGTCCGAAGACCCGAGGAAATCATCTAGTGCAGCTGCGAGGCGTGTTCGTTTTTGCAAGATCGCCATCTCGGTATTCTGCGCGTCTGCTACTCCCGCCATCTTCTCGATTCCCGCTCCTGGCCGCAATGCCTGATGGGACTGCCCCCCGGCGCACCGCCGATTTTCTTGGTGCGCGTTGGGGCAACGAAAAGCCGCACCGGGAGGGTGCGCTTCGTTGATCGAGGATGTACGGTGCGCACCGGTGCACTTGATCGAAGACGAAGGGGCGCACCTCAGTGCCCCGGTGCGCACCGGTGCGGATGATCGAGGATGCTATGAAGAAAAGGTACATGGAAGTGACGTAATGCAAAGGAGGAGCGTATCCTAGCAACACTCACGTGGCGGCTCTGCCCACTTTGACGCCGC